GGCCTCAGGACAGACTGCAACCTCACGGGCGATCAATACTCGATGGTCAGCTCCATCTCTGCCATTGCCCAGCTCGCATGGCAGCCGTTCTCCTCGTGGCTTATTGTGAAGGTTCCTCACCGCATCCTCATGCCCTCCCTCGTCTTTGGATGGGGTGTTGCTCAGTGCTGCATGGCCGCCTGCCACAACTACCAAGGGCTTCTGGCAACTCGATTCCTTCTGGGTCTCTTCGAGGCTGGCTGCTTGCCCTTGTTCTCCGTCATCACATCCCAGTGGTATCGCCGCGCTGAGCAGCCCATGCGAGTCGCATGCTGGTACGGCACTAACGGTCTGGCAACCATGTTTGCCGCTGCCGTTTCCTACGGCCTGGGCCAGATCAACGGCTCGATCCACTCGTGGCAGATCCTCTTCATCTTCGTCGGTCTCATGACCGTCCTCTCGTCCCCGGTTGTCTACTTCCTCCTCGACAACGACATCCCTTCTGCCCGGTTCCTCACTGAACACGAGAAACTTCAGGCTATTGAGCGTCTGCGTGCCAACCAGACTGGTACTGGTAGCCGCGACTTCAAGTGGAGCCACGTTTGGGAAGCTCTCATCGAGCCCAAGAGCCACCTCTTCGTCGGTATGGCCATCTGCCTCAACGTCACTGCCGCCGTCACGAACACCTTCGGCCCCATTGTCCTTGCCGGCTTTGGTTTTTCCAGCTCCAAGACGTCTCTTCTGAACATCCCTTTCGGAGCTGTCCAGCTTCTTGTCATCTTCCCTGCCTCTTGGCTGGCCCACCGTTACCGTATCAAGTCCGTCTTCCTTGCTGCGCTCATGGCCCCGGTTCTTGCAGGCGCCATCATGCTTTACATCCTGGACCGCAACAGCATCCCGCCCTTGCTGGTCGCATACTACATGCTTGCCTTCCTCTTCGGCGGTAACCCCCTCATCGTCTCATGGATGATCTCCAACATCGCCGGTACCACGAAGAAGTCCGTTCTGTTGTCTCTGTACAATGCCGGATCTTCTGCCGGCAACATCGTCGGCCCGCTCCTGTTCAACTCCAAGGATGCGCCGCAGTACAGACCTGGTCTTACCAAGGTTATGGGAATCACTTGCGCTCTGCTTGCTATCATTGGCCTGCAAGTGATTGTCTTGTTCATTTCCAACAAGATGCAGGAGCGCAAGAGAGTGGCGAATGGAAAGCCCAGGAAGATTAAGGACTTGAGTATGGAGCGCCACTACGTCGATGGCAGAGGGGAGGAGACTGAAGGTGTTGCCTTGGGAGAGAATGCGTTCTTGGACCTGACGGACAGCCAGAACGATGAGTTCGTCTATGTTTACTAAATGCGTTGACTATGTGTCACGTATAATGATACCATGATCAGTTATGAAGCAATTCAATATTTGAGTAGCCTAATTTCCAAGAACCCAAACTAGTTCGACTACCATTCGCGATCGAGACGCTCTGCGACATTGTTGACATGCCAAACACCGCCCCTCCCAACGATCCAGAACTCGTGCTCACCGAAAGCCAAGCTGACAGCCAGGTTGTCACCTCCACCAACGCGGATCGTGCCAAGAGTTAGCCCGCTAACAGGGTCAATAACGTCTACTCCATCTCCAGCACCCACGAAGATCCAACCATTTCTTGACACCCTGATGCCGTCGTAAAAGTACGAGATTGGGTTATTGAGGAGACGAGGGCTCGTTAGAACCCCACCAGTTGCAACATCGTAAGCGAAAAGGGCCCTGTTGCCGTAGGGATTCTTCTTGGACACAGGCTTGAACTCGGATACGCCTGTGTCAGGAAGATACAAAGTGTGGCGTCCGTCTTGGAGAGATGATACGGCGACACCGTTGGCGTTTCCTGTAGTAATATGAACAACCTTGGGTCTCATCGTGGTTCCGTTCACGAAGTAAACCGTAGGGTTTGTCGGCGGCGTGTAATCCACGATATCTCGGCCCTTCATCTAGTCAGCCACTTTCTCCATTGAACGGTATTGAGGTCATCTTACCCATCCAGACTTGGAATCCGTCAACCAGAAGTTACCTTCAGAGTCAATATCAAGATCATTGAATCCCATGAATGGCTCCTGATAGTAGTTGTTCAACAGCACAGTCCTTTCAAGAGTCTCGGGATCGACGCGGACAAGGGCCCCTGTTTCGTTGTGAGACCCGTCAGTGACTACGTGGTATGCCCCACGGTAGTAGATGCAGCCATGCGCATTGACGGTTGGCGGGTTTGTGGTGATCTTCTTCAGCGTATTGATCCTGGTATCGAGCATGTACTGCCAGTAGTGGGTACCGTCGTCACCACCGGGAGGGCCCCACTCAGCGAAATACAGTTCTTTGGTATCTTTATTGTAGCATGGCGCCTCATGGGTTTGAAAAGCTAGCTGCTGGACCTGCTTGACGGTCGCCTGAGGTCCCAGGATATCGAAGAACCTCTCATCATAAGCGATGAAGTTGGTGGTGTAGAGAAACTCATTTCTTGACGGTGTTAGAGGGTTATGTAGACTGAACGCAAAACCTGTGACAACTTACGTCTTCTTCAAAGCTGGATCACTCGTCTCTCCCTTGTGCGGGGCATCCATGGCCGAACGGTTGAACGAACCGGTCAGAACAGCCACGGAGGGGTTGCTGTAGGAAACATATGCCCATATCGCCGGCGTATCATTGAAAGTGGCTGGCAGATCTGCCAAGAATGAGCTTGCCACCAAAGGCAGGGCAGCAAGAATGGGAATCGTCGTCGACCACATGGCAGGAGTCTTGGCGTCTTGGCCTCCGTGGAATAAACTTGATGGACACGTTGACATGAGTCATTCGAAGACTCTCGTCCTAAACCTTTTATATAAGTGATAATGTCTCGATGTTCCGGTCGTTGAAGACTTTTAAGTCCACGGAGTAGTCCGGGGGTTCCCCAAACATTTCCTCTCACGAGCCTTGGATTACGATACCGAACTAAACCAGAGCCATTTCGACGTGAGCCAAGTCCAACATCGAACGGGAAATCGGCGCTCTTGAGCATCCACTAACTTGGCAGTCTGGATCTGAGGATCTTTGCTTTTACGTGTAAACGGCAATTGAGTTGCGGGCATTGTGGATGTGCGGAGATGATCCGCTGAACATAGTTAAGTTTGACCAATCTACGGCCTCCGGGCTTGTGCGAGGGACGGAGCAGTCCGTATACTTGTGAACCGGGCTACTCCCTGAGAACGAGTTGAGGACGGAGAAACCCCGCCCATCTGAATTATAAATTCGGGGCTTGCAATCGATTGCGGACGTCAACACTGCGGCTGTAACTTCCAAGTTTTATTGATAAAGGAAATCCTCTTGGAATTTACAACATCAACAGCGGCAACTTCTACGATATAAGTGCGGGGCTTAGCGTATAATGACTGTCCCATGTGACCACTGCCTAGGACTACTGTTTTGTTCGCAAACGCTCAACGGTCATATCCCAAAGGCGCTGTTCTGCCTCTCTGTCATATGCGTGAGCTGCATATCCAAGTCGAGGGAACGAGGTATCGTTCTCCTTGAATGGCTCCGCCTCCTGCACTTCGGCAAGATAACGACCCCCCTTACTTTCCCACTGCTTTCCAACAGCAGCCCAAATTGTTGTGGCAGCACCTTGTTCCGGGCTTTTCCTATACTTCCTCATCTCAGGTTTCAGCATCACGGCGTCTCCGGCGGGATTGTGTCGGGCAGCTTCGGTGTGTATTGCTCCTGGGTGGACCGAAGTTGCATGCAGCCCCTCACTCCCGTATCTTCTCTCGATCTCGTTGGCCATCCAGATGCATGCGGTATTCGAAGCTCCGTACGCAAGCATAGGATTGTAATCCCGCGTTATGAAGTTGATATCTTCAAAGTTCACAGAGGAGGCTTGATGCGATAAGGACGCAAGCACAACAACTCGTGAAGACATGCTCGGACTAGCTGACTTTACCAACTTCTCGCGCAGTGCCTGGAACAATGCGAAATGCGCCACATAGTTGACGCCAAAATGTTTCTCAAAACCGTCTTTCGTAAGGCCCTTGGGATGAAGCACAATTCCTATGCGGGGTTAATCAATGTGATCATAAAGTCAGGTCGGTGAGTGAAGGCGGAACGGCGTACCTGCGTTGCAAATGAGAATGTTCACGTTCTCCGACATGCTCAAAAATTGCGCAGCAGCAGCAGAAACGTCCTCTGCGGAGTCCAAGGACATCTGCAGGAAAATCACCTTGCCCGGCTTTCCATCACTGGCAAGGCTCTCCGCAACTGCGACACCTTTCTTGGTATCCCGGCCGGTAATGTAGACATCAGCGCCTGTGGCGTGCATGGCACGGGCGGTTTCGATTCCTATGCCAGCCGTTCCTCCGGTGATGAGGCATACCTTACCCTGAAGACTTCCATCCAAGCCTTCATCACGGATGATTTTGAGCGCGTTGGGGCGGGCGTCGCCTGGGCCGTTGGTGTCTCGATGATCGTTTGCATAAGGTGCCGTTGAAGCCATATTGATGTGGGATTGAAGAGGCTGTCGAAAATGCAATTGGTCAACAGAAATGAAAACCTTTGTTGTCTAGGCATTGGGGATCGGAGATGCTTTGGTTGCATTTTTATCATGCGGTGTAAAGGTCCCGCGATCCGCTCGCCGCCGGCAGCCTCTCCGTGAGCCCGAATCACGAGACCGCATCGTCGCGACAACGGGCCGACGGGCATGCGGATCTTTGACGGTCCACTAAGAACAGTGAAAAAGACTGTCTCTTACGGGATTTTGGATGTGGTGTAAAAGCAAACAACGCTGAATCGGCTCATGAATGGGGTTAAGTTCCTCCGATTCGGAATTCGCGGGTCACTCGGAACATGTTGACGGGTAACCGGAGAGCCCGACCCATCGCCACAGAGGAACTTTGTGCATTGAAACCCAGTGAACATATGCGCTTGAACACCGTATATAAGGACGCATCTTAAGATTGTGCTTCTCAACTTGATAAACACCGATCGGTCGCTCATACTGATTCAACTACAAGATGCCGTTTATTCACATTGTCTTGATGAGATTCAAGTCTGATTCCAGCCCTGCCGAAATTGAGAAAGTAAGAGATTTGACTCCTAAAACGCCGGACACAAGTTAACTCGCTGTATCAGGCTCTGAAACGTAGTTGGGATTTACAACATGAATGCGTGCATCCGAGTACTCAAAAGCCGTACATCATCTCTATTGTAAGCGGGAAGAACTCGAGTATCGTGCCGAACAAGGTGAGTGCTTGTGAAGTGTTCTCGGCAGCTTTCTAGAGTCTAATAACTAGCAGTACGGCTTCACGCATTCAACCAAGATTGAGTTTGAAAACGCCGAAGATTGTGCATACTTCATTAAGGAGGATCCTGCACACAAAGTGTTATTCCCCATGTTCCACTCGCTTACGGAGGAGATACTTGTCATGGATTACACTCCTGGTTGCCTGGACGTCTAATTAGTCTGCCAGATCGAACTTACGTTAGCTTATGTCTCTTTCACATAAGGCCCCAAAATTGTCATGATTGGGACTGTTTGTGCAATTTTGTGCAATTTTTGTGTCTAGTAGCATAAGAGAACCAAACAGACGAAGTCGTTGTGGACTACAGTTATCAATCGCAGATTCAACAAGAGGTAGCCTTTGGCATATTCACGGAAATTGAAAACAACAATATGGTCTTTCCCGAGCGTATCAAACATCTGACCGACAGCGAAGTCGCAAATGGCATGTTCGCAACGAGGAAAGATCTACATCATGCCACCTGGAATGGCTCAAACTGATTGACCTAATCGGAGTCACACGCTGGCTGGTCGGCATTGAAACAAAAGTCCACCATCAAAAGAGGCTGTCACTGGCGTTTAGGCTATCATGCAAACAACTGCTTCGATGCGTTTCTTAATTTAGTTATTCTCTATGTTCCCGAGCTAAAGTCAGGCAAGCCTCACCCAATGGGAAGTGTTATTGAGGTCATAGAATCTCGACGAATGGATGACGTAAACAACCCCTCAATCAACTCCACCGCTTATCGCGCTCGCCATCGCGAGGACCTCGCCGCGAATGCGGAGTTAACTCAAGCTCCAGGCGATGAAACTAACGCACATGCGCGCTTTGATTGACTGCGGGACTGTTGGATCATTCAGCAGAACCACATCAAAACCCGCTAACCTCATCACATTCACTCGTTGCTGTCAGACACAAGCAACTCCGAACAGAACGAATCCAAAACTCAGTATGGCACGCATTCTCATCACCGGCTCCTCCGACGGCCTCGGTGCCATTGCGGCCCAGAAACTCGTCAAAAACGGTCACCAAGTCGTTCTCCACGCCCGCAACGCCCAGCGCGCCGAAGATGCGAAATCGGCCGTGCCCGGGGCCGAGACCGTTCTCGTCGGCGACCTCACCAAGATCGCAGAGACCAAGAAGTTGGCCGAGGACGCCAACAAGCTCGGCACCTTTGATGTGGTCATCCACAACGCCGGCCTCTACCGCGGCCCGTACCGCAAGACCGACCTCGGACTTTCGAGCCTCACAGCAGTCAACGTGATGGCGCCATATCTCCTGACATGCCTCATGAACAAACCCAAGAGAATCATTTATGTGTCGTCGGGTATGCACCGCAGCGGCGATGCAACCTTCAAGGACCCGACGTGGGTTGAGCGGGGAGAGGCCGGTTGGGATCAGAACCAGGCTTACTGCGACTCCAAGCTGCACGTGAGCACGCTGGCGAATGCTGTGGCGCGTCTGTGGCCGGATGTTAAGAGTAACTCCCTTGATCCTGGCTGGGTGGCTACTAAGATGGGCGGACAGAGCGCGCCGGGCAGCGCTGATGATGGCACGGCTACATATGTCATGCTTGCAGAGGGGGCCGATGGTGGGGACGTGAGTGGAAAGTACTTCAAGCCCGGGAAGAAGGAAGACGTCGCGCAAGAGTTCACCAGGGATGTCAAGAGACAGGACCAGTTGCTGGAGCTCTGGGGAAATCTCACGGGAGTGAAGCTGCCTGTCTCTTAGGTTGTTTCATTCGATCAGCAGTGGAAACCAAATGCAAAAGTTGCAATATTCTGATTAACTAGCACATGTCTGAGTATAATTTCTCACTAGTTTATCCATGTTGGGCGGGTCGTCGACACCTAGAGCTTAGCCCAAGCCTGGTTATTTCTGTAAAACCGTCGGCGCATTTGAAAGACACAACTCTTTCCAGAATTGCGCAACAACAATCAACAGAGTTGAGCAACAGGGTCGGATCGGGTCTAGGTTCATGTTTCGCTGGGTCCATGCTGTCTGCAAAGCCGTTGTGGTCGAAATGCAATCAACAACATTTACTGGCGAGAAGCCTAGTGTCTGAACAGGAGTCAGGAATGCCCCAAAAAGGGTTGAAGACTGGAAGGCCTCACATACCGTGTTGCATTTCCTTTTGAAGCGCGGCCTCAACCCGATGCCGGAGAAGGAACCCCGATATGTGGTATCTTCCGATCCCCAAGTTTAGGTATCTTCAGAACCCGGTCACTTACTAGACCGCAATAAACTCCGCCATATTTGTTTTCCGTTGCAAGCCGCCAGGACTCTCTTACGACCTTCTGGGGGCAACTCTGTCCACGAAATTTAATATCGAGCTTGAGAATGCCACCGTATCCGCATTTGAAATTTGCCTTGTCTTTCATGTATCCACATTTGGCCCCCCGGAGGTGGCCTTCAAATGTTTTGCACACTTCCTTCATCTTTTCCAGAGGTACTCCATTTGCGATAATCCTAAACCTCCTGTCTTTTGCGTAGCGGCAGGAAGAGTTTGGCCCGGCGCGGAGGGATTTGAGATGTGTTTCGGGAACCTTCTTGGGGTCGTTCGATGTGAACTTATTCTGAGGCTTGAGGGAAGCGGATGTTGTTTCGGCCGCGACGAGAACGACTAGCACTAGTGCTAAAATACAGACGGCGAGGAATCTCATGATTACTATTTCCGCGAAAGCGGTGGATGAAATCAGTGGACGCAGATGGTGGTTGAAGGTAGTGGTTGAAGGTGGTGGTAGCAGATGGTAAACATTCCAGATGGTTGTGGGTTGGTGCAGTCAGTGCATTCAAATATGTCAGGATCGAGGTAATTCCGTCTTCCCTTTTGACTTTCTCGTTGAGGTGGGAAGCCCCATGGACAATACGGGTATGTGACTTTTTCAACCTTGGGAACTAGAAGCGTTGACTGCCATATTTTAACTTTTAAGGGCATAATGTTCCCTTGTCAAATCGCAATGGTCATTACCACAGTCTTCTTACGAGTCCATCTCCGGTCGATAGTATTTTTGTGTTCAGACAACTCTCGTACGAGGGAAAGTCTCATCGAAACTTGGTCCAGGTAACCGCTTAAGACCCGTCGTAACTTTCTTGCAACTCGACTTCTACTTTCATGCAATACGCCAGGCTGTGCAATGAATGGTGGTGCGGTATGCCCCCTTGCCATAGCCCAAATTTAAAGCCCGCTTCTGCATGGCCAGGCGACTCAAAAGTCCCCTTCATATACCCCGGTTAGCCATAGAGGTTACGCTGTAACCCTCCACATGCTTCCCCGTCAGAGTCATACGGCAGTCAACAAGGTGCGCCTCCAGGCGGCAAACTGCGGAAGAAACGTTAGAAGGAAAGAAGGATGCCTCCTTGCAAGCGCGGCAGAGGGAGCAAAGAAATATTAACGCCCAAACTATACAGCAGCTGTTTGAGGCGGCAGCTAACTTTCACGAGGTCTGTCACCGGTCTTTCCATCACTCGTGAATCGTATCAACCTCCTTCACATTTCAGAACGGAGCACGTCTGGTACTGTCGTTATCCGACGTCATCAAGACATGAGGACAGGGGCTTTCTACCCATAGCGGCCAGAGCTTTAGTGAGCCAAGCTTACGAATCCATAGTACTGATGCGTCCAGTTAGGTAGGAACACCGAGATAGATCCACCGGCCAGCAGGATGTCTCCATTTGACCCGCGGCCTCCAATCCGAAATTGGTACCGGCAACGCGGAGGGACCCCAAACCCTCTTAATGTTCGATTTTGGAGTTTCTAGACTATAGAGCCGTTCATACCTGTCTCGTGATCTAGTTGTCGAAATGGTGGCATCGAAAATGCAAGGTTGGGACGGACAATGCGCCGCTAAATGATCACTAATATCAGTCGCTCAGACACAATGGAAGAAGTACGGCAGTCAACAAGGTGCGCCTCCAGGCGGCAAACTGCGGAAGAAAAGTTAGAAGGGAAGAAGGAAGAAGCTTGCAGGACCGTCGATAGGCGAAAGGCGAAGCCTTTGACTGAGCCGTTAGTGAGCACACCGGTCCCTGGCCGCAGGTGGAGAGGCAACGCCAAGCGAAGATAAGCTCTGTGGCGGGCCAATTGCCGCTGGGGTTCTCCAAACATGTCCCACGGGGGCACCTTTAGCGCTGGGGTTTTTGGAGAATCATTCGAATTCTCAGTGGATGTCGGTGGCTGCGGGTACGGGGTCGCCTCCCAGGGTGCCCTGCATCGGTTTCCATAGCCGTCTTGGCTGTTGACGTGATGTCACGCCCTCAACGGGGCCACAACGGTGACAGGGCGCACAGTCTTTTGGGGCTCATCCGGGTTCGATGTGTTGTGTCGTGTTCGTCTCATTTGGCACCGGATGGGGAAGAAGCTTGGGCAGAGCGCTCGGTTGGGGAAGTTGACAGGAAAGGTAGGGGAAATAGACGGCGACACTTCGGCGCAACCGACATGAAAGCATCTCAGAGAGTTCTGTTTCAATGGGAGAGTGATTAACTAAAGAAAGTGACGGTTGGTACCGGCCGAGTACATCTGCCTACGACTTTCTTTGCGTATGCGACACGTCAATTCCGCGCTATCTCCATGGTCTCTCCAAAATCCCCGGGCCACCTGGGCGACGGCGCACCCCCGGCATGGATTCGACCCTCGTCGGCCCTATCTAGCAGCCTGCCAGCCTGCATCATTATTTGTGTCCTTTGACTCATGGATAGCCCCGCTCATGTTGGTGCTCACGGAGAACAGGCCGTTGGTTCACCCTGGGATATAAGATTCTCTGCCTACCCACGCAACCTTGGTGGTTCATCCTCCTCCCCACGGCCATCACGACGTACAAGTACATTATGGAGAACCACGACAAGAGCCACGTCGACCCCGAGCATAGCCACCATGCCGAGCACCATGAGGACCAGACGCCATGGCACGGCATGTCTGTCGGTCGCTACCTCGGTACCCGCTTCAGCACCTTGAAGCCGCCGATGCTCAGCGCGCCGAACCCGTTGAAGCTGGTTGTGATGATCAACCGCCGCCAGTGGGCGTTCTTCGCCGTCGCGTTTGCGGCCTGGGTATGTGCCAGCCACGCATGGTTCGCATTGTAATTTGGGGACCGCTGCTGACAAGTTCCCCAAAGACATGGGACGCTTTCGACTTCTTCACCGTATCTCTCACCATCACCGAGCTTTCAGAAACCTTCGACAAGTCCAAGACCGACATCACCTGGGGCATCACCCTCGTTCTCATGTTCCGATCCGTCGGATCCATCCTCTTTGGCATCGCAGCAGACAGATACGGCCGCAAATGGCCCTTCATCGTGAACAACATCCTGTTCATCATCCTCGAACTGGTAAGCAAGAAATAATCACTCACCTGTTCCACCTCCCGGTGCCGTGATTGGTCCCCGACGGCAAGTTTGTGCCGAGCCCGGCTGCAGCAGACAAGCTTTCCCCTCCCCTCTCGCCCGTCTTGGCTGCGCCGTTGGGGAATCCCTGTGGTCCCCCACAATCCAGCTCTCCCCCGCCCAACCCCCAACCCCCTTGTACCCAACTAGTTCTCTGCTAGTGACATCAGTGGCATCGCTTTAGTGACACGAACGCTTGGTTTCTGATCGTTGGCGCGCTGACATGAGTTGTTCCTTTGTTCTAGGGAACGGGCTTCTGCCAAACGTACGAACAATTCCTTGCATGCCGCGCCCTCTTTGGCGTCGCAATGGGCGGTCTGTACGGCAACGCCGCCGCGACGGCGCTCGAAGACCTGCCCTCAGAGACGCGCGGAATGATGTCCGGCGTCTTACAACAAGGTGTAAGTTTGAAACGGAGCCAACGAACTCCTCCACACCACCAGACCTGCCCCAACTCCATCTGCCCAACAGCAACGGACGTCACGAGGCTAACCTTTTCGCCGATCAGTACGCCTTCGGATACCTATTGGCTGCGGCCTTTGCCCGAGGGCTGGTCAACACCACCCCTCACGGTTGGCGGCCCCTCTTCTGGTTCGGCGCCTGCCCGCCGGTCCTGTTCATCATCTTCCGTCTCATGCTGCCCGAGACGGACACATTCCTGGAGCACAAGCGTCTGCGCGAGGCCGCTGGCAGGCACGCCGCGGAGTCTGAGACAGAAAAGTCTAATGTCACCTCTACGTTCATCAAGGAAGGAAAGGTCGCGCTGAAGCGGCACTGGCTGCTGCTGACCTACCTTGTTCTCCTCATGGCCGGGTTCAACTTCATGTCTCATGGTAGCCAGGACTTGTACCCCACGATGCTTACGAACCAGTTCAACTTCAACGCCGACCAGGTCACGGTCACGCAGGTGGTAGCCAATCTTGGCGCGATGCTGGGCGGCACGACCGTTGGGTACTGCAGTCAGATCTTTGGCCGAAGGTTCAGCATCGTCGTCTGCTGCATCGTTGGTGGTGCGCTGCTGTACCCGTACACCTTCGTGACGACGGAGGCCGTTATGGCGGCGGCGTTTTTCGAGCAGTTCTGCGTGCAGGGTGCGTGGGGTGTAATCCCCATCCACTTGATGGAACTCAGTCCCGGCGCTTTCCGCACCTTTGTGGTTGGCACCTCGTACCAGCTCGGTAACCTCGTGTCGTCAGCGAGCTCCACCATCGAAGCGCGTCTGGGAGAAAAGTTCCCCCTCCCTAACAAGGGCACCACGAAGCGCTACAACTATGGCAAGGTTATCTGCATCTTCATGGGATGCGTGTTTGTGTACGTTATCCTGTTGACGTTCATCGGACCCGAGCACCTGCGACGCAGTTTCGATGTCGCTGATGACTCGGACATGCGGGAGGTTGCTGGCGTTGAGACGATGGAAGACGAGCTCCATGACCGTGAGGCGCGAGCTGGACGGCCGGTAGGTAGTGACGAAGAGATTGGACACCAGGAAAAGTCGGCTACTCACCGCGAGTGAGTTCAGTGAGACTCAAAACAGCCGAAGAGGTAGTGGTTTGGAATGACCGATGATCCTCCCGCTACGAGACTGGATGCGACGGAACAGGCCGGTCGTAGAATTGACTACAGAGACTAGGAACAGTCAGTAGAAATTAAGGGTCAATGAAACCATCTGATATTTCGACTGCGTTTGGCAGCTCCAATCGGGCCGTGGAATTGAGTTATGTCGCGCAGCAAAAGCTTCAGCTCCGGCCGGAATCGCCCAATCTCACAAATGCAGGATCCGATCTGTTCCGCGAGATCCGCTCATTGGGCGGAGATCACGCCCATCTTCCGCTGACTGCCTCCCCGCTTCGGAGTCCGCTCAGCCGGAGCGGGCCCTCCGAAGCTATTCCACTTACATTTCTTTAAATGATCCCCATGTCACCTTTCCAAATTCCCAACTAAAATTTATCAGATGTAGCAAGAAAAGCTTCTATCGCACGATAGGGATGCTGTCACATTCAGCCAAGACTTCTCGAGAGCCGACAGCCGACGAGCTACCTCTACTCCCGGAACAGCAATCGGCCGATGCATCCGGTTTATCATCCGGCCCTTGGCCCGGCCAAGACGCCAGGAACGGCTTTGATCACGCGCGCAGATTGAACACGAGGTGATGAGTGAAATAAGCATGCAGATACCTGCAGGTCTCCGCGGATACTTATCAATGATTTGGCCCTGGGCTGCAGTCTGGACGTTGGCCGATAAGGGGTCCTGCAGGTACTTTAGCACCCCTGGCGCTTGCAATCGCGTCTGTCAACGGGGGATGATGCCATTTCGCGCCATAGGCGATAAGTTGGTTCACCGACCGGGCAATACCTCTTCCTTATCGCCCAGCGCGTTGTGTTCATCCAAACACGAGAATTGGCCATGCATCTTGCTCTCAACAGCCAGGGGTGCAGTCTTGGCGGCGTCTCTTGGGTTGCATCAGGAACCGCAAGTCAGTTAGACGCCATTCTTACCCCTCAATTCCTGCTTCGAGCTCAGGAGAGGTTGCTCTCGTTGCTGTCATCGAGGGTTGATCGACATCTAACTGCTGTATGGGTGGCACTGCAGATTCACGATGTCTTTTGGGATACGAGACACAATCCAGGCGAGGATTTCCCTGTCAACCCAAGAAACGCAGTAGAACTCGTCCCAAGAGAGTCAAACGTGGGCTAGATGGTGGTCTCATCCTTCATAATTTCTCCTCATCCGACCTTGCAGCGCATGGCAGGGGTGCAAATCGTCCCAAGAAGGAAGCTCATTTCCAACACGATGGCGATATCACCATAGACCTCCAAGGGAATGCTCCCGTATCGGCAATGCAACGCTGCAGTGTCCAGCTGCAGCTCAAACAGTGTTTCTGTAGTAAACAATAGTTAACATGCCGTCAAACGATATTTAAATAGCCATCCCACCGGCATCATCATCTTGACTTCGAACCCCAAGCTTCAAGCGACTCGCGGTTTTGGCTGAACTACACCAAGATGCATCTCCTCAGCATCGCCAGCTTGCTTGCGCTTCCTGCGCTGGGAAGTGCGGATGTCCTCTCTGCCCGCCAAGCTCCCGAGGGACAGACTAGCAACTCCACAGTCCCGGTCGCCAAGAGCTTTATCATCGAATACACCCAGGTTCGGGACTTTGTCGCAAGCCCTGGAATAGACTGTTACTAAATCTTTGTCTCAGGGCTCCGCAAAGGCTCGCCGCGATGTCGCTCTCGCAGAAGACATCAAGATCGTCAAAGATTTCGAGACCGATATCTTCTCTGGCGCCAGCATCGAGACGGACACGCACAACATTGACACTTTGCAGAACCTCGCTGGTGTCGCTCGCGTGTGGCACAACACGCGCGTCACCTTATCGCCTGTCGAAGGACTCCAGGCGATCGAGGATGCGGCTGCTTCGAACTACACTACCCACAACGCGACGGGCGTGAGCAAGCTCCACGACAAGGGCATCTTTGGTCAAGGTGTCAAGGTTGGCGTTGTTGACTCTGGCACTTGGTACAACCATCCTGCCGTACGTATTGTCGTAGTCGGAGGCGGTCTGCATTCTTGCTGACTTGCATATAGCTCGGTGGTGGATTTGGCGAAGGCTTCAAGGTTGCTGGTGGCTATGACTTTGTTGGCAACGGCATCTGGCCTTACGAGGACAAGGCTCCAGATGATGACCCAGAGGACCAGATGGGTCACGGTACGTTGTTCTCAAAGCCCCAAGGAGATGTCTGTCTAACACTGGTACAGGAACCCATGTTAGCGGTATCATTGCTGGCAAGACAGATTTGTATGGCTGTCACTATCCACTCTTACCGACATCCTCTTGCTGACTTTTTTTCAGCTGGACTGGAGTTGCACCAGAGGCTACTCTGTACTCCTACAAGGTCTTCACTCAAATCGTAGGTATCTTGAAACAAGGAAATCCCCTGCAGATCTAACGATTTGTAGGACGCCACGGATGATGCGACTCTGATTGAGGCCTTCTTGAGGGCTTACACGGATGGAGTGAGTAGTTTGAAGTTGATCTGACGTCTGCCACAATGCTAACAAAGGCCTGAGGTCGATATTATCACTGCTAGTATTGGCGGCCCCAGCGGATGGTCAACCAATGCCTGGGCTGAAGTCGCGTCCCGCATCGTCGAGGAAGGCGTCGTTGTAACAATCGCCAACGGAAATTCTGGTGCCGCTGGGCCCTTCTTCGCAAGCAGCGGTTCTTCAGGAGAGAATGTTCTCGCTGTTGCTTCCGTTGAGACTGAGACATTCCCTGCGTCACCATTCGAGCTCACCTCAGTTCTTGATGGCAAGACCGAGACAGTCAAGGTCAGGTCCCCGGTATCACCCGCAAAGTTCTTTTTCTAACAAGCTGCAGGCTGGATACCTGCCTTCCACATACTACTTCTCGTCTGACATCACCAACTGGCCAGTCGTTCCTTTGAACTTTGATACCACTGACCCTGCAGATGCTTGTGAGCCGTACGCCAATGGTACTCGTAGCCTGAGGGGCGTTATTCCATTGGTGCGCCGTGGGACTTGTACCTTCGCTACCAAGCAGGCAAATCTGGTCGCCCTCGGCGCAGAGTACATCCTCTTCTACAACAACGAGGGCCCGCTGATCACCCCGTACACCGAGGATGAGAACGGACTGATTGCATTGATTACCGCTGAAGCTGGCGCCGCCATTATCGAGACCGTCAAGTCGGGTGGTAATGTTACGGCTGATTTCTCCATCAACCCTGAGCAGGTAGTTGGTCTGGACTACCCTGCTGGCGGTCGACCGAACACTTTCACCTCATGGGGAGGAACCTACGATCTCCAGATCAAGCCTGATATTGCAGCTCCAGGTGGTCAGGTAAGTAAACTCCATTGTCACAACTACAGGTTATCGTGTGGTTTTGACAAGTACGCAGATCTTCAGCACCTATCTGGACAACACCTACGCTCTACTATCCGGAACCTCCATGGCTACTCCTTACGTGGCCGGAGTTGCAGCCCTCTACATTAGTGCCAATGGCGGAAAGTCTGTTCATGGTAAGTTACTGAATGCATCCAAGATCCAACTTGAGACAGATGAACGTGTGAACTGACATCCTTTGCTCAGGCAAGGGTTTCGCCAAGGCGCTGCACCAGCGCATCATCGCCAGCGGCACATCTCTCCCCTGGTCCGACGGAACGGCCACTGACTACGGCTTCTCCGCACCTGTCGCGCAAGTCGGCAACGGACTGATCAACGCTTTCAAGGTTGTCAGCTACGCTACCGGGCTCACCTTTCAGAAGATTGCTCTCAATGACACTCACTTCTTCAGCCGTTACCACGACGTCACCGTCACTAACAACGGCGACAAGGATATCAGCTACAAGTTTTCGTACGAAAATGCCGCTGGCGTGGAGATGCTTGGATGGTACCCATTCGTCGAGCCTTGGGCTGGCGAAAAGAGGATCAAGAGCTTCTCCGAACTGGCTCCTACCAGTCTTCCAGTTGAGGTCTCGGTTCCCAGAGACTTTACGCTGAAGCCAGGCGAAAGCAAGACTGTCTCGTGAGTTTGAGAGCACTGCTGTAATTGATGGCAATCGACTGACATGACAAGGGTCAACTTCCCCAACCCCGACACTTTGGGTTGGAACTCGTCCGCATTGCCTCTATACAGTGGCAAGGTCATTGTCTCTGGCAACAATGGCGAGCAATTGTCCGTGCCTTACATGGGTAAGCAAGCTCTATGAGTTGAACGTACTTTGCGACCGTTAGTTCTAATAGCGTCTGCAGGACTTGGTGCCAACTTGAAAGCTGAGATCAGCCCTATTTACCGTCCCAGCTACCCATTCACCACGCAGCGTGACTAGTAAGAACAGTCCCATATCCGTCTTGATATTAATCATATCTAACATTATGAAGTGTGTATTCCTTCAACCTGGACAGATTCGCCGCCGACTTTCCAATCATCTACTCCAAGCTGATTTGGGGCACCAAGGAAGTCCGATGGGACGTAAGTTAACGCATGGATCAACGCCCGACTGTCAACATGGCTGACTCATGTGCGTAGATCTACGAGCCTGGCTGGACTGAGCGACAGTGGGAATACCCTCCCGTCCCCGGAAAGAATGGCTATATCGGCCCGGCCACCAGCCACGTTGTGGCCGGCAGCGTCTCCTACTTTGACCCCGATGTCTACGATCCTGATGACACCTGGACCTACCCCGAAATCGATCTCTACCGCAACGCCCAGACGCAAGCTTCTTATCACGAGTTTTGGTGGTTCGGCAAGTTGGGCAATGGAAGTCAAATTGAACTTGGCAACTACACGTAAGTGATACTCATCAGTCAAAGTCGTTCGGCACCGGGCTAATACTACTAACTGCAGCATGCGATTTGCCACTCTTAAGCCTTTTGGTAACCCCCAGGCATCTGACAACTGGGACATCTTCCAGACGCCCCAGATTCAGGTCACCGGCAAGTATGAGAGAAGAAACTGAGCTCTGCCATCGTGTGAGTTGGCTAGGAAAGAGGAGCTCCAATCATTTAGATTTCCTTTCTTTCGTAAATATTTCTTACAATACACACGTGATTACTGATGCAGCATCTCTTCCCACATCATGCCACAACGTGCCCTGACTTATTGCTCACTTGAACACCGCGTCGTCACTCATAACGAACATCCGCACTTACATGCAAAGATTTGTCGTGGAGTCTCGGGCATCCTTTCTGCTCAAGATGAAATGATCACGGCTTAAAGATTGCGGAATGCTTCCGTAACAGGCAGAGACACCCGGCCCTTTCCATCGTGATGGTTTCAGGAGAGAGAGATTGGAAGAGTTCCTGCTCTGCTCGGTCATTGAATCGCGTCCAAGAGCGAGGAATGCTCGCCTATATGCTGAAGAAGAATCTTCCAAGCTGCGAGGGGTCCCCTCGGTTTGTTCCGTAAGGACCCATGAATCGCAACGGTCTTCCTTGTTTCAGACGTCACGGGAAAACTGCCGCTGTTATCTCACTGCGAGTTGCGAGTTGACAAGGTTCATTCTACGAGCTAGGCCCGGGCGCTAATCAAACTCAAATAGACGAGCGGATACGTCCTCTGGAGCTACGGCCACCGCCCTCCTTTTTTCCTCTCTATATCGCTCATATCCGGCAACACGGCAGCCGGTGTTGGCTTTGATTCCTTGACTATTCTAAGGACCAATGTTGACTGTGTATTCCGAACTTTTTTTCAGTTAAGAAGTCGCTCGGATATAAGCTCGGCATCGCTAACAAATCGCCCGAGGCAGCGGAGCGACCCGTGACGAAAACCTCATGCGGATCAATCAATCATTGAATGTGCGGCTGAGCATGTCATTGCACTGATTGCAGTTCGCATCTCAGTCGGGTGAGTTTAAGTGTAGAAGCTGAGCATGAAGCGCTTGGGAGAAAAGATTAGCAGCCGGATTGCTCCCTTGGATTGTCCCGCCACATACGAATCATGAGCCAGTGGCTTCACCGATCACCGAGTCAGAGCGAAATATTCCAGCCCGCAAAGAATTGCGGCTCAATGCAGAAAGAATGCCTTCTTTAGAATTTAGACAGTTATCCATTACTCCATTATTCTTTTTTGATGTCAGCCCCCAAGATATGACGCTTTGACCGAACCCCGTCCTAAACTCCATTCCGCATGCATTGACACGAACCATTACCCGGCCATCCACATCGTCATCCCATTAATCTCGCTGAATCGTAACCGTCTTCGTCTGTAATATCGCCTTGTCGCTCATGTCGTCTGCGCTCTCTCTTCCGCCTCCCGCGACCACAACTGAGGTAAATGCGGAGTCGTCGTCCATGCCCCGCTTGTGATCCGAATGGAATGTATGCATCTCGTTCTGATCTGAAAATTGTTGGTACTGAGATCTTGCTCGACTCTTTGTGTTGTGTGATTGTTGGTTGGCGTAAGATGCGTGGTATACCGCACCGTACGACGATGGGTTCGTTGAAGTTCCCATGAGCTTGGGTGCAAAGTGCTTGAAGAACTTTCGCAATGTCGGCATCGAGCCACAAATGACGAAAAGGTTGCCCTCGATGAAGCTATCAACCCTAATTAGTTCTGGCGAAACTGGAAGCGAATCAGAAGGTGCGCCTTACGTCCAGATATTGGCGGGCGCCGCATCCCACGATGGGTCGGTGCTGGTCAGCAACTTGGGCAGAAGGACGAGACGGATAATAGACGTTGCGATGGTGCTGGGTTCATTAGCACAGCATCCAAAGGAGCGGTAATATAGTTGCACTTACATAGATCCAATGCCGAATATCAGCATAGCGCCAATCTTTTGTGCAATTTTCATGCGGAGATTGAAGATCATTGGCATCGGCAGGATGAACAACATCACGTCGGTGGCGATATTTGACACTGCCGTGGCAATGTAAAGCACAGCCACGTCCAAACACTTTCCGTCATTGATGGTGAAGTCAAAAGCCTTGCGGACTGGGTTGCAGTGGAACAGCATCAATAATGTGATGCATCCCGAGTACAAGGACACAACGACGATGCCGATCCACACGCAAATTCGGAACCATCTTTGCGGCGACAAATGAAGATAGAAGGTAAGCAGCGACAGCTTCGTGAAGCCGTTGCAGAGCATGTACACCGGCGCAGTGACATACACATCCTTCCTCGAGTTAGCTTTGTTTGCTACAGTTGGGGCTCTTGGCGGTGGTCGGCACATACGATGGAGTATTTTACAAATCGGGAAAGGGGCATTTCCCAAGCGTGTGCACACATGCCGCCTTCAGCTATTGAGGCTGAATACACGTCAGTCATCATATCGCAGCAAATTGAGACTGTGGCAACACTTACCAACTAGCATGGCCTGCGTGACAACAGAAGCGACCTGTGAACGGTGAGTTAGATCATCGTCTTTCGGCCGAAGAAAACAGCGCGAGCCCCGAGCTCCCGACGATCACATACCCAACCAAGAAACATGAAAGCTGCAAGAAACTCAAATTAGCAATGCTCGTCAGTACAAAAGGTCAGGGCTAAGACGTACCATCATCGATTTGCAGACCCTTCGACAAGAAGATCTTGGTGTAAAACCTCTGACAGAGGGCGATGAACGCAATCGTGCCGCCGATCCCAAAGATGAGGTAATGCTCGAGCACCTTTTGCTGGCGCGGATGGTCGAAATCGACCGTCACTCCCGGCGGAGGAGGGATTACGGACGCCGGCATGTCAGCCGTTGGGAATTGCGTGTGGTTCGACATCTTTGGCGACACAGCAAACGATCATCGACGACGAGGAGCCAAAGCCAACAAAAGGTTTGGGTTTTGTTTATATGTCTAGCCTGAATTCTGACAGAGTTTGAGCAATTCGTTGGGCAGGCGATCTCGCGTCTCTTGGCCCAGAATAGAACCAGGGTCCATCCCCGAAAGCCCGCACCTCTATTCTGCGAAATTACGTTCTGCGAGCACGCTCCCACTCGAGAATGGATAAGACGAACAGGCCACATGGCGATGCCGAGTGAATCCTGTGAGTAAATCAAAGGGATCAACTCCCCGCCTTGTGCACTGTTCTACGAATATCTTATTACTATGGAAATCTGGAGTGTGATATTTCGGGGTCTCCAGAGGGCCAGGGACACAGATGTTGCGACGATTCAGCCGCCAGCAATGCTCTTTGCAGGACCCCGCTCGACGATTACCGAAGAAGACCCCGGCGAAGAACTTGGCTGGGGCGGCAGCTTAGGCTCGCCGGAGAGTAGCGGTTATGCGCCTTCAATATCTTAAGCTGTGATCGTGGTTATCCGCGATAGGGGCGCCTTGGCTTTTTGGTTGATCAGCAGAAATCGTCCTGTTGAAGAAGTCGATCCAACCTAGCAATAAAGTTCGGCTGAGGTTTTCTGCAGCCGAGCTGGGAGCCCCAGCCAAACGGGGTCGGGTGCCAGCCGGGATGGCGGTCATCCGACATGCGGGCTGGCAGAGGCCGGGGATGTGGATACGGAGAGCACTTTTGGCCCCTAGCAAAAGGACCGAGAGTCGTCCTCCCCAAAGCCCAAATCCGAGAGGTCTTGGCTGATGTGACGTTAGCTCAGAGTTGCATCTTCGAGAAGAGCCTCGGAAAGGCCCCATGTCGGATAGCGTACGAAGAGGCCTTCACAAGATGTTAATAGCTCATCATTGATAGGCAGGTGGACATCTCACGGTCACTGCGTTCGCTCTGCCGCCGGTGCCGAGCGATCTGGCCAAGATTCAGGGTCTGTCCACCCCTACCGCACATCTCGTATGCCGGGCCTTCTAAGGCTGCAGGACCTTGGGACAATCGTTGATCAATCCCACCTGGCATAGGCTAGCTAATGGCGGCACCTCACAACGTCATGCAAGCCAGCGGTGAGCCTCAGTCACGATATTTTAAGACTTCAGCTTGAAGGGATCAACTCAGTGAAGGTGATTTGTGCAAGAAAGGATCTCTTGGACAAAATTTCTTCTACGCGCCGATCACTTTCCTCTGAGCGGTTTTGGGCGGTCTGCAAAGCCCCGATGATCTCCTCAGTCTGCATGGATATGCTGTGTAGAAAAGTCTCAGAAAGTTCAACATGACTCAAACGACCTCGGCGGCGGCTATTACCCCTCCGCAGGCGGTGTCGTGCAAGCCTGCCCCCAAAACAAGATGACTGGGCAGAAATGATGCTCGGTGACCGAATCATGTTCTCTCTCCTTTTACGCAGGGTCTTCGGTGTGCTGAAACTCGAACCAGCCAAACCTTGCAAAGGAAGGCGTTGAAGGTAAAATCTCGGACGAACAGTCAGGGAAGTTGACAGAATGACATTCGCATTTCAGGAGTTGGCTGCCGGAGGTGGATCCGGGGAGGCGTCTTTGATTTTAACTGGAGGAAGAAAGGCAACGCCGGTATGAACGATTGAGTGCATCTGGGATCATGCGGCTAACAAAATGGCGCCAGACTAAGTTGCAGTGCGCATCTCCTCCCTTCCCGCCCCAGACCTTGCCGAGGACGCCGATAGGAGAAAGAAGTTGATGCTAAACCCTCTCGGTAATGAAAGACCCATAATCTCTGCTGGAGAGGGTGGCATTGTTCATCTGGGATGTTGAAGAAGATAGATGTCAGGTTGCACTCCGTCGTTGGAGACAACCGGTTGCGACGTCAAAGTTCACATCGTCCCTGAATAGAGTTTTGTTTGTTGACGGGAAAACAACGTCAAGAGGAAAAACAATCATGGCGGTAGAAACTATGTTTTATTCCGAAGACATAGCATCCCTTCGTAACCAATGCAGACCTCTCAAGATATATTTCCCTCGGCCCGTCCACCTTCCAAATTCGCATTCTCGTCCGCTCAGCCCCGTCTCCGGTTTGTGGGCGAATGGTGATTCCCACTTAGTCTCCCCCGATGGAAATTAGATCGCCTTATGCTGATCCGGCCCCCTAGGCCACTTAAAAGTGCGGATACACGGACCTCAAGATTTGCCTGCAGAAATGGAATGTAACAGCACAGATATCATCCAAGGCGATTCTTCCTCATTCTTCCTTTTGCTTTTCCGTTCTTTTTCTCGCTTTGATTTGACTACCCCCGGACAAACAGCACGTGTGTAGCCAGGTATCGCCCTCTCATTTGTGGCCCTCTCCCAAACTCTCAATTCTTCAAGAGAGATCGTCGTGGAACTGCGGGAGGTCGTGCGCAAACTCTGCAGTCATGAAGTTCTCAACATCAGGCTTGGCCCTCCTGGCATTGGCTGGCTCAGCGTTGTCTGCGAAGAGTCGTGGCCCCCAATGCTCATGTGTACGTTGCAAACCTCCCCTCGCCAAGCGATGATCATTCCTAACATCGCGTTCAGTGTACTGCCCTGGCTTCAGATGAGAACCTCAAAGGCAAGGTGTTTGGCAAAGACAGTGCTGTTTACGACGCACGCTTGAAGTCTTATTACTCTGCCAACGCTGCGCAGGAGGCCTGGTGTATGGTTCTTCCCGAGGGGACACAAGATGTCTCAGCGATTGCCAAGATCATCTCAAAACATGAGTGCCCCTTCGGTATCCGCAGCGGCGCTCACTCTGCCTGGAAGGGCTCCAACGGCGTCAATAGCGGTGTCACGATTGACTTCGGCTACATGAACGCCACGACGTACGACGCAGACAGCAAGGTAGCCTCAATATGCCCCGGGTCCAACTGGGGTGAGGTCTACAAGGCTCTTGATCCCTATGGTGTAACTGCTGTTGGAGGCAGAGCATCAGTCGTCGGCGTTGGTGGCTTCGTCACAGGCGGTGGTGTAAGTAGATGAACAAGATGTCTTGGCAGCCCCATCACTAACATCACGATTACCAGTACTCCTTCCACACCAACTCTCGCGGCTTCTCATGTGACCAGGTCACCAACTTCGAAATCGTGTTGGCCGACGGTACTATTGTCAACGCCAATGAGCACGAGAACGCCGACCTGTGGAAGGCACAGAAGGGAGGCTCTGGCAACTTCGGTTTCGTTACCAGAATTGATCAACGTATGTCCTCCAGCCCTTGAATTTCAACTGCCCGAACCCCAATGTTGACAACTTTTTAGGTGTCGTTGAGTCGACCCAGATGTGGGGTGGATTCTTCACCTACAACCAAACCAAGAGAGACGCTGTTTTCGATGCTTACATGAACTTCGCGAACCACATGGACGAGGATCTCGCTAGCCAGAACATCGTTGCGCTGTACTACGACAAGACTGGCTACACCCTCCGCTCCATTCTCAGCAATGTTGACGCCAACCCCGAAGCCCCTGCCTTCAGCGAATACTTTGCTATTCCCAATATCTCTACCACTGCGTCCGTTGGCGCCGTTTCTGATCTGGTCCCCCAATTCACTGGCCCGACACCGCTTGGTCTCTAGTATGTGAAACAATCGCCCATTATTTGGACACAACTAACCGAATTGCAGCGCCAACTGGTTCGTTGGTCAGACGGCTCACGACATCCGCATGCTCAAGTTTATCGACGACAAGCTCAAGGAGTACTCGCCTAAGATGAAGGCCGCCGCCCCCGACTCCGACTTCAATACCCTCATCCAGTTCCAGCCCGTCACACAGTCAATTGTCCAGCACAGCGCCCAGTCCGGTGGCAACGTTCTCGGCCTCGAGGATGTCGTCGCCGACGGCCCCACTCTCATGTGGCTCATCGCCTTGACTGTCGACACAGAGGCCAACCAGGAAATCCTCCTTCCGTACATCTTCAAGTTCCGCATGGAGATCGACAACTATGCCAAGGACCTCGGTCTCTACAAGGACTGGAAGTACACCAACTACGCCTGGGGTGACCAAGACCCCCTCGCCACCCACGGATACAAGAACTTCGACTTCATGAGCGAGGTTGCTGAGCAATACGACCCTGAGGGCGTGTTCCAGAACCTCCGCAGAACCGGCTTCAAGCTGGCATAACCCCTTCGCCGTTCCCTTTTGGCGATATGCTTTTGCAAAACAGAACGACGCACCTGAAACACGTGGACCACAGCAGTAATGTCTGAACCCAGCACTTGCAGCGCTTGCATTGATTCGCAACAACAAAGCAACAGAACTCCCCTAGCTTTTAATTCTTGTTAATGTTCATCATCTGTATTAGTAATAGGTAAAACCTAGACCCCAAGCCCTTTGACTTTTACACACCTTATTCAGGGCACGTTAGAAGAGATACCAGACTGCACATATGAATTCAATTCTTAATCCTTTGTATCACACAACCTGTATTTAGAACACATCATTGGCTGTTTTGTTTAAACACCGGTTCATTGAATTGAACATGCATTGATCTCAATGTCTGCTTATGATTTTTCATGAAATGTTGACAAATTGAATTTTGACAGTCTTCCCTGATCTTGTCTTGCGGCTCCAATATTGACAATACTTTCACCACACATACCTGATATATATGTCGAATACACGCTGGTTATCATGCGATCATGACGTGAGACATGCACTGCATGACCACCTAGTCATTCCCATTCGAAGACACTTCATCCTGATCTGTCAAGTAAGCAGTTGTGTCTGGTGAGACCTAGTAGCTAAGGCATAGGAAGTTCATTGGACATTTGGGCAGAATTCGGCATGGAGTTGTTTCTCTGCGAGGCCACACCAAAAATGGAAAATGAATGCAAAGCCTTGGGTAAGTCGCAAAGTGTGTTCGGCTTGCTAATGATCCCAGGCTGAAAACCTGACTGAAAGCTCGGATCTATGACACCCGACTGCATCGCCTTAGGCCTATTCAATGAACTTGCATATGTCAAGGCCTACGGTCTTGATTCTCAGTGGTAAGTAAACTCATGTCTCAGATGTCGAGGGGGAAAAACCAATTATCGTCGTAACGCCACTCCGGAGGTCCACTAGCGATATCGCCGTCCGGCCGGAGGTGTCGCAATTCTCGGTGCCCACTTTACCCCGCATTCTCGGCCTCCGGGGCGGTCCGAATGAGCGGCAGCAGTGGGATAAATGTCACCATACCTAGACTTCGGGACTCGCGTTTAAGGGATCGTGTCGATTCACGCGAGACTCCACCGCATGGGTCATAGCTTGGCCGCGTTAAACTTCATTAAATTCAAGCTTAATCAGCTTTACGTCAAGGAGGCATAGACTTAAGCCACCATAAGCGCCGGTCGCTTTTGACTTTCGCGGCGAGGGGCGTTTTGTGAAGAATTCTTTTGTGAATACTTATATAACTAGGGATATATAAGAGGACCCCCCTACTCTAACTACCCCCTATATATCTAACTACCCTATTAACTACTACTACGTTATAGTAATTATATATATATCCTTAAGTTCCTTTAATAAAGTACTATACTTTAATAATATAAGATACTTAATTTAATTAATATTATATAACTTATTTATCTTAAATTTCGTTTTAATTTACTTAAAATATCTCTATACTTTAATTTAAAAATATATTATCTTATTAAAGTATATTAATAGAAAGTAGTAATATATTTAATATATTATTAAGTTTTATATTAAGGAATTAAGTTATATATATAAAAATCTATATACTTTATCTTAGTTATTTTAAATAATTATAAAGAAGTTATTACTACTTTTAAAGTAATAATAATAGATAGTATTAATATAGTATAGTAATAATATCTTAATATTAAAGGAATAATAGGTTATAATAATATAAAGAAAGAGATACCTACCCCCTAGTAATTTATACTCTCTTTATATACCCCTATAGGTAGCTATAGAGGTTTCTCTATAAAGCCTAGGCTATCCTAGCCCTTAAATATTTCCCCGTGAGAGTTATATAGTAGTTAATAAGGTGCACCTCTAGGCGGTAAACTACAAAGAAGAAAAGTTAGAAGGGAAGAAATATTCGCGGCGAGGGGTTGGTCTCCAACGGCGATGAATACATAATCAAATCAGCATACCTGTCCGGCAACATTGACTCTGTTGAAGCAAGCTAGTGTTGTGAAATCACATCTGCTGTACACCATGGCTCCTACTTCGAAGACGCTGCTCAAGAACGGTCTGCTTCTTGTGCATGCAGATGATGGCAAAGTTACCCCTCAGCGATTGGACCTCCTGATTGAAGGGAACAGGATCGCCAAGATTGAAGAGAACATCCAGGCAAGCAGCGAAGTCAGGGTCATCGACTGCGACGGGAAAGTTATTTCACCGGGCTTCATCAGCACTCACCACCACGTCTGGCAAACTCAACTCAAGGGACGCCATGTGAACCACACACTGATCGAGTATCTTCCTCCTGGTAATTATGCAGGTGCATTTTATGAGCCTGAGGACGCCTTCTGGGGTGAGCTTGCTGGTGCTCTCGAAGCCATTGATGGCGGCACCACCACAGTAGTGGACCACTCAAGCTTGAACATGGGTCCTGAATTTCGTAGGTTTTCATTTCCACGGTTGACGCCAGGCATGGGCTGACTGTCACAGCTCCGACAATGATTCAAGCCCTTATTGCTTCTGGCCTTCGAACGGTCTACTGTTATTCCGTTCCTCGCACCGTTTCCAGTTGGAGCCCCTTTACAGTGCAGGACGATTACACCTCACCGAGCGTGCTTCAAGACTGGAAAGCCCTGGCATCCAAGGGGCCATACGGCGACGAAAGAGTTCAAATTGGTTTCGTCGTCGATAATGTTTATCAACCAGGAGATGCAATGAAGAAGCTTTATTCGGAGCTTAGGGCGGCAAAGGCCAAGGTCATCACATCCCACGCGGCCGCCGGCCTCGCCTTCGGGAATGGGCCATCGGTGGCGCAGCTTCTCAACAACCATGGCCTCCTCGGCCCCGATGTTCTGCTTTCGCACGCCAACTTCCCGAAGGACGGCGATGCGGAACTGATTACCAAGAACAATGTCTGGATCTCGGCAACTCCCAACACGGAGCTCCAGATGGGATGGCCACCACTCGCTCTACGTCCTGAATTTGAAGCAAATTCTAGCCTGGGAGTTGATTGCCACACTTGGGGGAGCAGCTATATGCCCAGCCAGATGCGTTTGGGGCTACAATATGCGCGCACCGAGCGCCAAGAAGAACTTCGCAAGCAGGGCAAATGGAGTCGCCACGTCGGCCCTACGGCTGAGCAAATATTCAACGTGGGCACGATTGGAGGCGCTCGTGCCATTGGCATGGCTGGCGAGGTCGGACAGATCAAGGTCGGCGCCAAAGCAGACCTTGTGGTCTTCGACACCTCCAGCACATCCATGTTCCCGGCTGCCGAAGTGGATCCCGTTGCTGCGATTGTCTTGCACTCGAGCGAGAGAGATGTCGAGACGGTGATTGTGGGCGGAGTAGTGAGGAAGGAAGCCGGCAAGTTGTTGCCTATTTCGGTTGTGAAAGGGATCGATGGCGCGAAGGAGATGGGACTTGGGGGCAAGCAACTCACGTGGAAGGACATTGCACTGCAACTGTCGGAGAGCCGGAAAAGACTGGACAAGAAAACTGAAGGCGTTGATATGCGGGCCGTTGAGGAGACTATCATGAACAACTATTTCATGAATCGTAAGGATATGGTTGAGCAGGATTGAACACCAATGACGTCAAGCGAGTAATCTAGTATTCGTGTGAATCGTTACTCATCTAGTTCAGAACTTGTGTATCTAAACCGTCTCGTCTGATATTTCTTACGGCAAGTTCAACCCTGAAGCCCCTTCCGTTCTTGGCCTGAACTCAGATAAATCCATCGCATTCTTTTCTACGACCTCACTTCTTCATCTTTTGCTTTATTTGGGTTCCGCTCCGAATTAAATCTCAATCAACTGAGGTGAGTTTTGTTGTACAAAAGCAAACTTCAGATTCCCTCGCCGCCACAAGAAGAAAACCGCCCACAGACCTTCAACCTCACCAAAATACCAAAAGATCATTTACCTATCAAAAATCTGTTTTGTTCAAGTCTCTCATTTATCAACCAAATCAAACACGAAAGTTACTCGCCATTGAAGAATTCTCCCGCCACGACCTGAAGGTCCAGAGCACAATGTCAGCCACCCCAGGACTTGCCTCTTCAGCCAGCTCAGATTCTGCCGACGACGAAATTGAGTCAATTCTTCCCTTCAACGGCAGGGCGCCCAAATCCAAGCAAAAGAACACAAAGCCACCACCAGCTCCGGTTATTTGGATCAACGGCTTCCCAGGCACCGGAAAGCTCGAAATCGCCATCGAACTCCGTCATCTCATTGGAAACCACCGCGCCATCTACATTCAAAACCATCGACGGATCGACAACGTGGCCCTTCCCCGCCGGCATTCACAAGCTTGGAAGGAAGGCGCCAGCAACCGAAAAGAGACATTGCGGTCCTACGTTCTTGCCCCACACATGCGACACAAGACAATCATATTCACCGACTTCCAGACCACCGATTCGATCGAGCGTACAGACAACCCCATCGAATACCTCGAGGCCGCGCACAAGGCTAACCGGCCGTTCTTGCCTGTCACGGTGATGTGCAGCGAAGCTGAGAACATCCGCCGGATCACCGATCCAGGTCGGTGTTGGCCAGAGTCAAGCGTGCAGAGGAAGGTGCTGAAGAATGCATTTGTTCTGCGATGCTACCGCACGTTGAAGCTATTTGACTTTGACGTGGTTGACTACTTTCATGAGGTGAAGCGGGACGGGTTCGTCGTTGACGTTACGGAGCTGGATGCTGTTGTTGTTGCTGAGATGATCCAGCGAGAGGTGAAGCGGTCGCGGAAGGGCAAGGAGGCCATGCGAGAAGTTGGATGCCGGTGGTGAAGCATGAGGGGGTTAGGAGATTTCGTGCCATGAGATGGGATTGAATGGGACAGGGGGTCGCAGCAAATGGGATGGTAATAATGCGAAAGATCATGACAACATCGCGGTATAAACATTGTTGCTTGTTTGTGAGGCCCAACGTATCACAGCATCATTCAACAAACACCAACCCGGCCATTCAGCCCATCATAGTTTTCCACCAACAAACTTAGAATGAATGAGAGAGCCATTCGGAATCCTCCATGCTAACATTCCACTGGGCAAGCAGCCGGATCTTTATGAAAACGAGAGTCAAAGGTCGCAGTGACAGGAGCGATGTTTTGTTCCATCCTTTTCTTCAGCGCCCGCCTCACAAAAAACAAGCGTCATGCCAATCTCAAGTCCAAGATCTTAGCGGCCGATGCCTGTCACGCCAAGAACACAGGATAAGCACTACGGATTGGCGACCGGGTTCGAGCATCCCTGTCGACGTGGTATCGGCTTGCAGGCAGAAGGATTGCAGTTGAGAAAATAGAATCCTCAGGGGTTGCGGCACAGCAAGTTTGCCCTGTCGAAAACTGCCACATTGAAGAACCCATTTCGAGTCTAAAACTACGAACCCCCCAGGAAAGTAAAGCCTTGCAATACTCGATCTCGACATGGTTCCGAGAAGAATACCACGGGATGTTTGACAAGTGCCGTCGAAAGTCTGGCTTTGGAGGCCATTCAGATCCCCCGTCGCCGGACCAGGAACTACGACCAGATGCAAGCCAGAGTCTCGAAGAGCCACTCGTCAGAAACTTTTCGATGAGTGCCGGCGAAGCTCAAAACGAGAGCGACCAAGACCTCAGATTCAACAAAGCTCATGCCGCCTACGTCACCAGCAACGACCTCAAAAGCAAAGCCCCGCGAGTCTCGACGTTATTCCAAGACTTCTCCATCCGCAACGAGCCAAACTCTCCAGCTAAACCAACCAAAAAACCACAATCAGTCTTTGTGCCATGGGCCCCAGACGTCACCCTCCTCGTCACAGCCACCCTCCTCCTCGCCGCCATCTTCGCCACCACCCTCTCCCAAGACAACAAGCCCCAGCGCAACTGGACGCTGCCCATCACCCTCAACTCCCTCGTTAACGTCCTCTCGACGCTCTTCCGCGCGTGCATCGCCGCCGTCGCCGCGGAGATGATATGCCAGGCGCGATGGACGTGGTTCTGGTCCGATAGACACGGCGGGCGGCGAATGATTGATCTGCAGCATTTCGACAGCGGGAGTCGAGACGTGCTTGGAGCGCTGAGGCTGGGCGGGGTCGTGAAGTGGAGGAGCCCGGCGACGTTGACGTCTGTCTTTGTGGTTGTGGCGTCGTTTGCGATTGGGCCGTTTGTGCAGCAGGCTATCGGGACGGTTGAAAGGGCTGTGGTTGATCCTGGGGAGGTTGCGAGTATTCCGACGGCGCAGGGCGTTGATCTCGATTCGTACTTCTTCGAGGCGATTTACCGCGACAAGGAGGATGGGTCGAGAGCTACTGAGAGGGTTATGAGGCCTGGGATGAGGATTGCGCTGCAGACGGCTATACAGAATCCCCGCGGTGTGGATTCTGAAGTTTCGCCTACTTGTCCGACTGGGAATTGCACTTTCATGGGGCTTGAGTCTGGCGCGCCGGTGGTTGGGCTTGGCGAGATCACACACGAGTCCGCTGGTCTTTGCTCTGTCTGTACGGATGTCACACCCCTCATCAGCGTGGCCGAGAGCAATAGTTCGATAGCCTTGCCGAACGGGATGAATTTCTCTACGGGTCGGACAGCGACGAGTATGGTGTTTGGCTCGGGAGATCTATCCTGGGCTAATAGCGTCATGTCTGAGCGAGCTATATCTCTGGCGAAGCAGGGGTTATCCAACATCACCGTCCTGACTACCCAGAGCCCCATCGCCGATAGATACGGCGCCCCGTTCGTCCATACTCGCATGGCACTCTCCTGCTCCTTGTACCTCTGCTTGCGTAGCTACTCGGGGGTCGTCCAGAGAACCCAGCTCAAGGAGAAGCTCATTTCCGAAGTTGCCATGTACCACGACCCATTGTACGACGGCATCGGGCATCAGTGGGTCAAGAACGGCAGCTATCTAGCCTCCCGCACGCCCTGCGTAATCAACGGGCGGAACTACACCGCCGAAGCTGAGACCGGCAGCCTCAACATCACTACGTTCTGGGCGCCCGACGCCGCGGACTGCATATACAGCGTCGCCCCGACCTTCGCCGATGGACTGTCGTCGTTTCTGAGCGACGCGTTCAACGAGACTTGCACCTTTAGCGCGTTCCAGGACGGGAACCTCTGGTGTAAGAACAACTTCTGGCTCTCTGAGCTATGGTATCAGGGCAACGCGACGGTTGAACTCGTTTCTGAGCATTTCGCCGATATTGCTACAGCGGTGACGAATCAGCTCCGGCGCGGCCTGGGGAGGCAGGAGGGCTCGATGTCTGAGGTCGAGGGCCAGGCGCTTCAGTATGTTGTGTTTATGGTCATTGATAAGGGGTGGCTCGCCTTTCCGGCTGTGCTTCTTGGGCTGGAGGCGGTATTGCTGGGTTTGATGATCGCGAGGAGTTGGCGGTCGAGAGACGAGGAAGCTGTTTGGAAAAGCAGTATTCTGCCTTTGATTTTTTATAGGAACCAGTTTGCAGGGTCTGGGCAGGTTGTTGCTTCTGGGGAGAGGTTGATGACAGTGAAGGAGATGGAGACTGATGCGCGGAATATTCGTGTTAAGTTTTCTCGCGTCCGGGCGGGGGATGAGATGAGTCTGCACCGTATTGCGAAATAGTCATTTAGAGTGACGATTTAAGCTGTAATATTGAAACCATCTTGCTTCCTCTCATCTCACCTTGCCTCATTTTAGTTGATGGATATGAGGTGACTCGTGAGTCTTTTTTTCACAAATGAATGCCCCGCCCCTTGAAAATCGGGTTTGCCCTTCATCCTCAATGCCTTCTTCACCGCTTCGCAACCACTTACCTTCCATATTGTTCTCACGTGTCGTTGACTGCAACGAGTCAGTCTCATCCCATCGCTGACGTGGCTTATGTAACGGGGCAGGCATCGGAGGTTTAACAACGGTGAGGCATACCGAAGGCCCCCACTTTTCCAAATCTCACTCCGATATTGAGTTGCACACGTATCGCAAACCTTCACGATCAGATCTCACCTCACACATCCATCTGTCACTCCCTCGACGCCAAATTCACGTGTCACTCACTCGCTTCATCACCAAAGAAAAGCCAGACATATTCCAACTCGGGAATCCGCGAAATCCACCCATCTGCCAGAAATGTCTCAAAAGCCGAGACTCCTGTGCCTCCACGGCGGGGGCACCTCCGCCCAGATCTTCCAGATCCAGCTCATCAGACTGCAGCGCATCCTCGACGCCCGCTTCGACTTCGTGTACATCGACGCGCCCATGGACTCGGCGCCGGGGCCCGGCGTGCTGCCCGTGTTCGAGGGGTGCGGCCCCTACCGGCGCTGGGTCAGCGACGACCCCGCGACGCCCGCGGACGAGTTCCAGGCGCAGAAGGACGCCGCCGTGGGGTTCCTCAAGACGTACATCAAGGAGAACGGCCCCTTCGCCGGGTTCGTCGGGTTCTCGCAGGGCTGCCGCGCCATCTCGAGCCTGCTGCTCGAGCACCAGCGCGGGGACGACGATTTCCTGGGGCCGGAGGCGAAGCCGTTTGCGCTGTTCATCTGCGGCACGTTCCCGCCGTTCGTGCCGCACGAGGAGAAGATCACGGCGCCGACGGTGCACGTGGTCGGGCTGGAGGACCCGTACGAGCCGGCGAGCGAGCAGCTGTATGAGCAGTGCTCGGAGAAGAGCACGCGGAGGATTCTGAGGTTCCCGGGGGGCCATCACCTCCCGACTGCGCCGGAGACGATACAGCACGTTGCGAACATGACGTTGAGTGTTTACAAGGAGACGTTGAGGAAGTGAGGACAAGGTCGGAAATGGCGGTTTGGGATAGAGTGGGTTGGTTATTGGGCGCTAAAGATAGATAGGAGCAGCGTGTTTCGATCAACGGCCGGGAATAATAGACATCTTTGGACACAACAGACAGACATACGGGATCATCGAAAGATGGGAGGCAATCATGAGTTTGGGGTGGGCGAATCAACCACGAGATTCAACCCGAAAGTGCCAAGAACGTGGAATGGAGTCTATGGCTGGATTTCTGAGTTTGTGTGTAACCTTCCCAACCAACAGCATCTCGCCGGCGACGTCTGTCTTGGACGTGATGGTGTGAGGAACGGCGCCAGAAGCGTGGCAGCCAAGTTTTTGGCCGAGGCGTTGTGGGGTGCTCCCGAAAGAATGTTAGCGCCAAGGGCGGGTGCTTGTCTCTGATTATGGTTGTTGCCTACAAAGATAGTGAGATTCTGATAGAGAGATACGTATCCCCGGTCGTGCGCTTCAATGCCCCCGCTGTCGGTCGACGTCACCTTCAGCGAGCAGCAGCTTAAGCTCCGGCCTCCTGAGCGCCCGCGGCAAAACAAGGAAAAACGATGCGACAGCCACCACGACGCGCACGACGCCAACTTCTCCCGGTGCTCTGCTCTCTTCGTCCAGACTTTTTCTTCAGGTCTGATATTGGTGTTTCGACGTCTGACGCCGTCAATTGAGCACCCCATTGTGGCTACTCGCGATAATCGGCTCCGACAGACTCGACGACGGCAATTGCGGACGATACGATCGAACGACAACACACGAAGAGATAACCGCTCGGAGCACTCGTCATGGCTCGGTCCAGCTGGTTTTCCCGCCTGATGGGCTGGGACAAGCATCCCAGACACCATCACGATTTCCACGCCGACTGGATTCGCGATGACCGCAGACGCCGTACGTGTTCATCCCTTCTCCGTCGTCCCATGCTCTCCCACCTCCGATGACAGCCCTCATGCCACCTCAATTCCCTTCGGAAGATCTGGATTGCTAACAAGAGGTTCTCTTCCGTGATCTAGTTCTGCCGCAATACCGCAACGAGAACATCCAGTCCGCGATCCCTGCCGCCGAAGTCACAAAGGTGGCCCTCAAGCTGCGCCACCTGATTGAGCTTGCTGTTCCGTGCGAACTCGACGAGGAGGAAATCACAAAGGCACACAGCAAGATCATCACTACGAAGGTCATCAAGGCCGCCAAGGAGGCTGGTGGCTCCCACTACCGCTCCTGCGTCGTGTTTTGCCTGGTGGTTTGCAAGAGATGGTTCAAGCACCAGGCCCTCGTCGAGCTCTGGGACGCCGACATGCACAGGGTCCGAGCCGTCGCCTGTGAAGTGGTGGCCAAGCAGATGTAAGTCCACCATCTCTTAGGATTGACGACATTGTACTGATCACGTGATGGCAGCATCGAAACCGAAGACGACTTCGAGTACCTCATGCATTCCGTCCTGCTCCGCCGATACTCCATCATCGTCGACGGCGAAGCCACCCCGCCCGCCAACGTCGTCGAGAAGGCCGTCGACCTTCATGCCGTGAGGGTAATTGGCTCGTCGGGATACCAAAAGTGCATCTCCTACCTCTGGAAAGGCTGGCTTGTACAGGATGAAGACGACCCGGCCGTCTTCATCGACTACAAGGACAAGGACAACACGAGCTTCTTCGTCCACATGGATCCCGACCGCATTCGCGCGCCCATGTACCAGAACGCCACCCAAGTCATCATCTCCTTCGTGTACATCGGTCTCTACACCGCCGTCATCAACTCCGTCAACCCGACTGGTGTCTTTGACACGGCCGAAGTCCTGTTGTACATCTTCACCCTCGGCTTCATCTGCGAAGAGGTTACCAAGTTCTGGAAGGCGGGCTACCACATCCTGGGCTTCTGGAACGCCTTCAACAGCGTCCTCTACAGCTTCATTACTCTGTCCTTCATTCTCCGCATCATTGGCCTTACCCATCAGCAGGGCGACGACACGCGCGAGTTCTACAGCAAGATGAGCTACAACTTCTTGGCGTTTAGTGCACCCATGATCTGGTCTCGGCTGCTGCTGTACCTCGACAGCTTCCGCTTCTTCGGCGCCATGCTCGTGGTGCTCAAGGTCATGATGAAGGAGTCAATCATCTTCTTTGCCCTGCTGATCGTGTTGGTTATTGGTTTCCTCCAGGCCTTTATCGGCTTGGACTTTGCTGACGATTGGGTCGCGGATGATATCCTCTTCATCCTGCAGGCCATGGCGAATGCCGTAATGCAGAGCCCTGACTTTGACGGATTCGACAAGTTCTCGCCGCCGTTTGGAATCATTCTGTACTACTGCTTTACGTTCATCATCATGGTGAGTGCATTTCCGGGTGTTTTTCTGCCCGCATGCTAACCCGTCCCAGGTCGTCCTGCTCAACATCCTCATCGCCCTGTACAACTCGGCGTACGAGGACATCTACGGCAACGCCAACGACGAGTACCTCGCGCTCTTTGCGCAGAAGACAATGCAATTCGTCCGCGCGCCCGACGAGAACGTGTACATCCCGCCCTTCAACCTGCTCGAGATGCTGGTCATCTGCCTCTTCTGGTGGATGGAGAAGTCCAAGTTCGAGCGCATGAGCGACATCATCATGGGCATCATCTACTCGCCCGTGCTGCTCATCGCCGCGTGGCACGAGACGAAGATGGCGGGCGAGATCCGCAGCAACCGCGCCCGCGGCGAGGAGGACGACGATACGATCGAGGAGTGGGAGCAGATGATGGACCAGGTCGACTTTGAGGCCGACGGCTGGAACAAGCTTTGCATCAGCGCCAAGACGAACCTGGAGGCGGACCCGACCATTACCGAGGTGCAGAAGCTGCGCGGTGAGGTCGAGGAGCTAAAGAAGCTGCTGGTCGACATGACGAAGGCCTTGTCTTCCGGTGGAGAGGTTGAGCCCAGCCAGGCATCCACCTTGATCGACGTCGCTGAGCCGGAGCAGAGCGAAAGCAAGACGAAGAAGAAGAAGAAGGGAAAGAAGAGCAAGAAGGACAAGAAGGCGGGCGGCGAAGGAAATGCATCCGCGTCCTCGAGTTCGAGCGATGAGGAGTGATGAGCGTTCACCTGATGGGACACGTCGCGTGATCCATGCGCTCTGTTTTTATCTACTGTCTGTGTAAAATGTTTAGGGCCGTCACGTCACATCACGTCTGTCACGAAAGCAATTCCGTTTTTGTTTCTATGGGGGATTTGGGTCTCGGGTAATCAGCTGCGAGTCAGGATCCATTGGCGTTGGACCATCAGTCATTGTTTGTCAGATTGGATCTGAGAGCATAGCAAACCATTACCAGTACCAGCGAAAATTTGCACAATTTCATTGACCGAAAAAAGCATCCGTGAGTCCGCCGCCGGGAGCCGACTGGACGCAGTGGTGATTGTCCGTCGAGTCCCGTCCGCAAATCGGCTCCGGGCAGATTGTTTCAGCCGACCCCACGACCGCCAAGGTCACCAGCTTCACCAGTTGGGCAGTTCATCTTCGTGAGTTGTCCCGGATGCCGGCTCGGGTCCTACGCGAGGAGGGCTGTGGTGCAAGTTGCAACAGCTGCGGAGACAGGGTTAACCGAGCTGGGGCTTGGGTGGCCTTTTTTCCTGGAATGGTGAAGGGGGCAACCTTATTTTTACATGTTGGAAACGACCTTCTTTTGACCTCCCCAACTGAGACTGGGGCGCGTGGAGACTTTTTGGGATGTTGGCACCATTCAAGATGGGGAACAGTAATGACAATCCAGTACGAAGAGAAGCTGACTCTGAGGCGCAGACGGGTCGCGACCATCCTCTAGGTACCTAGCCGCCAACCACCCCTGTCCAGGCCCCAGAACCTGCATCTCGAGACGTTTTAAAGTTTAGTGGCGTCCAGCGGTTCCCCGGCATTCCCTCTCCACATGGTGTCGTTCCTCACCAGGAACACTCGGCACGAAGAGGAAACTCGCCAAAACAGTAGTGTGCTGTCGCCCCTGTTTTGCCTTGGGATGAACGGGTTTTGGGCCTTGTTTCTGCTGAGATTGGAGGAGATGATTTGTGGCCGCCTATGGAGAGTGATGAAGTTGAATGGTGACGGAGGGATCATTGTGGCTGCTTATGGGGGAATTTGGCTACAATGCCATTCGAAGGACATACGGATGGTCAGAGTACCCATTCAGCTCCATGTTTACACGGAGACCAATTGGGCCCCCTAGTTCCCTCCCCCTGGCGCTTAGCCGGGATTGATTTTCGAAACATGATCCGAACATTGGCGCGGGACGACGGCACCATGGCCGCGGCTGTGTTTGGCCGTCTTGACCCCGCCAGCGAGACACGACTCCAGTCCAGTGCATCGCGTGGATGTCGTCGACCTGGTCCCAAACGCCATGGCTGAGGACGTCTCCCCTGCCTTGGTAACGGGAATTTGGTGTGTAGCTCCCACAGCTTGGACCCATGTCAGCATGGGGTAAGGTAGGTAGCCAAACATGGTGTGGCACCGCATTTAGCTTCGTCCCAACGCTCAGGTAGTGTGTGAGTGTGTCTTTGACCCCTCAATTTGGCATCCGTCCGAAGAAACCAAAAAAGCTTGGCCTGCAGGTCGTTGGTGGGTGGCATGGCTTAGAGTGGGTTGCTACCACGTAAACCTCGGATGTCAGATCCCCCGGGGCCACTCACTCTATGGAAACAGACCTTTCCGCGAGGCGAAGTCGACCTCTGTTTCTTTTGCTGCTGCTGGAGATTGTGCTTCTTTTTCGGGGCTAGCTCATCGTTGCCGCGCTAGTTCGCTGAGGGTAGGACAGGGCTCGGCTGAGGAGACCGAGACCTCCCTTTCCGTCTTCTCCGGATGGCGCTGTCGTGAGGCCGCCACGCGACTGGCGGCATTCTCGTGCCGAGATGGGGGCTGTCTTTCTCGGCTGCGGCAGAGCTACACCTGAACCTGGGCTTCTGGAGAAAACGATGTTGCCTGGGGTATGTGGCTTTGGGGGTAGCGTTAGACGTTACAGGGAGACCGCCACGAGACCTGCCTCGTCTCTTGTTGATGTCGGGTGAGTTGTATAAGAAGACTGTCATCTTCCTGTCAAACCCAGACTTGGCATTCCATCATCAGCACAAACATATTCTCCTCTCTCACACACCCAAATACCCAAACACCAACATAATACAGAGTTGACCTCTCTCACACATCCAAAATGCACGCACAAACCCTCCTCGCCCTCCTGCCCGCCGTCGCAATGGCCCAGTACGGCTACGGCAGCGACGACGCCGCCGACTCCTCCTCCATGACCACAACCGCCTCCGCCGCCGCCGCCTCCTCTTCCTCCTCCGCCTCCGGCACGGTTCACGTCGTCAAAGTCGGCGACGGCGGCCTCACCTTCTCCCCCAACGACGTCAAAGCCGCCGTCGGCGACACCGTCGAGTTCCACTTCTACCCCAAGGCGCACTCCGTCGCGCAGTCCTCCTTCGACAAGCCCTGCGAGCCGCTCTCCAACGGCACCGCGACCGGCTTCTTCTCCGGCCCCGTCCCCGTCTCCTCGGGCGAGGGCGCCGACGTGTTCTCCGTCAAGGTCGAGGACGCCTCCCCGAAGTGGTTCTACTGCGCGACGGCGCAGCACTGCCAGGGCGGCATGGTCGGCGTGATCAACGCGCCGAGCAGCGGCGGCAGGACCGTGGACGCGTATAAGGAGGCTGCGGCCAAGGCGGAGAAGAACGTGGCGCCGGCGTCGACTGGGGGCGGTACCCTTGGGCCTGCGGCGACGGGCAGCCCGAGCAGCTCTGGGGGTTCCGGCACGAGCGCAAGCGGGACGTCGGCGGTGTCGGGCACTGCGGCGAGTGGATCGGCGTCGGCTTCGAGGACCTCGAGCCCGAGTGCCGGTATTGAGGCGCGCGGGGATGTTAGGTTGGGACTGCTCAGCTTCGGTATGGCTGTTGCCGGTGTCGTTGGCGGGCTTCTCATTTAAGATGGTTTGAGTGGTTGTGGTTTGGGTGTTTGGATGGGGCATTTATACCAAGGTGCATCAACAGATTGGTCTTCCGGAAAGGGAGGGATGGTCTGGGTTTAGAGCGATTCATGTGTACAAAGTACCCTACTAGTTAGTCATTGTTTTGCAATATTGATCAAGCTGAGCTTTCAAAATGCTGCGTTTCTGGGTGGACCTTGATTGATTACAACAGAGGGGCAGCCTGAGAAAAAGGTGTAGTCGATTCTTCGGTGGTCAACCCGTGAAAGCCCCCTGCTTGAGTATGCGATAATGCGACATGCTTTCTACATAGTCCACGTAAAGTCCAAACTTCTTGGAGATATCCCATCGAATAGTGAATGACGCTAATATATAGACTTGCAGGATGTAGCTAACCAAAAGTATTCCATATGATGTGCAACTTCTTTTTTTCCTTTTGGTAAATTGAAAAGTTGAACGTAGTGAGATTGGTAAAGATTGCGGTCACTAAACATTCTGGCGCTATCCAGTAGTAGATAGGATAAGTTACTGGATGTCTTCTGCACATTCTCGATTCTATTCGGTTCTTTAGTTTTTGTATTCAAACGACACAATTACTTCGACAATAATTAATTGATTCGCCTAAGTGCCAGTAACAAATGCGAACACTCATGTGCGGAGTCCTTGTCTATCTCCATACATGTAATCGTCTCATTCAGCCCAAATAGTACCCCCGCCAAGAGATTAGTTGTGGTTGAAGAATATCTTATAAAATATCAAAGTCTGAAAATTCATGCCACAGATCATCGTCCAAATTATTCACAGGAGAAGGGTTCCTGTTGAAGCTATTCAGAAGCCTGCCGACATCGGCCGTTACCCCCCCCCCCACATCAGGTCCCCAGGTTCCCCGCCGACGCTACGACAGTGTTCAACACTGTGGACTGAATGTGGACTAAGATCTTGCATATTGACCCCCTGAACAGCTTATTTTCCACCTTATTTGCGTCCCTGTCGATCGGTTGGCATCCACATCATGCAGCAGCATGCAGTAGCATCACATATAATTCGGATACAAGGAAGGCTAATCGCTAGACACGTATCGCTTTTTATGCAGCAAGACATCAATATTGGTGACATCGTCACATTCAGCACAAACCAAGATCAGCAACGTCCAGGCAGAATGACCAGCTGCTGGCAAATTGAACACTACAAATAATGCTCCTTTCTACATCTATCGCAAAACACAAAGAAAGAAAATACAGCCAATGACATACCGGGCCTACCAGCAGCCCAAAAGAAATAGAGAGAACAGTATATGCAAGAAACTCTAGTCCGCGTCGGCACGCGACAACACCCAAGCGTCGATAGTCACAAACCCTTGGTCTCTCTCGACATTGGTGACTCCGACAATCATCAGTTGATTGACCCAGTAGTACGCATCGACACCGGTCTCAAGCGTCAGATACAAGATGCCCTTGCCGTTCGGTGCAGGTCCCTCAGCGCGGACGAAAATATTGGCGCCGTCGTTGGTTTGGAATTGAAACAGCGTGATTGCCTCGAATTGGCCTCGGCCATCGAGGAGGCCCCAGTCGGCACCGACGGGAAGCACGACACCTGTTGATGACCCTGTCAGCCGACGCTCATTCGCTAAGGCTAGGGAATTGCATACCGTTGAGCTTCGGCCCTTCGAAATTCCCTCCAGTGATCGGGTCAGAAAACCTGTTGCCTCGTGGGCCAACGCCAAAGTTGACGGACTGCCCCAGCGTCATCTTGAGCTGGAACAGCAGCTCGGCGTTGGGTACTAGGGGGCCGCCATCTTTGTGGGTGGGAACCGCGTTGGTCAAGGGCACGAACGAGGAAAGCAAGCCAGCGGTGGCCAAATTGAAGATGTTGGTGGGCAGCATTATGATTAGTGTAAATGATACGATCTGGCTGGAATGAATGAAGAGACTGTCATAAGTATGTGAACGAAATATAGCGGTAAATGGTCAGAGCTTCCTACGATTGAAGCTGGCTTCATGATCCTTTATGTATACAGACCACCCCAGTCTTTAGATTTCGGATGGCATGCGTTCCGTGATGCTGTCGCTGCGTGCCTTTTCTTGGCAGACCCAAAAATCGCGGTAGCAAAACGTTTCCTTGCCGTTGGGGTTTCACCCATAGGCTGGATTGAAAAGGTTTTAATCGCCGGCGGCGGTAAAGCAAAACTTAGCAGTCGGCAAGCCATTGCGCAGGGAATGTGCTTCTTGTCATTGCAAGTCAACCGGCGGGCCGCACGTTAAACGTCAAAAGCCCAAATGATGGGATGAACGGTGCCAGTACCGCATGGAGAACTTCTAGAAGCGCCAAGCCGGCTCACGCCCAAGGCTTATTTAGACTTCCGGCCAGAATGCAGGCACGCCATTGGTCGTCTTCGTGGTTGAGGTCATGGATGACGGCGCTTAGAGCCACATGCTGTAGGTTTGACTTGCAGCCGTGAGTCGGCCCGGGGAGCTGGCCGACACGTGCGCGGATGGGCAGTGAGGATATTGCGGGCCTGGTGACGAGCATTGGCCGTTGGCTCGGGCATCATGGCGCCCAGTTGAATTTTATCCCCATCTTTGCATGTACATGATCAAATCTTCCCGGTAATTTCGCTGTGAGCATCAATGACATCAGCCGGGTAAATAACCTTTGGGAATTACCATGTCTGGAAAACAGGAATGAGTGTTGTGCAGAATTCTGAATGTCGAGATAAATTGAAACCACAAGGGCGATAGTCGTCCTAACCAGACACTACAACCCTCGCAACGCTTTCCACTCATGCTCCAACGTACCGTACCGAATCACATCATGCCACTTGCGGTCAAGCCAAAACGCCTCTCGATCTCTTCCCTCCTCGACAAATCCCAACTTCAAGTACAGGCTCTGCGTCCGCTCGTTGAAAGACGACGTCGCGTTACGAACACTGTGAAATGCCTCGAACCGGAATGCCCAGTCCAGAGCCCAGTTGATCACCTCCCTGTCGTAGGCCTGATTCTGGTACTCTGCAGCAAGACTAATCCCCATCGCTGTTGACCGGTGATGGGTCTGGTCCCATTGATCAGCGCTTTCCCAACCAAAAATCAGGACCCTGATAGGAATCGGCTGATCTCCCTCTTTCTTGCCGCTGTAATCCTTCCTATCATCCTTCCTTTCAGTGGTATTGTCGCTTTCGGCTACGGGTCCCAGGGCGGGAGATAGAGTGTGACACTGAGGACGGCCTTGGTCAGGCCCTCCGCAACCCCCTCGGCATGCTTTTGGGTTTGGGGTCTGAGCATCCATAGCTACGCGAGCGCGGAGAGGAGGGTCGGCCTCGATATGCTTGTAGATGAACTTTATCTGGGGCTCGCTGCTGTCGAAGGCGCGAATGAGCAAACGCTCGTTTTTGAAGGCGTTGACGAGGCCGTCGGTGATTATTTCTACTTGATTTCTTTCGTAGCTACTATCGTGTATTTTCTGTGTGTAAGACTTGTAGGAAGCTATGGTTGTCGTCGGATTAGTGATCCATAGCAGAGCATGAAGACGAATCGCTTTATATGCTGATAGACGCTGCATAAACCCCGGAAAGTCCTACCTTCTACAAATAAGTCGTATATGCTGATTGCCGCCTCAGCGCTTACTTTCTGTTGCCGGGATATTCTGAGTTGCGACATTGGACTCTACGGGCTGCACGGCGAACAAAAGTTCCAAACGCTATAAATCAACAATTTGAGCTGCATGCGTTCAGCGCGAGTGACGTGCATCTTACTGCATAGTTAATCCATAGCAACTGACTGTTACCAGCTTCCTATTCCGTAGAAATATCATGCAATCACCCTGGAAAGACCATGCACCAAACATCTCCAGCCTTGCACTTCGTAAATGTCGTAATCTTAGGCTAAACCGTGTTTCGGAACTCACAAATGAGCGGCATCCATAGAGGTATAAGTGCAGATGCATACTAATGAGATTGAATCGATAGATGGACGATAACCCTGCTGACGGGTATGGGATCTTGAGGGTAGAGAGTTGTTTAACACTGCTACCCCGAATATCGCTTGATTTGTAACAGACTATTTGTGCAACGGCGGAGCGCTACGTATCCCACCGGCTACTCAAGTCTACGGAGATGGTAAAAATGGGTACGTAGTCAGCGAGATGGGGTACTGTGACGCAATCAATGGTATACTCTACGAGTGAAGTTCAGTAAACCAGATATCTTGGATAATGAGTTCAGCGTCTCTAGCGAAAATTACTGGAGCGAGAAAGTCGCTGCTGCCTTTGCCGTACTGCTCATACCTTACTACCCTCGCCCGCCCCCTCCCTCTTGCTCGAGCCCTTTCATCCCCGTCTTCTACCTTCTGTGCCCTTCTCGCGTTTCGTTGACCAATCGCTGAAGGAAACTCGAGGGCCCAGACTTGCACAGATGACCTCGCTCCTTCCGTTCGCGCCTTCTCACCAGAAACTCGCTCAGAATTAAAAATTCACCCACCTCAGTCTCCGTCTATTCTCTTCGGACATCTAACAGCAAGAAATTCTCCGTTCTGGGAACATCATCGCAATTTGAAATATTCAGACTTCGCCATGTCTCAGCCAATACCGCCATCTACATCAAAGTCCGCTCCGGATGGAGATCACGCGTCACATACCGCGGGTGACGAGGCGGCGATCTCACCAGGCGACCCGACTATCGGATACAAGTTCAATCACATGATGCTTCGCATCAGAGATCCTGCCCGTTCTTTGCACTTCTATATCGACTTAATGGGCATGCGAACCGTGTTCACCATGAATACTGGCCCATTCACCATCTATTACCTCGGGTACCCGCAAACAACCGAGCACCGCGCCGGCCTTGCAAAATTTCGCGAGGACACGGTATCCAAGCTTCCACACACACTGGGACTCTTCGAGCTGTACCATGTCCACGGTTCAGAGAATGAGTCTGAAGGGTACTACAGCAACGGAAACCAGCCGCCAAACCTGGGCCTTGGGCATTTGGGGTTCTCCGTCCCGGATGTCCCACTTGCACTTGAGCGCCTGAAGGCCAATGGCGTGGAAGTGGTAAAGGACTTGGGTAGCGCAACACGAGAAGATGTTCCGTTGAGTTCATGGGAAGCCGAACGTGGTATCGGTCTAGGAGATCTCAATTCGGCGTACAAGAACGTCTTCGAGCAGATTGCGTTTGTCAAGGACCCGGTATGTCCCCATTGTTCGCATTTTGAGAGATACACCAAACACATTAGGTACAGCTGCTGATGATTAACTGTACTGCTAGGATGGATACATTGTGGAGCTTGTTCCTCAAAATCTTCAAGGGCTGTGAATCTGCCCCAGGTTAATGGCCTTCAAGTCAATATTTCTTTGCAGGGGCTTATTTGATGCGACCAGTGCTAGAGGACGTTGTGCTCAAGCAGTAAAACTACATGCTCGAACTAAGATAGCTCCGCGCAACTCTTGAACCCAATTCCTTCCGTTGGTAGGCAATCTACGCGAAGAGGGCACAAGGCAGCAGTTCTTCGAATTGATTACATAAATGAATTTCACACTCTGCCTCGCCGCCTGTTCGTCCCTCTAGTGTATTCATCAGTGACCAGCGATGAAAGGCGCATCCCTGAGAGCGTCTGCCTGGATAGACCAAGCGTGTTTCCCTAACCGCACGAGATCCTCTCCAAACTCTCGTAATATTTCTTCCGGCGACGGATCCTCTTCGTCCAATTCCTGCAACATTGCCCCGGTCCCTTCAACATCGAGCGTAGCAGCTCGCCAAATCTGCTTCCACCTTTCAATTGCAAGAACGGCCTCTGGGGTTTGGCCCTGCACGTCCGTAGCGATCATGTAGAACGACGAGCGCTTGGATTGCTCTTTGTCGGTTTGAACAGAAACACCTTCTTACAGAACTTGCTGAACCGGTACAGTTGAAGTACCGTTGTCCAAGCCTCCACCTTGTGAAATAGCACGATCATTGTGCCGCCAGGGTTTAGCCGCTCGAGACCCAAGGCGAGCTGGCTTGTCGTCAGCCGGCGTGGCTCGGTCTTTTTCCTGTAGTCGTCCAATTGGTGATCGCGCACGACTGAACTGCTGCAAATGACCAGATCAAACCTTTGGCCAGGTTCGAATTGACGCGCCAAGAACTTGTCAGCATCTGGATGGTCTGCTGTGATATTGTCAAAGCCGAGGTCTGCCGCTAGCATCGTCACGTCAAGGTATCGTACATCGATGTCTTTGCTTTTCGGGACAAGGCTTCGGTAGCCACCATCACAAATCGGCAAGCTAAATCCAACAGCCTTGGCCCCAGGATTCAGCTTCACGGCGGTCGCAAGAAAGCCGCCCGGTGCCATTCCCATGTCGAGTATTTGTGGGAAGTCTGAGGCCGGAGATTTGATTTTCAGAACGCCTGTGGTGCGCTGCATCTCGTCGCCAATCCGCTTCATCATCCTGTAGAAGGATAACTCAGTAGCTGTATCGGGATTGGTGGCTCGAGCACGCTGGTGTTGAAAGAAGCGATCGCCGGCTGGACTGTCCCATCCCTGCTCATGATGATGGTCAGCGGCTATCATAGTGAACGATACGTGGGGAGCCGGTGTAATAACGCAACTAACGTACAATCTTGCGGAGCCGGCGAAGTTCAGCAAACTCAGGCGAGTGCTGGGTCAAGTACTGCACGATGACAGCACCAGGAGTGCCATGTTCCACGTCGTCGGAGTCGGTTGCAGCGATGCGAACGCTGTCCATTTCTTCTGCTGGCATCTCGACTTTGGTTATGTTATCAGTAGTGGTACTCATCGAAAGAAGGTCGACATTTGACATGTCAGAAGAAATTGGAGTATATCAAGAATTGAGGAGAGTCTGACATTTAAACCTTGGTCTCCCGACAGTCACAGAAGAAACCGTGATGAAAGGGGCCGCACGTCAAATGATCAGCGAGCTGCTTTGGGCCTACATGCATGAAGCCAATCAGTTGCCCCAAAGACCCCAAAATTCAGTCGGCCTCCTGCGTCTACTGATAGCCAATGGCATGAGAAGACGCTTTTGAGTCTAGCATACTACAGATTAGTGAATGGTACAAAAAACAAAAAAAAAGGTCTGAGATTGGGTTTCGCCAAGACAATGCACCGACAAAGTCCAAGTCGATGTCAAGATGGGAGGTGCGAGGTTGAAAATGTTTAGTAGCGCAAAAAAGACCTTGTTATGGGGTGTCTCATACATGTAAATCACTGCAGAAAGATAAAAGAAAACGAAGAACTAGCAAAAAGCATGAAAAGGGAATTGTCATCCTTTGATGAAACTAGCCCTCTCCAGCGCCTCAGCCTGAGTCTTCCAAATGTTTTTGCCCAGCCTGATGAGCTGATCGCCAAACTCATCAATCACTTCCTTCGCATTAGGCTCCTCCTCGCGCCAGTTATGCTTCATCTCCCCGTTCAAATCAAATGTAGCAACCCTCCAGACCTCCTTCCACACCTTGACAGCCGCAGCAGCCGCCGCGCTCTGACTCTGGACTTTGCTCGCAACCATGTAAAATGATGAGCGCTTTACGTGGCTTCTCGAAGGCTTGAAAAGCCGGACGGTTGAGAATTTGCTGAAGTCCCGCAACAGAAGTACGGTATCCCATGCTTCAACCTTGTGCAGCAAAACAACCATTGTGCCGCCCGGCTGAAGGTGCTCTAGCCCAATGGCAAGCTGGGTGACCGTCAATCGCCGCGCTTCGCATTTTTCTCGGTACTGCGCCCTGAACTCCCCGTGCTGACGAAGAACCTGCCCGTCACAGAGGATGAGATGGAACTTGTCTTGTGGGCCCAGCTGCTGCGAGATGAAGTTGCCAGAGTCAGGGTGATCTGATGGAATGTTTGTAACCCCCATATCCTGCGCCAACATCGTGATGTCCATGAACTTGACGTCCACGTTTCTGCTGGGTGGAAGCAAAGGCTTGTGCCCGCCCTGCGAGACGGGGAGACTAAACCCAAGAGCGTGTGCATCTGGATTCTTCTCGAGAGCCACCGCGAGGAACCCTCCAGGCGCCATGCACATGTCCAAGATGCGCTTCTGTCCCAGTGCTGGCCCCTTGATCTTCAACGCCTGGGTCTTTCGGTGCAGCTCTGTCCCTATGCCTTTCATCATGTTGTAAAAGACTGCTGACAACTTTTCGTCGGCATGGTCTGCAGCCTCCCGTTGCTTGCGGAAGTATGTGTCGCCGGCTGGATTTTCCCATCCCTAAGAGCACATTGTCAGCAGGTGCGAACCCAAAAAAATGAAGAAAACAGGCAGGTGATACCTTTTTTCGAACTGCGCTGAGCCTGGCGAACTCCGGCACGTTCGTACTGAGAAACTCAAGGATGATATCGCCTGAGCGCTCAAATGTGTCTGTGTCGGCGTTTTGAGGGTCGGGGTTGACGCTCAGAGTATTTGCAATCTCGCAGAGATGAGCAACAGCTACCTCGTCTTCCGGCATGTCTCTCTGGGGGGCAGATATTTGGTCTAGGTCGCTTTGCATGACGGCGGGTTCCGGAGTCGATTGAGGCATGGTTTCTCTGAGGACGAAGTACTCAAACGGCGGACAAAAACCACCATTTATAGGTTTTCGATTGATTTCATCAAACGACTTAGAGTTGGGTGGCTGTTCGGATACTTGATACACTTTCCTTTTTAGAGGCCATTTTGGCGACCCTACCAACCAACGTTGCCAGGCGGCCTCCAGCATATGCTGGAGGCCGCGATGGAACCAACACCTGCACTTCTCAATGAATCATGACTGAGAGACGCCACAAAGAGGACAAATGAACATCAAGTCATTTGGTTTCTGTAGATCTGGATTGTTAGGCGCGCTGGTCCAGTCTTGCTTTGATCCGATATCCATGTGGACAGACGCAACTATCTTCGATCTCAGTGTTCTCCGACTGAGACTCGCCAACGTTCTGGAATTCAAACCCAACTGTGCTGGAGCCTGCTGGTGTTTTGTCTCATCCAGTCTGTGACCAAATCCGACCGCTGAACTCAGCCCCGAACACTGGGCCCCGAAAATCCCCGGCTACCGTCCGGACATAAGCCGTCTTCAGACCACCAAGTGGGGAACCACCTGACCCGGGACCGCGAAGGATTCGGGCGTCCCACATACGGAGTATAAACACAGCCACCGATCCGAATCACCAACCATTTAAAACAACCAGTCCCCATCAGCGTACCGCAGGCTGACTTTCAATTCTTCCATTTCCACTCCAACCTGCAACAGCCACTGAACCAATCATGGCTTCTCGCATTCTCCACCCCGGCGCTTCCCCTCTTCTCCTCGCCCCGCTCCTCTCCTCAACCTGCACCCTTCTCTACGCCCACGACCAACACTTCTTCTTATCCTTGTTCAATCATCCCACAGTCCGCAACCAATCAAAGCCTCTGATAAATCCCTACTACAAAGAGTTCTTCTCCCGCGGGCTCCCGATCGTGCTCAGCTTCCTCGCGGTCTCTGCTGGCACGGCTCTCGCCAACTTGAAAGTGAACCAGACCTTGCTTCAAACCAAGGGCACCTTTTGGTGGTACGTCGCGGGCGCGGGTCTGTCACTGGGACACTTGGCTTATGTTCCGTTCATCGCGCCGCATGTGCAAACGCTTGTGGATGGAAACGAGGGGGAGGATATGAATGAGGCGCTGGATAAGTGGTTGGTCGTGAACTGGAGACGGATGCTCACAGTGGATCTGGGGGCTTGGGTTGCTTTTGGAGTTGCTGTTCTTGGGACGCTATAGAATTTGCTAGGCAGGCTCGGTTATTACCGATAATACATGATACGAAACTGAATATGGAACCAAAACGTGGACGGCCTAAAGACAATATGCCTAACTTTGCTTCCCGCACTCCCGCGCAGATTCACGCCTCTTACAATCCAGCGGGTGTCCAGGGGCTCACAATACTTTTTCTTACGTTGTCTATTCTTGGTCGTATGCCATTAGGTAGTCGCGCGGCTTTCACTGCAGTAGCGAGCTAGCTAGCTTCGTGTTTGCTAGGGTCAGCCCCGCCTTGAAGCACTCTTTTGACCAACCGTAAGTGGAGAGGACGTTTCTTTGCGATGCAGCCTGTCGACGTGTCACTCAAGCACAGCGGTAGGTGAGGGAGCTAAAGCCATTCTGCAAGTCTATCACACAGAGCTGGCAGTTTGGCGCGAAGCACCTAATGAAAACGCGCAGGAATCCTATCAGATCATCGCCCCGGGGTGCTTGCCTAAATATCCCAGCCTTCATGAAGCGACATGGTCGTAGCGAGACCTATTTAAGCCGGCCCGTACCCCTTCGAACGCTGAGACCGAAATAGCCACCAAAGCTGACCTCAAAATAATTCACAAAGTCGACCCGCACCTAGTTGCACCTGCATGCGCAGGTCAGACTTCAAGAACCCTTCGTATCTCTTTCTCTTGGAACACACAATTCGAGCTCGAGATGGAAAGGAGTCTTAGCGATGATTGTTTTGACATAACATGGCCTACAACTCCACCCGAATGCGACGGCGTCTGTAGAGGTGCTGATGGCCGGGTTGACCAAAGCGGCGTGAAGGCTTCCGGGTGGGCTTATCTTGACGAAATTGAAGAGGCTGCCAAACGCGGCTGTCAAAAATGTGCGGTGGTATTTCACTGCTGTCGCAATATGAAGCCTCTCAAAGGCAGAATTGACGTCGGTTGTAGCTTTACTAATCCTGGTCAAATACAGCAGGTATGGAAGTGGCTCAAAAAGCGCAGTGAGCACAAGACAATGGAGCTCCCTACCATTCAGCTGTACGTTCAGAGCGGGGCACCTAAACCGGCTTGGGACTTCATCAAGAATGGACGATTCCCGATGACAACTCGACGAGAGGAACACCAATCAATACTCGCTGCTTGGGAAACAGAATGCGAAGCGAGACATGCCAATTGTGTCACACGACATGCGGCACTTCCACGTCGTGTTCTCGACGTGGGCAACAAGATTGACCCTCGGCTTCTTCTTCATGTTTCTTCTGAAGAGATCGGCAACTACGTGGCTTTGAGTCACTGCTGGGGGCCGGAACATCTACATCCACCGGAAACAAACCTGTCAAATCTCAGACAACGCCAGGAGGGCATCGAATTAAGTACGCTGCCGAGTACTTTCCGCGATGCTGTTCTTGTAACCCGAAGTCTCGGTATTCAGTACTTGTGGATTGATTCTTTGTGCATGGTGCAGGATGATAGCTGTGATTGGCAAACAGAGTCATCGAAAATGGCCGGTTATTACAGCGATGCCTACCTCGTCATAGCCGCCGCACAGGCAGAAGATTCCACCCAAGGGTTTCTCGATGTCGCAGGCGTCCATCCACACCTTAATCCAGACCGCGCAGTTGAGATTGGACAAATCACAAACCCAAACTCCACCATTTCACGCATTTACAAGAGGCGTTTAAAGAGCGATTCTTCCGCGACCCGCCACCATGGGCTGTTGCACGCCGCTCCACTCAATCAACGAGCGTGGGCTTTGCAAGAGTATATATTGGCCAAAAGGATTGTACACTTCACCAAAGGCGAAATGCTCTGGGAATGTGCAGAATGTCTGAGATGCGAGTGCATGGAGATGGATCATACCACCGATGACATCAGCGTGCATCCAGGCATCATGAGAAAAGGCCAATTCCTTCTACTTCGTTACCAGGAGGACGGAGTCAGCCTTCATGAACTCTGGCTGGGCTTGTTGGAAGCATACTCGTCACGAGATCTATCATACGATTCAGATTTACTCCCGGCGCTCTCTGGGTTAGCAAAGCTGTGGCAGTCTCGAGGCGCTGGCAAGTACTTGGCTGGATTCTGGAACGAATACATCCTGGAGTCTATGGTATGGCAAGTCCTTGGTTTGTCACCTTCCCAGATCCAGCGTTCAACCGAGTACCGGGCGCCGTCTTGGTCACCATTCTCGCTAGAAGAAAAGTTTGGCTCCAAGAACCGCAGGACTCGTCTTTCATTTCGCTTCCCAACTGATCACCGGAGATTGGCGGAACGATGTGCCGTGGTACTGGACGCAGGAAGCACACCCACGGGAGCAGATCCCACAGGGCAAATAACAAGCGCATTCCTTCGAATTAGGGGCCGAATCATCCGAGAGAATGCTTCATCTGAACAGCTCAAGCTTCGGGGGGAGGATGTACACATAAGATTCGACGTGGACATGAACTTCGGTGAAGGAATTGACCTAACCTTTCTCCTGATAGGCCACAACACTCTCGGCGGTCTCATAGTACTTGTCTTACAGCCTTCGAGAAAAAGTGGCGTTTATGAAAGAGTCGGTATCACGTCTCGTTATAACAGAGAAGGAAGCCGAGAGTTGGCCAGTCAGTTTTTAGCAGTCAAGGAGGAAACTGTTGTAGTCATCTGAACACGCCTAATCACTTACTTTTTTGGCCGCGCCTTCTATGCGCTCGCTGGTCGGGCTGCTCATCTTCAAACGGAGTAGCATCCACTAAAACAATTAAAATGCCGAAGGTCAGTCGCACGATATAGGCCGGCCAAGGTCGCCCGATCCACGCAAACTAGCGATTCTATTATCTTGTTGTGAGTCAAACTATCATGGCTTAAACAATCTCCATCCAATTTCACTAGCTTCCCTCATGCCTTCTTCCATTACTCGCCAATATTTTCTCAGAAAAGAGAAATCCACACCATGGGCTTCAAGATCATCATCGTTGGAGGCAGCATTTCCGGCCTCTCTCTAGCAAACACGCTCGAGATCTTCAACATCGCACTCCGTCACAGGTGCATCCTATCAGTGCGCAGGGCGGCAACAGCGCTCTAGAAACAGCCGGTGTTCTAGTGAACCACCTTTGGCGCAAGATGAACCCCACCTCCCCCGGAGAGTCGCTCACGGAAGACGAGATCGAAGCTGTCTTTCGAGAAGTTCAAGCGACCTGCTTCAGCCGCGTGTCCGCCGCGGTAGACCAGGGCCGCCGGACCTGCTCCGTTTCGATGAAGGACACCATTCTCTCGTGGTTTTTGTGGACCCATTCTTCGCTCGGTTCAGGCAGAGTTTGATCTTCAGTCTTATTGTATACCGTTTTACTGCTTTTTCCCCTCCTGTGAAAGCCCCTACTTGGTGGGCTCAGAACTTCCTCATTGTCGAAAATATCGATACTGGCCCTAAAATTGACGGCATCCCTGTCCCGACACGGCAAACACAAGCAATTCTATGCGACGAAGGGCAGAAAGAGGGGTCCAGGGGCACAATGTGGGTGTTCCCTTCTGTGCTTTTGTACTACGCCCTGAGATAGATGTAATCTTCAGCTGTAAGTTTTAACTTATTAAGCCAGGGCAGAAGGAATGACGGCGAAAAATAGTGGACTTGCTTATAAGATCGAGACAAAAGAACCGACAGAAGAACAATGGTTTACACAGAAATCACCCGTGCTTAATGCGGCTGAGGTAGAGCCTAATGTATGGTCCACTGCATGTTACGAAAGCATTATCGCTTGAAATTGATATCAGGAACCCAAGCTAGCTATCGTACGCTGTGGACAACACCCGGAATTCGTGACCATTGGCTGCAAGAGGTGGCTGCAACCTCTTGCAGCCTGGAACTTCGCAAGAAAGCAAGGAAATTGTTGGTAATCGAAGTTCGCAACAATCTCCTCCAAAAACAGCAGATCAGCAGATCAGTAGTAGCTGCGCAGGGCGTCTTGGTAGCCAGTACCGCCCTTGAGGTGAATATCGAAGCTGTTCTGGACATCAAGCACCTGACGGATGTGGGCCATGCTCAGAGCTTCACCTCTGTTAACGGCCAAAGCCTGCGCCGTTCCGATCGTGTTCTTGATCTGCCTGCCATTGAGGTCATGCTTAGCGAGGTCGTTGTAATCCTCCTCGGTGAAGGGCATCAGGTCGATCTTCTCCATGACGCGAACTCTCTCGATGAAGATCTTGAAAATCTTCTTCTTGGCCTTGACAGTGAGGCTCTCGTACCGAAGAGCAATGTGGATTCGGGACTGGAAAGCGTCGTCGAAGGTCTGTCATTGTTAGTGCGAGACAAACAGCCATCGAAAAGATGTTTTACGTACCTCCACGCGGTTCGTTGTCAAGAACAAAATGCCTTGGAAGTACTCGAGTTGGCGGAGGAAGATGCTGACAAGCGCATTTCTGCTAATCTCATGCAAGTTTCTCTTCTCAAGGAAAACATCAGCTTCGTCAAGAAGAAGGATAGCTCCCCAGGCGTGGCAAATATCTAGTATCTTTTGGAGCTCTTGCTCCAGAATGCGCGAATCGGTGCCGAGCTCTCCTGCAGATACCATGTAAAGCGGGCATTTGAGGAGCTCGCTGATGCCCTCTGCTGTGAGGGTCTTTCCAGTGCCTGGGGGGCCGTGGAGGACAGCTACAAGGGGGCTTGTAAGTCTCAAATCCAAAAGAGGTGCACTGAAACAACTATGCCACTTACCCACAAGGCCTTTTCCTTTGCCCTGAATGACATCGTCAATGCTCTTGGAGGCGTGGTACTTGTGAGATTCAACGAGGGCCTGTGTTCATGTTAACGGAAACAAGCCTTTGGCTGGGTGATGTGCTTGGACTCACCTGGACAATGTCTTTTTGCTTCGGCTCGAGCACAAGGGACTCGTATGCGCTCTCATTCCACTGGATATCCTTGATGCCGGACACAGTGAACTCAAGCCAGAGCTTCTCCGAGAAGGAAAATCCCAGCACCACCGGGGATGCAATGAGGTACTCTTCGTCTGAGAACTCAGGAACCTCCTGGGCATCTTCAGTACTCCTGGGGGATGTGGGAGAGGTCTTGTTGTCTCCCTCATTCTTGCCACCTCCATCCTCCAGACGCACCAAAGGCTGCTCAGAGGCATTCTCATCTTCCACTTCCGACTTAGGAATGCGAACCATGCAGGCATTACCCTTGTCGTCCTTGACGACCTTGACTACCATCTTCTCACAAGCTTCGCTGTCACTGTCGCAGCAGCCAGCCTCATCCGAATCCTTCTGTGAGTCATCGTCCTCCGCTTCATCATCCGACAGGATGTCGTGATCCTTAGGCCGCACGGCAGAGACCTGATAGTTGGGATTGATTCGGCGATGGATAGCGGGGTCAATCATGACGCGGCTGTTGATGTTGACTTTGATGATGCTCTTCTTCTTCCTATAATACGCGAGACCCTCGTGACTTTGGTAGTGAACACCGCCAAGCTTGACGAACTTCTTGCCGCGCTCAATGAGGGTGGCCACGACAGTCTCTTTGTCCTTGTGGTAGTCAAGAGGGTAAGCCTTGAGGCTGGTAATCTTCTTGGCTCCGCGGAACTCGCTAATCTCCTCGGAGAAAGATCCATAGCCGAACTGTTTGCCGTCGAACTCGAAATACTGCTGCGAGTCAGAAAGCGAAGCTCCGGTGAAATGGAGGACCATACCTTGCCGTCGACCCAGTAGAAGTCTCCCTTCATCATGGTGTTGTGGCGCTCCGTTTGTTCAACCTTAAAGATACGAGGCTCGTCTGCTGTGCCATACGTGGTTGTGTAGACGAGGGTGTTGGGCTTGAAAAGTGCCCAGAGGAGATCGAAGGTGATGAGGCCATTCTCGAGCATGGGGTAGAGACTGCACAGTTGTCAACGCCAGTGAAGGAATTAGAAGCTGCCACCATACCTCTTCTTGATGTGAGCGTAGTCCTTGTCGAGGTACTTCAGCAGGACCTTCAAATGCATCCGCTTGTCGTCGATGTGCTTCTGTTGCTTCTTACGCGCCTTCTTCTCGGAGCTTTTGGGCTCCTGCTTTTTGAGCTTTTTGCTGTAGGCACGAAGATCCTCAAGATACCTGTTGCTGCCTGTTAGATTCTGCTCAAGAAGCGTCGAGTGGATTGATACTCACAGGAAAAGAAGATTGGGGTCCATTCTGGGCACCTCGTCGACCAAGCTGACTCCCTTAATATTGCCGATGACGTCCTGAAGGCACTCACGAAGAATCTTGCTCTTGATGTCCACAATGGTGGTCTTGTACTTGCCCTCCCAGTCAAAGGTACGTCTGATCTGAAGGACGAAGCCGTCGTACTGGGAGTCAGTGGTGGTCTCGGCGGTTTCCTGCAGCTTGTAGTTATGGATGGAGCTATCCCAGACCTGGTCAACCCGCTTGTAGTCGAGCTTGACCTTGCCGTTCCGCTTCTTTGAGGATGCGGGAGCTCTCTTGACGCCCAGACTGGCATCAAAGGGGTCGGCGTCCAGAAAGCCACCCATGCGACGTGGGACGCTTCCGACGCCCCCGATGCGGCGCCGAGGCGGAGGAGGCAGGTAGGCGTGTGTATCACCAGTTGAGAGACCAAGGCTGTAGGGCAGCGTGTCGTTAGTGCGCGACCACTGCTGGAAAGCCTGCAACTGCTGTGGAGACATGGCGACCTTGGTCAATCCATCGTCGTCGTCCTCGGATGATTCGGAGGAGTCGCTGGAGTCCGAGTCAGACGAATCGCCAGAGACCTTCTTTGACTTTTTGGTCTTCTTAGGTTGGGAGAGCGCCTTCTTGGATTTCTTGGCCACCTGCTTCTTCGATTTGGCCTTGCGCTTGGTGTCGGGCTCAGAGGCGGAGTCGTTCGAGCCATCGGAATCAGACGAGTCGGTGTCCTTGGTGGCTGACTTGGAATCGTCGCTATCGTCGCTAGCAGATGTGGACGTATCGGCCAAGACGGACTTCTTGGGCTTCTTAGACTTGGTCTTATCAGTCTTAAGTTTCTTCGCATCGCCCTTTTTGGAAGTCTCGGTGCGATCGGTGGTCTTAGGGTCCGACTTAGGCATGCTGGGCTTCGGCGGGGAAGTGGAGGCCTCGGCAGGGGTCTTGCCGGCGTCGACATCGTCGACGGCGTCGGGGCCGGTCGTCTGCCGCTCCGTGGCGGCGTCGATGGTATCCATGGTGAAAAACGTATGATGATCGACCTCAGTACGAGATGACGAGAAGAAATGTGCTGTGGTAGAGAAAAATGAAGTGTCCGACCGCAAAATAACGGGAGACGGTGACCACGGTCGGGACGACGTGGGACGGTAATAGAGCCAATACCTCGGGGATAGAAATGACGATGAAGCCAGTGGTGTTGACGAGGGTCACGACGGGGGACGTTAATGGTTAAATGCAAATGCAAAGATGGATGCAACAAGTCCAATTGGGAAGAGGAAAAAGGAAGGCGTCAGAGGCAAAGGTGCGCCTCTAGAGATATGATTTCTGAGATGGTGGTTCGCCTGGGTTTCGGGGTTTGTTCCTGGGCAGGTGGTGGTGTGGCAGTTTGAAGGTGCTTCCTACCTCGGATTCTCACCTGGGAGGCACCTGCACCAAATTCTTACACAACATTCCCACGGAAGGTACGTTCCTTCCTAGGTAGAAGCTAGGTACATGGACGGAAGGAACGTACCTTCTCATCTAGATGGAAAGTACGATGCATTTCTGGGTGCTGGGTGTTCTCTCCTCTCCACGGGCAGTGTTGCCTGCACCTGCACCTGCGCTGGAGGAAAGAATTGGGCAGGCACACGGTGACAGCAGGCAGCTCAGGGTCGCCTGCCTTCCATCGTCATGGACCCTCCCGCAGAAATCAGCTGACTAAGGCCCTTCAGCCAGTGATAATACCTGGCTGCTGTTTTTGGTTCTTGCACCCGCCTTCATCTGCTTTTTGTCATGTCCCTGCTCCAGCTCGCAACCTTCTGTCATTAATCCAATCGATTGTCTTACTCTGCATCAGAACACAACCTTTGAACTATCTCTTTCTCTCGGATTGCTACTGCAAACAAGCAGCATCCCCACAGCTGTGAGTCGCATCCTGGTCATATGCCCACTCATCCCTCTGTCGCCTTGCCGTTGGTCATTCCCCGACGGCCTGCCCTGCAGGCAGATCGTCAAATGGAAATAAGAGCCGATCCAACAGTGCCATTCCAGAAGCAACGACATTGCGGATTCCCGTCCAACAAAGGACGCCTTGCAATTTTCGACACTGGCCCTAGGCAGTCATTGCAGCCTGCTGTATCGGAAGCGGTACCCATCTCCATGGTCCATCCCAGGCGAACCACCTTCGCCCTCAGCCTCATCCAGAGGCAGTCATGGGGCCAAAGCCCACGCTTCACTGCATTCTACACGCGAGACGTGTCGCCCATTCAACGTCGGCACTTTCTCTCCCGCCATTCCACCGAGCATCCTTGACGCCAACCCTCCTTTGCAACCGACGGCACATCCGATGGACAGTTCATCTTGCCTGGGGGTGGGCAACCATTACGCTGTTCCGTGTACTGCTTGGCTGCATGGGCGCTGCTTGCATACGCATCCCCAACGGCTGCACCTCCTGCTGCTGCTGCCGCCACTGCAAGGCGGCTCCGAGACACCCTGTCAAAGCAAGACATGGAACCTGTCAGCTTCCACCCACGACAACAGTGAGGCGTCCCCCCGGACCATTGGCTTCCATATTGTCTTGGCCGTGGCTGGCCGAAATCCAGTACTTTTAGGATCGCTTTCATTCGGCCTTGCATCAGTCTCAGAGGAATGCCTCCTGGCTTTATACGCCCGCATCAGCCACACGCTTCGTCAGTTTCGCACCCTCACGGATGTGCTCGCTCAAGAAACACCGGTTACACGGCATTCGCCGGCCCGAACACGTCCATCCCATCATGGCCTTCCGAGTCCCCGGACACCGCCGATTGACCGGACGATTCCAAGCCGTCCGACATGAACCCCTTCCGAGCTTCAAACAAGGTTACCCGCACAGAACGTGTCGGTGTGACAATCCCGGCCGCCGGCCTTGCCCTCGTGTTTGCTTCATGCACCTGTTGGGCCACTGTAACTTTCGCCTCGTCGCTGATGGGTTCGCCTATTCGCAACCGCCGGCCTGCTGCAGCGGCCCCAGACACCGACTGTTCTGCTCCCGTCCGAAAACCCTGCGACCTTCTCCGACAGCGTCTACCTCTTACATTCGTGGGAATGCGGCCATCACACCGAACCCACGCCGCAGCGTGCTGCATGAGCTCTGTGGAGTTTATCTGCCAGAATCGGGAAACGCTCTTTAACTCGCGCATGATCGTCGTTTTGACGCTATCGCGGCTTGCGATTGACTGCAAATGTCCAGTTTACCAGCCTGACGTCATGAGCAACGTCGCTCCCCAATTGTAACCGCCATGATGAGTACCCGACGCAAGCGGCTCGCAATGTTGTTGAGCCTTCTCCGGCGAAAGGAATCGACAATCCACCACCCATCAGCTTTCAACATTGCCATGTTAAAAACTCACAGATCTCTTTGATCGAGAAGTCGATTAATGCCTTCGAGCAGCACAATGCATTTTGACTTTCGGTCTTTTCTAACCACCGTTCCATTCTTTGGCATCGCTTGATTGTCTAATCTAGGCATTCGGGCCCTACAAGCAGCGCAAGTAACCACTGGACTTGCCTGCTGTCGACTTATCAGTCCTGTTGGGTATTATTCTCAAACTTTGCATTCAGGCGACACATGCTGTCTACAGCAATACTTCTACTCGCATAAACCTCAAACATTCGAGGTCACTTACATGAATAGGTTTACAAGACGGCGTGGGCAAGGCAGACGATATTGCGATGGGCTTGATATGTCTCATAGGCGCGCTTGACTACCATCACCCAGCCACAGTCGACAGAAAAGTTCGAGACGAAACCCTGCCTGACTTCCACTACACTGCTTGTCATGACGTGTATCACCATTATGTCCAGCCATCAGTCTCGCTGTACAAATCCGGGATGCCGTCATGATGATACTGCTGATAAGGGCATATCCACAGTGATGATATGAATATCAACTCACGAAACACTTCGTAGCTGTTATTTGGATCTATCCCTGAGTCTGTGTCGTATGTCAGCTTGCCAAGTAGAGTCTAAACATTGGATGACACCTCCCTATTCGCAGAATGACAAGGCAAGGGAACCACTATGACTCGCGCTCAGCTTCGATATCGGGCGGTACGCGCATATTACCAATATGAAACGCCAGTAGACAGTTGGTTCACCGAGCTATACGAGGTTTCCCGATTAGACAGCTCAGCTTCGTTGAACCCTGACTACACCTCGTATGTTGCAGAATTTGTAAGCCAGGTTGACAATGGGTTGCCGTCATGCTAGGGGCGAGTTAAGCTCAACCATATCGGCCGACGAGGTCCTCCATCATCGTCAACTAACCTCCCATTCTGGAGATGCTCTACTTTCGACTATTAAGGTTCTTCTAAAAAATGTTTCAACGTTAATCTTCGAACTTATACGTATCGGTTGCTTATTTGACCGATTCACCCTCATATTTCAAGGCTTTTCCTCCAGCTTAGCACCGTCAACGCCAAGTGCCTCAGTTGCTTGACACGAAGCTCGACACCTCGCATTGCCCCTTCAGCCGCCCTCGTACCTCGTAACCAACGCGAGACAGTCCCCCCGCTTGCAGATCTACGAACCATAGATCCGCCCATCCCGAACATGTTCCGCCGAAAATCCATAACGCGCGGGCAGAGACAGGGGCTCCCCGCGGCGCCGGGGCTGTGTCTCCTTGGCAAAACGGGCCGCGCCTTGTCGGAGGGGTGTAAGTGCCGGAGTTTGTTATGTGGATATGTAAATCTAGCACATTCTTTCATATAAGGAGACTGCATTTTTTCTTGGAGAAACAACAATCGAAAATCATCTTGTCTGACAGAGAACCACATCACATACTTCCACCAGTAGCAATCCGATAAACGCCCATCATGTGTCCTGACTCAGGCCTCAACCTCCCCATCTCCGATAAGCCTATCGTAGGCGCCCTCAGCTTCCAGGGCTTCCTCATTCTCGCCGGTGGCATTCTGACAATGACATCCTGCTCCATGTCCTTCTACCAGATCTTCCGCCACGCGACGAACTACACCAAACCGCCCGAGCAAAGACAGTACAGACCCCTTTCCAGCCTCCACGACCCCGAAAACTGACCACCAAAACCAGAATCATCCGCATCTGCCTCCTCGTCCCAATCTACACCCTCTCCTCCTTCCTCTCCATCGTCTTCTACAAACACCACGTCTACCTCGCCGGCATCTACCTCCTCTACGAGGCCTGCGCCCTCGTCGCTTTCTATGCCCTCTGCTGCGCGTACCTCGACACTGACCACCACCGGCTCGCCACGTCCTGGGATAAGGACGGGCTGAAGAAGTGGTTCTTCACAAGGCCGTTTGCGGCGTGTGTGCCGGCGCTGAAGGGGTCGTATTATGACCAGCCGGCGGCGAATGCTGGGTGGAGACGATTTAATGTGAGTTGGGGTCGACTTGGCTTTTGCGAGTAAGGATTCTGACATGGTGTAGAGGATGTGGCTTTGCATTTATCAGTACCCCTTCATGAAGCTCCTGGTCACGATCGCGACGTACGCTACTGAGAGCATGGGCGTGCTTTGCTCCGAGGAGGGCGGGACGAAGTATGCGGACTTTTGGGTGCGTCTCGTATTCCCCCTATGAGCGGACGAACGAACTGACAGAGTAAAGCTGCACACTGTCGTCTCAGTCGCCATCCTCATCACGGCCATGCACTGCCTGTTCCAATTCTACTACCAGTCGCAGGAGCTGCTGGAGCCGCACAAGCCCGTCCTCAAATTTCTCGCAATCAAGATTGTGGTCTTCCTGTCGCTGATGCAAGGGGTCAGTAATATACAAGTCCCAGTTCACGGTTCCACTCTAGAATGTGAATTAGAGACTGACAAAACAAAGTTCGTCCTCGACGCAATCGTCGGACGCGACGACCAGCCCCTCGGCCCCACAGACGCGATAACCTACCCCTCGCTCGCGATCGGCGTGCCGAACCTACTCCTCTGCCTCGAGATGTTCGGCATCGGAATCATGCATCTGTACGCGTACCCGTGGGCTCCGTACGTCGCCCGCAACGGCGCGGGGGTTCTGGCGGCGATAGAGAATGACGGAGACGAAGACGGCGGCAAGAGGGGCTCGGCCGTGGTAAATGTGTCGGCAGAGGATGCGCAGAGTCAGGGCGGGTTCTTGGGCTGGAAGGCGTATGTTGACGCGTTAAACTTTTCTGACTTTGCGGTTGCGTTGTATCGCGGTGTGGGTTGGGTGTTTATGAGGGAGCCGGGCCGGGTTTGAGAGTTGATGACTTTGGGAGCTGGTGGTGCGATGTTTTGGGAGGTAGAATGAAGATGCTACTGCTTCGATCCATTGCAAGTATCGCATCTTCGTCATGATCACCAGCAATGGAGAGAGGTTGGCATAGGTATTATTGCATATCAGTCCCTAAAACACCGAAAAGCGTGCGACGTGGGATATGGATGATTGGACTAAACAAACCTCAAGTACCCGAGGATATTCCTTAGCAAGGCATCCTTCCGCCGCTCCGAATTTTCAATTCCTCGCTGGCTGTCCATTCTTGCCAACCCCCTCAACCCACGACACAATTTTAGGATCAAAATTGTCTACCGTGGGTGTTGGAAAGTATAAAGTCGTGTCATCTGCATCCGAGACCTTTGATTTCTGATCTGCTACAATCAAGTTGAAAGTCATAAATATTGTAAATTTATTGGCTGTGGTGGTCGTCCTCACACCACGCAAGAGCTACTAAGAAATTACTCAGCTGGACACATGTGGCTTACAGTCCGTTGCGTTGACAGCGTCCGCCCCTGACTTTGTGGCCCGAAAAAGGCAAAAAAAGGGGCTTTTTGCTAAAAAACCACCAAATCGCCCCAAACTTCACACCTTCATAGCTCTATGCGTACGCAATGCGTACGAATAAAAAAGATATTATTATAATCACCTAATCGAGGGCTATTAATTGATATACTTTTTATTTGTACGTATTGTATACGCATAAAGCTATGAAGGTGTGAAGTTTAGGGTGATTTTAAGGGGGTTTTTAAGTGGACAGTTTAACGTAACGCGCCAGGGGTTTCGTTTTTTCTTTTTAGCGTTGCGTTTAGTGTCCGCTAGCCTAAAAACCCCCTAAATCACCCTAAACTTCACACCTTAATAGCTCTATGCGTACGTAATACGTACGAATAAAAAAGATATTATTATAATCACCTAATCGAGGGCTATTAATTGATATACCTTTTATTCGTACGTACTGCGTACGCATAGAGCTATTAAGGTGTGAAGTTTAGGGCGATTTGGTGGTTTTTAGGCTAGCGGAAAATTTTCCTTCCGGGTCAAAGTCGGGGGCGGACGCCGTCAACGCAACGGACTGTATGCAAGTATTCGGCCCAGCGCAAAGCTACATTGCGACTGTCTGAACGTCAAAGGATGACGAGGCGTCAGCCCTACCCAACGTTCACTACAACCCGTTTCTGGGGTAATTAGCGCGGTCTAATCCGTGGGAATCTATGAGCACACGACCGGGCTAGTATCTAGACTCAAGCTCAGGCGGAACTAGGCATTCCTTCCCGAACATTTCGTTCGACCACAGCAAAATCTTCTAAAAGAGTTCTCGTTGTGTAATGCGGTCCAATCCGCGCCCATCGTAGCGCGACCGGGAGCTATGCAGGCTCGGGACGATCATCTGCGCTGCGCGCGCGGCGGTCGCGGTCAATGGAGCCACGCTCGCACTCTTGCCATGCAGCTTATCTTACCGGGGCTGAAAGTCGTCGCCAAAAGGATAAACTCGCTACGGCAACGTCGGCTCCTTACAGTAACACGGGGCAAGATGCAAAGAATGCGAACTGATAACACTTTGTATAAGTTCTCGTCATTCGCCGCTTTGGAATTTGATAATTGTTATAACCAGGAAGCAGATTTCGATATCCTCAATCGATCAATAAACCGCAGCCAAGCCTTCGGTGACCTTTCCGACCACGTTCTACCGAGGCCTTCAAGATGAAGTGCGAAAGAGCCTTGCAATGCATCGTCGGTAGTTGGGGCTACCTTAACGCCACGTTGACGTAAGTAAGCCTTCAAGACGAAGCCGTCGTCTTGCATGCTATTCCTTCCTCTCCCTCGATGCAAGATACTCACCACCTCCCAGCAACACCAACACCGGCGAGCTCATCCCTGAATGGCACAGCATCTACCCCTCCGGCGGCTCCGTCTACGCGCCCTCGGGCCACATCTCATTCGTCATCACCGCCAACGACACCACCCAGGCAGACGTGCGCCCTAAAGACGTCTCTCTCCCCGCCAAGCCCACCGACTCGGAGCACGACTGGGCCCTCGTCGCGCAGCACAGCCTGGGCGTCTTTGGCAACTACCGCTTCTCCAACGTGACCTGCGACGGTGGGGACGACAAGCGCGGCAAACGCGGCGACAAGGGCAAGGGCAAAGACGGCAAGGGAGAGAACTGCAAGAAGGGCCCCTCGGGCGTGTTGACGGTCGACGTGACCTCGGCCACCCTTCCCAGCTACGTTGGGCTCGAGCTCGTGAACACGTTTGAGTTCACGGATGATTGCAGCAAGCATGTGCTCAAGGCTGACTTTGGCGGCGGCCTGGTCCAGACTGTCTGGTTCTACCGCCTGCCTCAGAAGGATGTGTTTGCTTAGGCAAGGGTACACATTGATGCTCTGGAAGGGGTGCTTAGCCCCCGGCCTCGGGTTTCACTCATCATCGACCAATGTTCTATGTAACGAGGTGTGGGAAATAGGATTATGTAAATCAGTGAGTAGCAACTTTAGTGCTGTAAATAAGATGAACATAGGATAAATTGGCTTCAATGAACGGTATCTTGGAATTGGCTTTCGCCATGAATGATGCACGTTGAGTTTGACGTTGCCAAAGGAGGGAAGGGGTGACTTTCAGGTAGTAAATGTAAGTATGGCTCGGCTGGTAGGGAGCCCTTCTGCCTAAATTATCCTGGCCTTGACTCACAGTAAGCTGCAGTATTGTCGGCAGGATGCCGTCCGATCCGAGGTGCACGCCGCTTTGGTGCATCTCAGTCTATCTACTGATCAGATTGATAAGATAATTGGGCTCTTGGCTGCATCGAGAAGGTGAAAAGGTTAGAAGTCCCGGGAGGATTGCGCACGCCACACCACCGTGCAGTCTCACCCAGTGAGTAATGCTTCCTTATGGTTCATCAATCTCGGAGCCGATCGATCTTGTATCGGACACCGATGTTAGAGCTGCTCAGCAATAGCTCATAAGTCGTTAAAACACCCGTTGCAAGGTGTACCGGTTTCACTTCAACAAGATTACCATGCCCGAAAAAGATATCCCCAACCCGCCTTCAGCTCCAGCCTTGATCATCAACAATGACGATCGAGAAAGGCAGCAAATACAAGAGACCGACGCAACAGGACTCGTTCGCGACCGATTGCAGAGCTTATACGATGAACACGGGGTACGTACTTGCGAAGACCTACATACTCAACATCGCATTTTATAACCGTTCAGCCCTAGGTCACTTGGGATAGTCCTCACGATCCAAATGACCCATACAACTGGTCGACATGCCACAAAGTCACCATTGCCATTATCATCTCAACTGGACAGCTGATCACGCTTATGTCTACCAGCGTCATGGCGTCTGCGTTGCCGCAGATATCAAGAGATCTGCGCATCGACGCGGCGACAACCCAAATCACATTCTCGTTGTTTGTCCTAGGTCAAGCCTTTGCACCTTTCCCAATCGCAGCGCTATCGGAGATGTACGGCCGAAAGCCCGTTTGGTTGATTTCATGCTGTTTCTACCAACTCTGGAACGCGCTGTGTCCCGTTGGGAGAAATAAAGGCATCATGATAGCCGGCAGATTTCTTGCAGGCTGTGGGGCGAGCGCCGGTGTGGTAGTGAGTCTCCCGTTCATCGCTTTTTTTGTCAGGCACAACAACGCTAAGAAAACGGCGGCCAGTTGACGGCACCCATTATGGCCGACATGTATCGGGCTGAGGACCGCGGCAAGTCACAAGCAATTGCATCCCTTATCCCATACTTCGGTCCAGCTCTGGGCCCGATTGTTGGAGGGCTCGTAGCAAATCATGTCCAATGGCCTTGGCTATTCTGGATTTTGAGCATGTTGTCAGCCGGTAACACCGTCTTGGGGCTCTTCTTCGTACAAGAGACGTATACACCAGTCCTGCTGCAGACACAAAGTCGTCTTCAGAGTGAGATGATTCTCCCGGCGGAGGCGATGCGCCGAGGAGCAGCGTACCAGGATCTTCATGCCCGCCTGTCGACAAGTATGCTGCGACCCCTCAAGTTGTTTGTTCGGCGACCTGTCATCCTCGTCATCTCCTGGATTTGGGCGATCAGCTTTGGGCTGTACGTTCTCGTCCTTTCTAGCTTCGCCACTCTTTGGATTGAGCGCTACGGACAGTCAGAAACACAGAGCACACTGAATTACATCACCTTGGCCGTCGGGATCACCATTTCATCTCAGGCAGGGGGCCAACTTATGGATCAAATCTTTCGTTACCTCCGTATCAGAGCCAATGGCGTAGCGACCCCGGAGTACAGAGCTCCGTACATGACCATTGGAGTAATCTTGTTGCCGGCCGGCCTGTTCTGGTACGGGTGGGCGGCAGAGGGAGGTATGCATTGGGCGTTTGTGGACGTTGGCGCAGCCATGTTTACCTGTGGAACGTTCATCACAGGCTCGGGCATCGGGGCGTACCTGATTGACGAGTTCAAACACGCTGCGTCTGCCAATGCTGCCGCTCGTATGCTGTCCAATGTCTTGGGATTTGTGTTTCCCATTTTTGCCCCGCAGCTTTTCAAGACTTTGGGGTATGGGTGGGGGAACAGCTTGCTGGCATTCATCTTCATGGTGCTGGGGCTACCTGCGCCGCTGGTGCTCTGGTTTTGGGGCGAATGGCTGCGGAATTTGGGGAGGAAGGGTCATGAATGAGACTTGGTAGTCTTTCGTGTAACGATAGCTGACAATGTCACTCATCGACTTGAAAGGTGGTGCAGGCACTGTAATGCTTGCGCTTGTCTCGTCGCAAAAACGATGAAAAGCCCAGCACAGTGGTGGAACTCACGATGGGGACTTTGGTGATTAGATTCTTAGGCTCGATCAGAACACTTGTTTGGGTTCGTGACTTCCACATCCCACGTTTTGCTGCATGTTAACTAATGTTGCGCTCGGAAGTGAGCTTTTTCGGGAAATAGTTGAAGGCGCCGCCATTCTGGTGACCGTTTGTCTTGCCCGGAGCCTCGGAATAGAGTGCTAGTCCCTGCGGCTTCGTACTTCGGAAGCGGCTAGCCCGCGCCACGCGAATGCTACCCCGGACCCGCTGCCAGCATCATCGAAGTCAGCCCTAGACCGTTTATCGCCGTTCATCAAATGCCGGATAGTCCTTATGGCGGGGAATCAGTCCGAGCTCGCGAATGAGTCCCGTTTGCCGGCAGAGAGTGAGAGGCAAGCCTAGCCACGTGCATCTTGGCGGTCAAGATACCCCTTACATACCACAGCCATTATCCCGTGGGCACCTGAAAAATATAAAACGATGGCGAGTGCTCCCACAACGGTCCCGCAGAGGCTGCCATGGTTGCGGCCGGTCACGAGAATCGTCGCTAAAACGCCAGCTGCTGCTGGATCGAGATAATATGCAGTACTCACTGATTGCCTGGTCCGCGGTGTTCACCGCACAACTTGGAGTTTTTGCCACTGAATTGGTGCCAGAGATTCACGAAGGGGTAGGTAAAGCTCAAGGTGTAGCTGCATGCTTTGTCTGACGGATTAGCAGTGCAACCTCCTGGCTTCTCAGCTTCCAGGCAGAGTGTCTTTCCCGAACTCCACGCAATACGCGTTGTCAAACATTTACTACTCAGGCCGCCAGGCAGAAATTCACCCCGCCTGCTTCGTGACGCCTGAAGACACCGAAGATGTCGCGACCACGATGAAGATCTTGACTTCGTCGTCGACCCCCTTTACAGTCAAAAGCGGTGGCCACACAGCCTTTGATGGAGGATCCAATATTGCGGACGGAGTGACCGTTGATTTGGTACGCCTCAATCAGATCAACCTCTCCGATGATCGCCACACTGTCTCGGTCGGACCTGGTAATCGATGGGCGAATATCTCCGGAAAGCTCGACCCGCTGGGCCTGGCCGTTGTTGGTGGACGAGTCAGCGACGTCGGCGTGAGCGGGCTCATCCTCGGCGGTGGCATATCGTATTTCTCGGGACGGTACGGATGGGCCTGCGACAATGTCCGCAACTTTGAAGTCGTCCTGGCGTCCGGCGAAGTCGTCAATGCTTCTCCGCAATCCAACAGAGACCTCTTTTGGGCTCTCCGTGGGGGCGGCGGCTCAAATTTTGGCATAGTCACACGCTTCGACCTCGTGGCTTTCGAACAGGGCGATGTTTGGCTGTACACCGCGCTGTACCCCCTTTCCTCCAGCACCGAGCTTGTGCCTGCGTTTGTGGACCTGTCAGTCAACGGCCTGCCGGCCGATCATGACGGACATACGTTCTTCATCATGACGAATCTTGCAGCACTCGGCGGATTTATCATTGCAAACTACCTCTACCACGCCACCCCTCCTACCACTGTGGGAGATACGCCCGAAGTTTTCGTCAAGAGCGCATCCGTCGCTGGCTCATTTCTCAATACGACCACTGTAGCAAACATCACCACTCATTCCAAGGCGATCTCTGAACCCTATGGAGGGCGCAAAGCCTGGGCTGGGACCTCCGTCTACTTGGGAGAGGGAGCGGCACAGCTTCTTCAGGACATCATCCCGTTCTATAAAGAACATGCCAATCTTCTCATCGAGATGGCGAAAGAGACTAACGAGACCGTGGAGCCGTTCTTCGTGTATCAGCCCATCACGGCAAACATTCTCGACGCGATGCAAAAGAACGGTGGGAACGCCTTGGGACTCACACCGGAAAAGGGTCCGTTGGTGCACATCCAGGTGACAACACACTGGGAAACAGCGCATCTTGACTGCCTTGTGAGACAGAGTGCCGCAGACCTCATCGCCCAGATTCAGGCTCTTGCGGAGGAGAGGGGCTTGTTTGCAGGTTACACGTACATGAACTACGCTGAGAAGAACCAAGACGTGTACGCTGGGTACGGACAGGAGAATCGCGAGCGGTTAAGAAGCGTTGCATCAGCTTACGACCCTGATGGACTTCTCAGAAGCCTTTGGCGGGGTTATTTTAAAGTTTGATGTTTTTCAATTCTCAAGGATGGATTTCTAATATGAGTGTATTGCTGTTTCTTTCAATGATACTTTTCTATGGGATGCGACTTGACTTGAGCAGCGAAAATTCCGAATATTTCAGACAACATTGAATATGGGGTTTTAGTTGATTGGCTGGGAAAATCTCTCTTCCTGAACAGAAGGCAATTAGGTCGTTATGGTGTTGCATGGGCACCTCTATCGGAGCCTAGACCTTGATTGCTCAAGCTCTGTGCCACAAGCGCCACCGACCCGCCTATCAGCAAATACCTGATGCCAGTCGCACATCGGACACAATTCCATGAATTTCTGTTAGCGTCTCGCAGGCAGTATTCTCCGAGAGAAACTTAAAAGGCCTCAGTTCTCTTTTAAGAGCAAGGCAGCCCCCCGTCTCTTTCTCAGGCCTCCATCACTCCACACATCAATAATCGCCGCATCACGTCTTTCATCATTATGTCTCATTTATTTCGTCTGCCGCGGGAGCTGCGCGATATCATTTACGGATACTACGTCACCGTCGATGGCGGGTTCCTATGCGACACCGACGCTTTCGTCGCCGGTCGGCTCAAGAGGATTGATGGACAGCCCTTCAACACAGCCTTGATATATACCTGCAAGACTATCGCTGAGGAGATGGACCGCGGAGGCCTCGCGATGCGCCTCAACGCCATCTCCTTCACGACTCTCTATTCGCCGGACCTCAGCATCCTCGCCAAAGCTTTCCAGCAATCGATGAACGACGGTCTGCAGCCCCTACGGGATGCGATGCTCAAATGCGTTGGCTACCATCTCACGGAGAGTTCAATCTTGCAGCTGAAGGGGGACTACCCTTATCTCGCGCCCGTGCTGGACCGTCTCAAGTCCGAAGAGCCCCCAGCGCGCCTTGGGCATGAACGGAGTTACCGGACCTACAGGCGCAACGGGCCGTACGGCGAGGTCCCCTCAACCTATCGGGAGTTTGTCAAAGATGCGCTGCGCTTAGCGGCAGATGAACCCGAAGCCTCACGTGCGATACGTGACTTCGTGCCCGCGAAGATTACGGGAGCCTACCGCGCGGACGGGCCTTGGACTCATTTCGAAATTGTCAACGCCCGCTCGGAAGCGTGGGATATTCCATCCACACACGAGATAAATGAGTTGATATCTCTCACAACGGATGAGACAACCGTCTCTTTTGACTCAGCTGAATCCGACCCTGTCAAATACCGCTTCTCCGCCGCCGCCGCCGCCATTTACTTCCTGAAATCCATCCCTTGTACCCTCCGCCCTCACCTCCGCAAAATCATACTCCTGGAAGATGCCAAGTGCGTCTCCTACCCAGAGTCTCATGCTAGAGGACTCATTCCGTTCTGCCAGGACAATCCATTGCTCCGTGTAGAACGCCGCGTCAAGCTGTGGACGAACGTATTCCTCACGGGCATCACGTACGATGCATACCTTGAATGGCAACGCGCTCAACAGACGGGCCAACACGAAACGGGCGCCCTGTACTCGGACCAGATGACCGCGACCCTGGCGCCCTGGATTGTGGAGGCCTCTGCGCTTGTTGAAGCTGGTATGCCCCCTGCTTCGTTTTCCATGCTCCTAGACAGTGGCGGGGCACCGGAGCTGTGTAGTCAGATATTCCAGTCCGTCTTGCACCGCGACATAGCATGGCAACAGGCCTGGATTGAAAGTGCAAAGAATGGTGCTTTGCCTCTTTCATGGTTTGCTCTGAGAGGCGAGCTCGTGGTGAATTCGTTTAGGGAAAGGGACCATGTCTTCCATACGGGTCAAACTAGGGCAACTCAGGGCTTTCAGGAATATTGGGGATACTTCTTCGAGCAGCTCCCCCAAGCCGTCATGGCAATGGTCGAAGGGAATTCGACTATTCGTTGCGACTTTGATGTCGGAACCCCATTGGATTTCCAGCCCATCGTCAACCAACACAAGCATTGGGGAGAGGGAAGATGGATTCAGGAATGGTCCACTCATTCCCCAGAAATTTGGCAAACTGTGCCGCCACTCCCTGACTGGAAAACGATCGTCAAAGAGAATTTAGTGCTGCCATCAAGAGCGCACTGGGACGACCCAAGATACTACATGTAATTGCGAAGGCAAAGCTACTTGTAGGCTCAAGCGCGATTGTTTTCTGACATCAATGACCCTCAACCCCGAACAGCCTCATCTTGATTGATTACGCGTCCCTCAGACAAATTTAATCGCCACAGCGCGAACGCAAATCTTTTGTGGTATTGCGTTCACCATGCAATCCGACCCGAGCAACGCAAGACCTCACACATTTCACGCAGTGGCATTCGACGATTGAAAAAAAGAAAAAAAAACGCAGTTTCTATGTACCCAGTATAATAATTCGGAGCAAGTCAATACCCCGACAGTCGCTTTGATTTTGTTACCCAGCTTTTTAGTGTTCTAGAAAGAGAAAATTCTTACTAATAAACTTCAAGGTATCAACAGATATGCTGCCTGCTTGGGACGTGTCAGTCTAACGTCAGAGAGGGGCCGACACAGATCACTGACTATTTGGCCTCATCTCTCAAGGTCACAGAGAACCTTGAAGGCAAGGATCAGCATGGCTATAAAACTAGCCAAGCTGGCTGCTCATCATTCATGTTAGCACAAGAAGTATCACACAGGGCGTGAAGACCAGACTTACCAGGGATTGCGACACTACGTTGACCCCTCCACAACAACATCCTTGTCAATCTCTTCCAATATGGCTCAACTTGACCCTGCCGACGTTCACAGCATGGAGATGGCCATAATCTGTGAAGCGGAGTGATTAGCCGTGAGTTCAGAACGAGGTTCAGGTCAACTGACTGGTCATCCAAACGATCCCGACTTCCAACAAAACCCCAGCTTCCATAGGGATATCATCAAGTACTACATCGGCCTGGAAAGAACACACACGCCAATCTCGATAGACAGCAGACTGAGCCATCGCCAAAGAGTCCCTAACGAGTGACGTCAGTTGTGGTCCAAACCTAGCCTAGGTGCTGAACACCTACAGATTGGGCTGTTGAGCTGCGTATGGCTTCTGCGGAGACCGATGCCACAGCAAACACTGCCGCACAAGCCGTCTCTTGTTCGGGTACGACAAGCCCTCGAAGCCAAGCTAGCAGCAATCGACAATGGCACTTCGTATCGAGCCTCGGATATCGCGTTGATGGAGACGCTGAAAACATAACACGTCAGTGACCTGTCCCACGATTTGGGGCGTTACCGACTTACCCGGCGACGTTGGCGTGGCGGATGGCCCTGTTGGCCGAGATACAGTGGTGTTGGGCGTGGGAGGATTCGCAGTAGTGTGGCTGCTGTCTCCTCGGGTCAGCATGTCACACCGAGCATGGCGAAGAAGGAAGATTGTGGCAGACACGAACAGACCTGTGAGTACCCTGTTGATTAGTCTCGAAAGGTCTCTTTTCTGTTGCGCGATAGCGTCAGCTGGGTTCTCTGGAAGAATACCACGCGTTTCCTAGCACTTACTTGAACCACGCAGCTTACATAACGCAGTTACCTGGGGCCGAGGCCCGCAGGCATGAGAGGAAACAAGATCAATTGCGGAGACTACGGGAGCTAAAGCGAGCGACGTTGACAAGAGAGAACTAAACGGACAGAGGTAAAGCGAGTGGCATTCGACAAGAGCAAACTGACCAGACAGAGGTAAAGCGAGCAGCATTGCAACAGACAAAGCTTGAAAGAAAAAGATGAAGAACCGAAGATAACAGCGACAAATCCGTCCATGCGTGATTGGATTGCCCATCCACAAGAGTCCGTTCACCACGGCCATACAACAAAGAAACATCCTCGACATATCCTGACCTTGTAGTAGAAACAGCCTGAGCGTCTTCAAACAACCTGAGAGTCCTGCTGAGAGTCCTGCTGGGAGTCCTGCTGGGAGTCCTGCTGAGAATCCTGCTGAGAATCCTGCTGGGATCCCGACTCCTGCGACTCGGTGACCAACGGAAGCAGGCGCTTCTTCCGCCATCTCGCGGGGGTGGGCGAGCCGTCTGCGTTGGCATCCGAGTCGGTTGGCCTCGCCCGCTTGGCCACCGCACGCTCCTGTCCTCTCTTGAATTCTTCCACCTCCTCGGTGCGTGGCAACCTCTTGTTACGGGCGCTGCTTTGCGGGGATGAGGCGCCGCCGGGCCGGTGCTGATTCTTGAGACTGTCCCAAGAGCACCCGGCCGGCGAGGTAGACGTGCCCCCTCTGTTGCTGTTGCGGGCGCTAGCACCCGTGGGAGAGTGAGCCGACAAGACGGATGCCGTGCGCGACCGGCCCTGACGAGGGTTGAAATCTTCCCCGGCGACGAATAGAGAGTCGATGGGAGGGGACGACGAGGTATGTTCGCTGCGCGAATAAGTGAAGGACTCGTTGATGTCTGTTTGTGAGGAGATGGGAGTCGTGTTGGAAGACCATCGGGGAGTGGAAGGCGCCCGGGAGTTTGATTGGGCTGTGGAAGCACGAAGTCAGCTTACCGGGCGGCATGTCAAGCGGTCCACAAACAATACTCATAATCCAATGATGCCGTGCTCCCATTCTCAGAGGCCTGAGATGCCTGAGACGCAGAGCCCATTGTCACGAACTTGCTCCTGCGGGATCTGCGGCTCGAGCCTGGATCGACACCCGTCCAGTTGTTCAATCCTGCGGCCGTCGCTCCCGGCCCGAACTGGAAGTCCGGGTCTTCGGGAACCACCATCAAGACCGTGTCGCGAGGCCCTGTGGGAGGGTCGACCATGGCATGCTTGGGCAAAATACCGACCACGGTACCCATGCTGCATGCGAAGTTGCTGTTGCGCCGGAAGGGCGACTGAGGGGACTGAGCGAGCCTTCTGTACCTCTGCGCGTACGGGCTTTCAGTGATCGGGATGATGACAAAGATACAAAAGCCATGGTTGCCCTTTGCGAATGTGGCGTAGCTGTTGCCTGGATCGATGTAGGTAGACAGTTGGACGAAACCCTGGCTGGGAGGTTGGGTGTTGGCGGATTCGGCGTCCTCCTGGTCCTCGCTGATCATGACTGGGTTCTCCGGTGTGGTCCCTTCAAGGTTCGTATTTCTCCAGTTCAGCTGGTATGGATGCAAGGGTCCACTAATCTCCGGGTAGAGATTGTTCCAGTTGGTGGGGAGGTTTGTAATTTTGTAAGTTCCAATGTGCATGCTCAGTTCAAACATTTGGACGGGTCCATTTTGGCTCGAATCGACTGAACGGAGCGTCAGGAGCTGGTAAGTTGGTTTCATGAGCCACGAGGGGGTCGGAATGGGCATTTCAACAATACACTCCCCGCCAAAAGTTCGAATCATCTGTTGATGCAGAAGGGGGAAGGACGTACCGACGTGGTAAGGGAAAGCCCAGCGGATACCAGCATAAGTCCCAAAACCCGATTGTTGGGACTGCGCATCCAGCACTTCTCCCACCATCATATCTACCTAGACCTTGGACTGTCACCGAACCGAAAACCAGTTCCGTCATCAGCCATGTTCGGCCGCAAAGCCTTCAAAATCCACGGGGAAGGAGCGATGAAGTTGAACTCAATGGTCCGTGCCCCAGTCGCTGCCAGTTTGGGCAAGAGATGGTGGAACTGCCCTGAAGCTTCAGTGGACCTCTCCCCCGCATCGGACCAACACAGTGCAGCGATGCAACGCGCACCACGCGGAATACGAAAGGATCCAAACCATCCCAACTCGGGCATCGTGTCTATCAGATCCTGAGAACATCGGATGACTAACGACAGATTAGGGGCTGATGCCTAGTTGCATCGGTTTTGTCGTCAACATCACCTCCACCCGGACTTCACGATAACCACCCTTCTTGTTGCCAACCGAGTTTACTGCCGCTTCTGCCTGGTAGCGTCTGCCTAATTGAAGCCAATCCTGCGCACATCGCCATGTTGATTGACAAAGGCATAAAACGCCTGCTCTCGCCTGCCTCCCTTTCCCTCATTCTCATCGCCACCTCAACTGCCGCAGCCCGACAAGGCCCTCCCCAGATCATCTTCAACCTCCCATCTTCATTCCAGTCTTTCCGCACAATGACCTCCTCGATTGCCTCGTGGTCATCACCGCCACATCGCTCCCGCATCCGTATCGTCCAGGATCGTGATGACATCGAGGCAATCTACCCCCTTCTGGCATCATACGCTCTCGCCCCAGAATCCGCTTCATCCGTCACCGAGTTTGCGATTGACCCCGCCGGCTGGCCGAGCGGCGGCGGCTGCTTCTTCGGTGACCCCGACGCCCCCCTCACCGAGCCCGCCAAGCCCTTTGATGAAGCAGCCCACACCCTCCTCGAAAGCCGCGCCCGGAGTATCGGGCTGAGCGAAAAGACGACACAGGTCATGCTACGGTCCCTGGCCTGGAAAAAGGCCCATCTCCTCGCCCAGAAACCCGAATCTCCAAAAGGCTTCGTCAAGCATAACAAGCTCTACGCCGAAGTCGCTGCCGTGCTGTTAGTATCATACACCAGAAATGTCACGCATCTGCTGGTCGGCAATCTAGAATGGACCCCCCTCCTGAAAGAATACCTCAAAAAGTCAAACTACGCCCGCATCCCCGCCGACTACCGCGCCTTCCCGCAGCTCGAGACCGTCGAGGTTGTCGACCTGTCGTGGAAAGACGACGAGCGCCAGTACTATTCCCTCGAAATCCTCGACTACCTGCACTACTTCCACCGCCTGCCCAGCTTCAGAAACCTCATCCTCGACGGCACCGGAGAGTACCAGATGGAGAAGCTCCTCTTCCCTGCTGGGACGTCCTCCCCCTCGTTCAAGCGCATCCAGGCCAGGTGCACAGACATTTCCGGCGGCGTCTTGGGAATGCTCCTCAGAGCGCCCAAGGGTTTGGAGGAAGTCGTCGTCTCCATGGGCGGGCTGTGGTCCCTGGATGGGGGAAGCCCGATCGTCCAGCTGAAGACGATCGGCAAGTGCCTGCTCACGCAAAAGGAGACCCTCCGCGTGGTGGACCTCGACCTCGAGAATGGCATCCACGCGCGCGAGTCGGAGGAGGAAGCTGGGATGGAAGACTACAGCCTGGACGAAGAGGGCGAAGAAGTCATTGGGGTGACCGAGGCCACGCTCGAGAAGGACGAGTACTTCCTCCTCGCCGAGGCCGAAGCAGCCGGCCCGCTCCTCCCACACAGGATCCCGGATACGAGGAAGTACGGCTACACCATCGGTTCCTTCAACGACTTCGCAGTCCTCACGCATCTGAGCATCAACGTCCAGGCGCTCATGGGCCCCAACGACGGCTGGGAACCTCCATTTAAGCTGAAAGAGGAGCCGCCCTTCCGGCTTGTCGATGCGCTGCCGCCCAGCCTGGAGTACCTGTGCCTGTACGGATACCGAAAGGGGGAGAATTTTGCGGTGGACAACCACGTGAAGGAGCTGTTGGAAAAGAAGGCGGAGAGGCTGCCGCGGCTGACAGAGATCAGGGGCGTCGAGGAGACGGTTCTCGGCGAGGGCGCGAGCTTTGGGGACCAGCCCGAGGAGGACGATCTCTATCAGGGGAGGATGGAGAGGATAGAATACGTCAAGTCATGGGAGGCTTAGCAGCCACCGAGAGAAGAAGAGAAATAAACTGATGAGAACGTCAACTCTGCCCAATGTATCAAAACCTCGTGTTCCAACTCATCTTCAATGTGAACACCTCACAAAACCCAGACAGCAAACACCCCAAGCACATCCAACACACCCCACGAAACCCTCCCACCTACCAACCCTCCGCTCTGCGGAATCTCGCTCCCCGCCACCGCCGTCTGCGCCCGCGCACACACATACGACACCAGCGGCGGCTGCGGCAAACTCGCATTCGACGCATTCGCCTCCCGTGCCATCCACGTCTCGTTGAACCCAAACGCCACAGACATCGGCCAGAACAACCCCGTATCCTGATGATACGCCGCCAAGTTCCAAGTTCCCCCTCTCGCCCCAGTCCGAGGCCCACTGGGACACTGCTGAGCCGTTGGCATACGGTATCTCGTCCGGCAGCGCCTGTGCATCCTCCCGGCCCACCTCCCACGGCGCGTACATGGCGTGCGCTTCCCGGTCCAGGGCGATCTCGTAACCCTGCACCCAGCTGCTCATCGCGCACGGGCCGTCGAGCATGGTAATCACCGGGCACGCGACGTCGTTCGCGAACGCGGGCTTGGCGAATCTGTCCATGAACTGCGCCAGGATCGCGGATGTAAGCCAGGCGACCTAGGCGTCGGACCAGAAGGCCTGGCAGTCGCCGGCGTCGTTCATCTGGCGCTGCGTGTCGGGTGTCCAGGTGATTGGCGGCGCGGTGCTGAACGCGCAGACTTTCCAGGTGCGGTGGTGGCGGTACGTGGTGCCGTTGTCAAGCGCCGGTGCGACGAGGACCTCTAGGGGTGTCGAAAAGAAGACGCCGCCAGAGATGTAGGTTGATGTGTTGAACAGGCGCGGCGACTCGATGTGGGCTAGGGGGATGTCGTCTTTGATATCGAGGGAGGGCCCCAGGTAGCGGGCGGGATGTGGTAAGGCGCGCGGGTTGACTTGGTGGCAATGATGCTCTCCGTTTTGGACGCTTCGGTGAACTTAACATCTCTTGCGTGAATGGTGGTGATGAGGAGGCGGAAGCAAGGCCGCGTGGAGAATATGTTGAATGTTATGGCTGGGATAGTTTCCAACTCTGGATGAGTTATGCGAACTTCAACGATGTCAATGTGTACAGCAACCGGGATACCGTAGGACGCGGTCTCTTGTAGACAAGAAAGAACGATGATTCCTGGGGCCGCGGAGTCTTCATGCTGGTTGGAAATGATCTTAGACTCAACCCTGTGGTTTGGTTCCGTCTCTTGCACCGTAGAACTGATGTCAGTGACGCCAAAGAAAGGGGCACGAAAAGGCTTCGGGCAGAATAACGAAAACCGCCAAGTCGTCGCCAACTCGTATTGGAGGATTGTCCTGTTGTGGCGTCTCCTTTAGGCAAAAGCATTGTGACCCCAACCAGCTTCTTGAGACGCAATCGGACGGGGCTACCAAGCGGTTGTTGTGCCGCCTCGAAGCAGATTGGATTACAAGAAGAGGTCTAGAAGCATGATCACCTTCTCTCGTAACTATTGATATTGGCATGTGTCATTAGACGCCAATAGCATCTATGCCCGCGTGCCCTTGAATCTCCAGTCCGTGCTATGTTGAAAGAAAGTCTCAGGCTACAAAAATAGAGAAGAATCTCTGCGATGGAATTGTACGCACTGTTGGGACTTGTATCATGTAAACTCGGGGCGCGGAAGATTAGCATGTAACTTCAAAACAGCACGTCCCTGGTCATCCCATCGGACGTCCATCAAAAGATCGTCTGAATTAATTCTCCATCACACTCGGTTCAATCAACTAGTCCGTGCGTGAAAAGCTTGTCTGCACTTCGCTTGATATGCCGCGGAGTCCGCGGCCCTTAGCCCTATTCGACGATAATCCAACCTTGTTCTTGACTCAACATACAGTCTCATTCGAAGAAATACATAATATCAACGCCCACAACCCGCAACAGCGTAAGTTTATTCATATTCTAGCCCAGTCTTTGAGCGAAGATGGCCAACGCAATGGCAATGGCAGGCAACAGCAGCATTACCAAAACCAACCCCGGATCCAGCTCTTCCAACGCCAACTCGCCGCTTGCTGACAGCAGACTGAGTGGGAAGCTCGGCGGGACCGCTCGACGACGCCTCTCCACCCTCTCTAACAGACGCCGCCCGACGTTGGGAATCTCGACGACGAGGCGGTGGCGGTAGACCTCAGCCTTGTGGCGCACATACAGCGTCTGCAGCTCCGCGTCATACGACCAGTCCCCGTCGCTAACCTTCGCCTTGATCCCGCCCTCGTAGTGGTACCGCGGTATGAACACCTCCGTCGTGCGCAGCTTGTCGTCCTGCTCCTCGCCCACGCGGTCCTGGCTCGTCCACTCGAACTCGTACTTCAGCGTGCGCGGGTCCCAGTCCGATCGCAGCGGCCGGCCGGCGATCTTAACAGCGTACGGCCGGATCACGACGTCGAGCACGCGCCCGCCGCGGTACAGCTCGTCCTTAGCGTGCGGCGCGTTCGCGTAGTCCTGCATGATGCGCCCGGGCACCTCCTCCGCGTCGCCGTTGACGACGGAGAAGTCCTCCTTGTTCCAGCCGTCGCCGTACTCGACGCGGTTGTCCGGGTTGTAGTTCCACAGCGTGAAGCCGACCATGTTGTCCTCCATCGCGGCGATGAGGGCGTGCATGAGCTCGCGCTGCTTGTCGTAGTTGCCAGTGGCGAAGGCCTCGCCGCCGTTGATGTCGTAGGGGATGCCGACCTCGCCGATGAGCGCGGGCACGTGGTCGCCGAGGGAGGTTTTGCCGTACTTGATGATGTTGCCGAGCTGCGCGCGGTAGTTCTTCCTCAGTGCCCGCGCGCCAAAGTAGAGTGCCTTGAGGATGAACATGCCCCTGGAAAGACCCTGCACGTTGACGCTCATCCATGAGTGGTGCTTGCTGAATAAAACGTTGAGATCGTAGAAGTGAGGCCCGAAGACGAGGTTGTCAGGTCGTTTTGTGTCGATGACTGTCTTTGTGGCGTAGGTCTGCTTCTTTGGACTTTTGGCTTCTCCTGAGCTGTCATCTACCCAAGGAGGCATGAATTCGTTCGGTATTGGCTCGATGAAACAAAATTGGCGTGGTGATTTCCGTGAGACGCGGTCTGAGAAGCGCTTTAGGAAAGGGGCGTAGAAGTCGCGGTACCATTCAATTGGTGTCCCCTCGCGTCCGGGACGGTGATCGACCTCGAAATAGTTCTTCTGGAGAACCTTTGGTGTCTTCTTTGACGCGTCCCAGTCCCATGCTCCGTGAGCACGCCATACGCACTCGCCCAGTCCTAGGTTCTTCCCCTTGGAAGACAACCAAGCTGACCGGCCCTTCGGGTCCACCACAGATCGATGAGAGATACGTGTGGGAAAGGGCCATGACTTGACGTAGTAGTCGACCTCTTGTGCGTAGCCACTAGCTAACGCGAGGGCCTGCGTCAGTGATGGGTAATGGCCGATGTGAAGATCTGTGTCGTAGTTCCAGCCGTCGAAGCCATGCAGGTTAATCAAGCCACGATGTGGCTCGTTCATCGGTTCGAAACCGATGCAGGCCTCCAGGTCAGCCACTTCATCCGCCAACCGCCCAAAAGCTTCAATCAACGCATCTTGCAAGAAGTCCTTCACCGAAACCGTCTCATCTTTGCCAGATTTGGTCTGTCGGCTGCATACCAACTTCGGCGCAAACGCGTCTCCCGCCCAGAAAAGCGTCGCCATCGTCGATGCAGCCAGCTTCTGGTACCCTGACGGCCACACGAACGGGCCACTCGGCTCCTTCTCATTCACCGGCGCAGTCGCGCGGCGCAGCTCATCTTGCCCGTGGACATATGCGGCCCCCGTGTCCGTGAAGGCCTCAACGTCCAGGCCAGCAACCTCAAACGTCCATCCGGGTGCACCGCTGCCGCCGCTGAATCTGCTCCAGACGTCTTGGTGCGCGCAAATGAAACACTTGATGCCGTACGCGGGCATCATCTCGACGAGTTTGCGCAGGTACTCAATGTACTCGAGGTCCAGGTCCGTCCGGGGGTCCGGGCCGGCGTGGCCGATGGATTCCCATGTGACGAGCAGCCGGATCAGCGGCAGGCCCCAGGCCTGCAGCCGGCGGAAGTGCAGCGGTGCATCCTCAAGCGGGAACGGCCGGCCGACGAACGTGACGGTCCGGTGCTCGAAGAAGCCCTCCGTGAGGTGAGACAGGCCGTTCGGCGTGGTGGGCAGCTTGCTGGCCCCGGATATGTTGAGGCCGTGCAGCGCCAGGGTCCGACCGTAGCCGTCGACGAAGAGACCATCTTTCAAGGCGATTGGGCCTCCCAGGGCTGCGTCGGAGAGGTCGTTTGCGGCATGGGATGCCGTCGGTTGAATAGGCGGTGACATGGTTGATTGTTTCGTGGAACACGAATCAACTCGTTCGGTTGTGGTGTCTCATTACGCGTATTGATAGGTTGCTGGAAAGGGTCCCCTTGCAGTTAGGACAGATTCGTTGGTTTTCATCTTAGTCAGCGGCTTCAGCCACAGCACATGATGGCCGTGCATCATTCGAAGCCATTTCTGGATCATGTGGGTTTGTGGAGCTGGGGGACAGCTGTGAGTTTCGTGAAGTTCCGTCTCAGTACACGATGTTGACAACCTTTACAGATCAGAAGGTTTTGAGATGTTAGCAACTTGAGCTCACATAAGAAAGCGCTCTTGTTGAGCACCCGTCCCTGATGGGAATCTGTGTGTGGAAATCAAGCACCGAGGCCCCACTGATCACCGCTGAAGGTTTTCCCCGTCACGTCAATTGGAACACCGACATCGTCTTGAAGACTACCTATTATTTGAAATGACATCCCCGAAATGCATGGGAAGCGACGCTTGTGCCTGAACTGTTTGGTTAAAGACATACCGTATAGCATTTCCAACCTCTATCTTCTCAATACTGGTCTCGTTAACCACAGCGTATGTCGTTAAGACGCACAAGAACAATTAGACGTCAAGTGAGAATCGGACGCATTTCTGAGGCATACATATCAGGGTGCTGCCATGACTTAGAGACGACGACAGAGTCCGAGTTGCCACAATTGATTCAACGTCAATAAAGGAGTCGGCCAAGGATGGTTGAGATAACTGAGGACTTTGAGAGGGATGCAAAATCAACATCAACGATTCATATTACTTCGGTGCGCCGAAGGCGGTACTCCTTGGCGGAGTTTTGGCGTCTTCCCGACTCCGATTCAGGCCCCAATGGCAATCTCCCGCCCGTTACCAAATCGGCGTCGGCGCTCAACAACTCACCGAGATACCTGAATAATATCTATGATCTCAACCCTTGGAAAAATGGGAGCGTCAAATACCTAGGAAGTTGTCCGAGTCATCTGACACGCGCGAGAAACCTGACAGCGAATACGTTCGTTCAATTCTTGGTCCAGACCGTCCGACAAAAATAGTGCCTGTACGCACCAAAGTAGGCAAATTGAAGGAAGCGCCGTCCAATGCTTCTAGAGGTCCGAAACCAAAGCGGCCTTTTTTATGAGACAAGTAGCAACCGTTTCAGTCGAGCCGGTGGGCGCTGCCGGTGGGAGCAACCCTTTGGAGTTCGAATTTCTAGTGGGGTTCGTGTCAACCCGAGCCAGCGGGACCATCGGAGAATAGCCGACAAGACAAGGAGGACAGCTCCGAGTCGGCAGGCCAAGTTGCGGGCAGCTCCATCAGGTAATCACGCGGGCGCAAAGCGACGCCTGAGATAGATTGATGCTTGGTTTGGTCTGCGCCTCGAGGCCTGCGAGGAAATGCAAGAGCCGTGCCTTACCACGTATGAATGAAAACGACCTTGTGAGAGCTGACTGCAACTTAGCCTGCGTGTGAGTGGTATTGAAATCGATACAAGTTTCGTTATCGAGACTGGATGGTACAGATGCTTTGAATTCTACTCTTTGTTTTCAATCGGCAGCCTTCTTATAGATATATGCAAAACTTTACGTTGGTCTGACTGCCATGATCTTGGAATTGTTGATCTGGGGCTATGGTACTACGCTCTGGTTTGCGCCAAGCAGGTACCAGTGATGCACCAGTGTGACCGTTTCACCTTGAATCATGCGGCAAAAGTCGATCTGCGGATCTCCAACGGCGAACACAGTATTTTCCGTATGGATTGCTTCGATGCAGGACAGAAGGATACCGACCAGACTAGCAGTCAAATAGAGTTCAGCCCCTTGCCAGATTTGAGGCATTCGACTTTCCTGGTTGCTGCGATTGGGGTATTTTGAAGGGAACATGAGTCGTAAAGGACGAATATTGAATGGGTCTATGACATGCCGAGCGCGTCGCATGTTCGGAAACCCACCAAGCTCATTTGGTTCACTACCTTACGGTCGCAAGGCAAAAGTGACCAGCAATCCCATAAAACGGAATCTGTCCCTCGACGGAGCATGCGATATTAACTTTCTCTCATACTTTCGTTTGTTACTGCCATATTCCATACTTTCGCCCTACTGTAAGCGCCAATCCTCAGGGTACACTTACAGACTTCTCCGCACAACCTACTCCAACCAATCATACGCCAGAATGAAGCTAGTTGTCTTGCTCTCAGTCTTCGTAGCCATGGTTGCTGCAATTCCGCCCCACACCGATAGGCCGAGGGAAGCAAAGACACCGGAAGAACAGGTATGTTATATTTGAAATACTCTTTTGTGGGTGATTGTGGCTCACAATATTGTCAGGCAGTAAGTTTGAACCAAACGTGACGCAGAATATACGCTCAAAGTGATGCCGCAGTTGCATGAATTGCTCGCCAGAGATGGGTGTTGCTGTAAGATATTCCACACTTCCGCACTCTCAATGATTAGAACTTGGCTGAACAAAAGTAGGGTTCTTGGCCGGAAGCAAGGCCAGCGATTGCCTTTGTTCATGTGACGGAGCTTTCAACACAAACCCTTGCACAACTGCTCAATGTGGTCCTCGTTGTTGAACCTAGACTTGGAAATCATGGCGATGTTTTCGATGGATGCAATCAGCAAGGGAGCAGAGATACCTTATTCAGATAGACAGGAGATTTTATGGCCGGTCCGGGCTCCAAGATAGCACGTTCATACACGACTTTCCGTCCCACCACTGTTTTATCAAAGGCATGCGGTGCTTTGCCTATTCAATTAGGGTTGCTGCAACATTGAAGTTGTGATAGGTACTGGCTCTAATGATGTCTTCTTGAGGAGGCCACCCAGGAGAACAGGTCTGTTATCAAAGTCATAGATCAAGGCCAAACTCAATTAAAAAGAAAATAGTAAAGATTCTAAGATGAGTTTCACCTACGTCATGTGCTGTGGTGAAGGGTCCTAGATGCGTCTCTTCGATGTTATTACAGACGCCGAAGCCGCTGAAAACACGACGACTGATATATATCGTCACAATTGATAGTCTCATATGGGACAACGGCACCAAAAATGTATAATTTCATCATCTATCGTCTGTGCCGCGTATGAATAAGGTGGATTCGTATGACTTTGATGAAAACTTCGAAAGTCTTCGAATGCAGCTGTGCCCACTGCGACGTCACAAGACGTGAAACCATGCCACGAGAAGCAACCTGGCGTTACCAGGAAAGTAGAATACTTACATTAAATGACAGACAATCACAAGGGGCAGTTCAAAAACCTAGGGCCTTAAGCGATTGAATTGAAGCCAAGGAGTTCAAGAATAGAACCAAGCACATTTTTCAGTATTTTTCACAACAGCATTATATAGAAAAAGGTCAAATCACATTTGGCGAACTTTCCAGTGAGTATTGAGACTACTATCCTATGCAAACAGGACAATCAGTCATGCAGACGGTCCCTCTCTGAAAAGTCCCCGGGCTTTGTGACGACCACTCCTCCATATCCCAACCTCATCCTCGCCCATCTTAAGTGTCCACGCACGAGATTATCAGTTCAATCTGTGAAAATCTTGTTCGAAGAGTCGTCGGGTCGTTCAGTCGCTTAGCAGTTGCCGAGAAGCTTGAGCTGCCAGTCAGACGGGTGGGTCTGGGTGCCGAGGAAGCCCAGGCCACAGCTGGTGGTGGCGGTGACGAAGTAGTTGCGGCCATTGACTGCGACAGGTCCCTGGCCTCCCTTGGGGATGCAGGCGGTGCCGAGCTGGAACGAGTTGCCGTCGAGGATCTCGACTCTGCAGTTGGCGAAGACGAGAGCAGCCTGAGCGGCGACAGCGAGGAAGAAGGTGGTCTTCATTTCTACGCCATGATGTCAGTGTCCCATGCTATAGAGCTGAGCCGAAAGGGTAAGGATCCTTACTGATGGTTTTGGGAAGATTTGACGTCGTTGTATTGACTAAAAGCTTTGGTGACTTGGATGAAAAGGAGTTGTTTGTGAGTAGAGTGTTGAGTGATGATCTCAAAAGGTTGAATTTCGAGAGAAAGGTCTCTGAATTTATACTTTTGGGAAGTGACAAAGTGAAAACGAAGGCTTCGATGAAAGCAAGCAGGACGTCGACCGAGAACGTAATCGACCATGCAAATGCGCAACTTGCTACTGAGCAGCCTCCACTGGGAGAAGAATCGCACTGAGTCTCAATGGACGCGCCACGTATCCCTCAAGGTTCCACTGGTTTCCTGGAGAAAAGGTCAAGTGCAGAGATTAAGTCAGGATTTTGTTGAGTTATCATAAAACGTCGTACGAGGTTCAGTCTATGAAAATGATATGTTACACTTGGCAGAGCAGAAACTCAGAGTCAGTTTTGGTGTCATGCCAAGTGTCACGACACATCACAGGCACCGAGATGAAGAATACACTCGAAGTTCTTGGGCGTTTGGGCTCTTCGGTTGTAGCAATTTTCAAATTGTTATGTGTCTCCGACTTTGATTGGTGATATCACTGACTCTCATTTGGGAGGTTTGGCATCCGTGGAGTCGATATGAATACGCGAGTTGACAAGCTTCTAGACATGCCAGGGGATTTAAAGTTGCGCGTGACGGATATAGAACAGCGGCCTTGTCATCAACAACCCTAAAAACAAAAGGTAATGATCGTTGCCATTGGCTTTGAAAATTTGGACCATCACCTATCGGCCTCTAATCAAAGTTTCTAAGGTAATAATACTATTGGCTTTGTCTAGTGGCAAGTATGTGTCCAAATGATTGACTATCTTTTGTACATCGTTATGTCCTCAAAGCTGTCGTCTCTGATCATGCGTCAATCGTTTTGATGGGAAATTTCCAACTGTTAGACGTTGCTCGATGGGAACCAGGACGATTCGTTCGGAGCGAAAACAATACGGAGGAGCAACCAGGCGAATCAAGCTCCGGTTGTGAAGCGATATCGTGTCGCGAGTTTCCATAAGAGTTGATGAGTTGTATAATGAGCGAGTTTGCAGGGCCAGACATATCAAGCGTTTGGGTGAAGACGGTAAAACCCTGTTTCCCCGTGAAAGTTGACAGGTGATATCCCGCCGGGTAAGAGTGGGATGCAATATATCTTACTTCCAATCCCGTCCCGATTTTATTCAAGCCCTACCAGCCGGGAAATCTCCAATTTCAGCGAAAGAAAAGTCTCAATCCGCTTTTGACAGACTGCGATTTCGCGACAGATTCAGAACCCACTCCTGGCCGGTGGGATAATGGGGCAGTAGGATGATAGGATCCGGCAAACCCAAGCTAGACCAGATCCTGTCGCACCTATGAAAGACCTGAATGAATTGTACTTCGTTATCAAGCGGAAGGAATACTAGCTCATGAGCACATTGCCAACCCATTTTTGTGATTGACAGTGAGGGTTCATTAGGGAACAGTCAAGCATAATTGTCAGGATACTAGCCATGAAAGTGATACAGGCTAAGCTCAATCCTTATTATGCAGCTTTCTTCCCCGTGATTCCACTGTTTAGTGCAGCAAGAAGAAATAGGGTGAACTCCTGCAAGCATCATGGCAAGAGAGTATCAATGATGTCCTCAAATCACAATTATGAAGTGAATATTCATTGCATCTAAAATTGTTCGTTAAGCGTAGAGTGCCAATGGGAGGCTTCAGATGCCGCTTCAAGGCAAAGCTAATGAACCTTGTATCAAGTTAGAAAAGGAACAGTGTCCAGCTTTGGGCCATACTTCAGACTAACTCTATGATGGCGCTTATACTTTCAACAGCGAAGATGGCCACGGGAAAATGACCTTTTCCGGTTTGTGACCCTGAAAAAAACACAGTCCAAGAATCCCGCGTCTGGTGTGCAGCTGAGGGATATTGTCGTCAGACCTCACGCAGCTGACTTCGACACATACATGTCGATCTAAGTCATTCGCATTCTCATTGTCTAATGAGGATGTGAAGACGTACCCCTGATGTTCCTTTTCTGGAAGCCTGTATGTCCACTTATGATTCGACAGGAAGATGGCGGTTTGCTGTTGTGGGCCATGCCCGCTGCAAAGTCGTCCAAGTCTCAGCTGGTGTCCTTTAGCAACAGCCCTCGCTACCTCTTTAGCCATGGCCTCCATATGCCTCCTCGCAAACGTTATGTTCTCACCCATATACCCACTGCTTAAGAGCCTTTGGATACCATCTGCGAGAGGAACTCTCCGGTAACCCCCAAACCTTTTCGTAAGCCGAGCTAGTTGATCAACTTCCTCCTTTGAGAATCGCTCATTGTTGAACATGGGATACGCGCGACGAGAGGGTTTCCACAGATACCTGGTGTTGATGATATCTCCAAGCTCCCATAAATATCCTTCAGTCGTAATGCCAGCTTCATGGAGGGAAACCGGGTGGAATCGGCAACCTTTGCGATAGGTGAGGTCCCGATCGGGAGGCGCTGCAAACGATGGCAGGCATAGCTTTTCCAAGTACTCAAACACATTCATTCCTGCCACTGGATATGGGCCTGACGGATTGTTGTTAAGAATCTCCCCATTAATGAGACACATGGCTAGTATCGATAGATTGCGACTGGCGTCGTTCTGAAGTAGCTTTTGTGGATCGAGATAGTAAGGGTACTGACAGCAGTTGGCTATTATGGGGAGAATATCCCAAGGTTCTCCTAGGTCTCTTTTGCTCAGATCCGAGGCGATTGCAGGAAACATGAATGCGTCTTTGGGGAGGATAATGGTGTACTTTCTGGTTTTGCTCAGGATACCCTGAATGACACAGGTCTCTGCTCCATTTTGGTGGCGCTCGGCTTTCTGGTATTCCTCGCAGAAGAGAGTGACCGCTTCCATGAAATCGACAGATTTGATGGATAGTTCTCCCTCAACCTGATCAGTAATGAAATAGTAATGAAATCATCCATTAAAAATTTCAGACCCTCTAACTCTGGTGATAGAGGTATGAGAAGCTTCATATTGATTCCCGCACGATAGTTCTCCTGGAAGGTCCAGCCTCTTGTCCACCAGAGATCATTGGTGATTGATTCCAGCAAACGAAGTGCTCTCTGGGCTCTTTTGCGCATTCGGCCAGTCATTGATCGATTTCCAGCTTTGAATCGCTTCTTCATAATATCAGCCAGTAGTTCGATCTCGCAGCGGGACTCGATTGGTCTTGATAGCAATGCCACAGGGTAAGAACTTTTGCTGTAAACCAGATCCATGACTTGCAAAGCGCGGGCCTTTTGTTTACACCGCACGCAAGTACATGCCTTGTCCTTGCAGGTGCCTTGGTCAATGCAATGGCGGTCGATCCAGAGAAGGCTCACGTTGATGGTGTTCATGTATCGAATGATTCGATCGAAAATGGTTGCTCGAACTGGAGAGTGATGAAATGCCCTGCCTGAGCTTTCCTGGACTTCGTAAGATCCAGAAGCGTCACTTTCGTATTCAGATGCAACCCATGTGTATGACAAGGCGATGTAGTTCTTTTCTTTCGTAGCATCGATCTGATGTCGCCACATGCGCACTATCTTCGGATTGGTGGCGCCTGCAATTGATTTACAGGCAACGGCTCGTTGTTGCTTGGATATATGAAGACATTCCAATCTTTTAAGAATGCTGACATCCTTTTGCTGAGTCGATTGGCACCGCTGAATATCTGAGAGAAGCTGGGGAATCGTTTTTGAATGCTTGCGAGAAATCGCTCTCAACGACTCCAAGTTGCTGTCCATTTCGTGCATCAAGAGACTACGGTCTCTGCTGGCTCCCTTTGAATGAGCAAGGAAGAATACACCGGGATGTTCACATTTTGCTCTGCCGACTGGACTCCTCACTTTAATAGCAAAAAGGTTGCGTTCATTACAAAGGATTTATCAGCCTCTTGCATGAAGTTGCATCTTGGCGGCTTTTCCAGCCACTCCGGCTTGGTAGACGACGACGAAACCCCGCAGAGATGCAAACCAAGCGACTCAATCAGTTGATGTATGGGGTCGAGGGTGGGCCGCATAGTCCAATGGCTGATGAGCCACTTTTGCTATGCAGGTGGACGTGCATTTGTTAGGTACGCCTGCATGGCAGCCTTCTTCTTTTGAGGTCTCCGCACCCTCGCTCGTGTCGTCTGATTCATCCACGGATGTATCTTAAACCTGCATGACACCAATCCAATTTCTGCATCTAGAAAAGACTGACAATGACACAAGTCTACAGCACTCCCATTTTACTAATTTATGCTCTTCGCTTTCAGCCTGGTCTCCTGTACTGTCTGTCAGCATTTGATCTTCGCAAATTGTGAGACCCAGAAGACGGGAGTAAATCTGTCGCTTGACAGGCGGGCTGCTTCCAGAGCTGTGCTGCCGAATATGCGTCTACTGGCTACAAAGCATCAGGTCTGGCAAAAGCCCATTCTTGCGTTTTGAGATAAAAAAAAACTCATTGTGTCGTAATGCCCTGAACAAACGCAACAAAAGCGACGTCCAACGGCGCTTCCGCTTTGCAACGGCCCGCGAGCTACTCCGATAGGGTGTGGCAATGCTTATTTGGGTCTTGGCGATGATCGTCAACATTTTCGGTTTCGTGCCTTGGGTTGATTTCAAGCCCTGATTGGCGATTGAGGAAGATGAATTTCGACAGAGCCCATTCGAAGGAACAGAAGAGACACCCCTTTGCTGTGGTGCTCAACAGGCATATGGCCAATTCGGATCCCTAAATTCCTTAAGTCAATTACGTTGACGAGAATGTCTTCATCTTTCGGCCGTGCCTGAATTTTACATCATGCTGGAACGGCTAAGTGAGAACTAGCAAAGTTCCTTCATCGGGCATTTTAAAGGCGAGCTGCGCGATACGGGCTAATATCATAAGGGTACAAATGCACTAGGGCCCAGGCGGCTCGATGTCCAGCAGCTCTGATCATCCATTGAGGCTAGTGGCTGCCACTCCAAAATTTATACCGAATCTTCTTCTGAAGCTCGTGCGGCGAGGCAAGTGCTTGCCTACACCTTCAATGTTACCATGGATGCGTCTACGATCGCTTTGCGCTGACCGATCTAGGCAGTGTTACTGAGTCATTGCCTCTGTGCCGCTGATGTCCTTCGCTTATTCGCAGTCGTATGAGATGGTAGAAAACACCATATTTAACGAAACTTGCAGAGATATGCACCTTGGCTCGTGCTATCGAGACACGTGCTGCTGCCTGGAGTCGAATCCGAGGGATCGGTCCGGCCAAGGATGGGCCCGGGAAAGTGGGGCGCGGGGCCGGGGAAGTTTAGGCAGAGCGGCTAGAGCGGCGCGGGCAGACCAATCAGAAGGCAGTTCTGCCTGAACGCCATCTCGTGTCTGTGAGGCCATCTCCAACATCGGATGTCGAAAGGGGCTGCAGCGTTAACATTCGACGTGTATTTAAGAGGGAACAGAAGATCTCCTTTAGCTGATTTCGAATTCATCTGACATCACCTCAAGCCGCTTTCTCACTACCTTTACCAAAAGTCAATCTTTGCTATTAAACTCCAGAGACTAGACATGTACATTGATCTCGAAAACACCAACACATCAACCGTCGAAATGCGTTCCCATATGCCTCCTCCTAAGCGCCAGCGCGTGTCTCACCAGACTGTCTCCAAAGACATTGCTGCCAACATGAAAGCCCGTCTTACTATCGAGAACTTTCACGATGGTGAAACCGTCCATCAGGTAAACCACAACCACCCCTGAGCCATCTTCCAGCACTAGCACTAACACCATCTCCTTCAAAGCGATGTATCATCATCAAAGGTATATACGGCACTACTGTCCCATGGAACGACTTCGTCACAATCTCATCATCCGACGGCACCACCAAGACATTCCCGCCCCAAACGTGGCCTCTCGACGCCTCCCGCTTCAAAGCCATCGCCTTCCTCTCCCCCGGCAAAAACGTCCTTACAATCACCCGCTCCTCAACCGACGCCGAGAACCCCACTCCCACAACCCTTACCCTCAACTACATCCCCCTACTCCAGACGCCCGCCCTGCACCTCGCAATCATGGTCGCCAAAGACTCTCCCTTCCTCATCGACTGCCCGCCCTCCAAATACGGCCGCCTCTCAACGGCGCACTCCTCCCTCGACGCCGCCGTCGCGAAGATGCGCATGGCCGCGTACATGTGGCAAGCCTTCACCGCCGAGGACATGCGCATGAAGAGTCTCGGCCGGCGCTCCTTCCGCCTCGAGGAGGAATTCGCCGCCGACACGACAAGCCAATCCTTCCTGTTCGCCGACGACTCGGCGCCGCGAATGCAGTCCACCGCAAAGGTGCACATCATCCGCTCCAGCAAGACCGTCGCCGAGCTCCGCGACGCGGACGTCGCACAGCAGAACGAGGCCGCACGCAACAGAGACAAGCTCTTCGACTACTTCCTCGACGCGCTGGCGTCCCACGGCGCGCCGTTCGAGGAGTCCTCGCGCCCCGTCATCGCGGGCATGCTCCTCGACGCGCACTTCTCCACGGCGCAGAACATGATCCTCGGGCACGCCGCGCTGGGCTGCCACAACCCCGAGGGCGTGTCGCTCGGCATGATGGGCAGCCACCTGGCATACTCGTTCCCGCGCTTCCTCGAGGAGGTGACGGAGTGCCTGCGGGATACGCGCGTGCCCGGGCGAACGGTGGGCAACGACAACGGCGAGTGCGCGACGTTCTGGGAGGCGTGCTGCGTTGGGCAGGGCGCGTTCCTGCACGAGGTCGGGCACGCGCTCGGGGCGCCGCATACTACCGGAATCATGGCGCGGGGGTATCCGCGGCACTGGGCGCGAAACTTTTTGACGATGACGGCGCGGGCGGCGCATACGCGCGAGCCGGAGGTTTATGTCGACGGCGACCGTACAATGAACGATGCGCGGTGGGATTTGAGGGATGCGCTTTCGTTCCGGATGCTGCCTCACTTTTGGATGCCAGGGGATAAGAAGATCAAGGAGGCGGAGGCTAGGACGAGTGCGCCTGTTGTGTCTCTGATGAACCCCGAGACGGACGATGTTGGCGTCGAGATTTACTGCATGGCGGGGATTGCGGCGATCGAATTCAACGGGGAGGCGGAGGAGGAGCCGAGTGTGGCGGAGCCGTATAAGAAGGTGTTTTTCGGCCGCAAAGAGCTGGAGAACCGGTTCGATCCAGAGGAGGAGCTGAAACTCCACGTTCTAGGCATGAATGGCAAGAGTAAGACGGTGAAGGACCTGTGGAGGATGTTTGCCTCGTCGGAGTACGTCCGCATCCCCGGATCGGACTTCGTGCTGCGCAAGAGGTCTGTGATGACCAAGGACCTGGAGGAGTCTGACGATGGCAAGGACAAATTCTGGAGCTGGGCGACGTTACTCACGAAGAAGAGCCCCAACGGCAAGGTTCTGCGCGCGTCGAGCATCGACGTCCGGACGGGGTGCATCCTCGACGGCGCGTACGTCAAGTTCCCCGACGGCACCAAGGTGAACTGCGGGCCGCGGATCAGCAGGTGGGCGGGCGGTGATCATCTCCACGAGTTCGGCGGGCACGCGGCCGAGGATGTGCGTTGGCCCAAGGGCGAGGAGATTGTCAAGATTCAAGTCGCGAGGGAAGACAACATTCTGTGTGGGATGAGGATCCACTTTGAGAACGGGAAGGCCGGCGGCGCGTTGTCGGGGAACGAGGATGACCCGTATCAGACGCGGGAGGAGACTTTGGCTTTGGGTAAGTGGGCTGATCAGGATGAGCTCGATGATAGTGCTGACAAGAGAACAGAGGTGCAGGGTGATGAGAGAATCGTTGGGTTCTACGGGCGCAGCTGGTGGGGGCATCACTTTGACGGACTTGTTGAGTTTGGCATGATTACTGCGCCGAAGGGCGTTGAGTTGCCGGACCAAGTCTACAAGATGAAGGAGCTGCAGAATACCGATGGCGGTCAAAGTGTGAGCACTAGCGGTTCTGGCTTTTGGAGAGAACTTGATACTGACACGAACTAGGCTGAGGACCTCCGAGGAGATCAGAACGAGGATGATGATGATTCCCAAGAAGAAACTCAAACTGAGAATGAAGATATGTATTAAGAGTAGACGGACCGAAGATAGGATCTTCGACTTTGAGAACTTGGGTTGAAAATATGCGATATCCAAACCTCCAGCTATCTCCATGATGCTCAATGCGAGGAAGCCCCCTTGGGTTCCCCCAAAACTACCCATGACAAGTGAAAGCGCAGCAATCGTACGAGGCAAAGGGCGGGGGCCTTCCACTAACTTATCCAATACCTCCGGCAAATATGCCTCCGCATGCAACTTAACCTGGTGTTCAACAGGACACACCGTCGCTGGGCTCATTCAAAAGTTGTCGATATCCATCTCGGGACTATCTCTCCTCTTCATCAGCAACTTGGCCATACCATCTGATGACCATCCAAAGCCGTATTCCTCCCAGCGGTGCTTGTACCCAGGCGTGAGCTGCCAGTCGTACTTCATGATAATGTGCGCTAACGCAATCTTCAACTCATTTCCTGCAAAGAAGCGGCCGGGGCAGGCGTGTTTGCCATGTCCGAAGCCGATATGCTCGGGCGAGGTGCTCACGAGGTGGGCTTGGGCATCGAGTCCCGGAGTTCCTCGCATACGGACAAAACGGTATCCATCGAATTGGTCGGGATTCTCGTAGACCGTGGGATCGACCATTCTTCCAAGGTCAGCGACGCATCGCTCGCCTGTCTGGAGTTGGAGACCATTCGGGAGGGTGACTGGCCGGGTTGCGACTCGGGACATGATGGCTGCCGAAATTGTTAGTTTCAAGTTACCTTTGCTCCGCAACAAGGACTTATAACCGACCTGAGGTGACCGGTTTGAGTCGTTGCGCTTCTTTCAAAACGCTGTCCGTTAACTTCATGTTGAACAAAGCCGTCTTCTTCCAGCCCTCAGCGCTGAGAACTTCCACAATTTCCTTCCTTATCGCAGCAAACAGCTCAGGGTGCTCAGCAATCCGCAACATTGTCTCCACGAGCAGATCCGTAGTCGTATGAATCGCAACAGCAGATAGCCCCAACTGCGCCCCAGCGGCATCATACTTGGCCCCGCGGCTCTCCTCCTCGAACCAGTCCAGCCCGTCGTTGAACCTTGGAATCGGCTCGCCCTTAGCCCGCGCCTGCGCCCTCAGATCCCTGCGCTTCTGAAGGACGGGCTCGATGATGCGTCGAGAGTCGGCAACCTGCTGGCGGAGGACCTTGCACTGCGGGACAAACCATTGGGCGAGCGGTCGCAGCCAGCTGGGGTACATGCGCATAGTCTCGGCGCCTATGAAGGCGTTGACGGTGTAGGACTTTGTGACCTCGAGCCAGGCCTCGTTGCGGCATACCTCGTCGCCGAGGAAGACGCGGGAGGAGAGGCGGGAGATGATGTCGAGGACGTCGGCTTTGATGTTGAACTCGCACCATTCTGTGTGTCGGGGGACGGTGTTAGTCGGTGCGATGTGACGCTACAGTGCGGAGGCTTACCCGTGGATGTTCCGAATCGGAGGTCGACGGCGAACTTGGCTTCGGATGACAGCGGCTCCGTGATCTGGTCTGAGAGATGGAGACGAGTGTCAGTGCTGCCGTTGCAATGTGGAGGAGCGAGTTGCGGCAATGTGGGGTGTGGGGTAGACTGCCAGAGTTGACGTGGAGTTGGAGACGACTTACTCAACAACTTGGTGATGCACTTTTTGATGACAACTTGGAACAACTGATCGGGCCTGGTACCGACTGCAAAACCATCAAATCCAGATAGTCGGGGATGGAAGTTGTCTGCGAAGGCATCCATGAAGCTCAGCCCGGGGTCGTTGCGAATGTCGTGGATGAACTCCGGTGGGATGACGACGGTCTCGCCGACGTCCGTCATGAATCTGTAGGGCTGGCCAGGAAACTTCTTTCTGCCAGTCTCCATCAAGCCTCTGGCATTCAACAGGAATCCTTTTTTCCTTTCGCTGTTGAACAGATCCAGTGACTCTGGGGGATTAATCCAAGGGAGCTTGCGAGAGGGCTTGCGCATGTGGGGTAGGACGGCGAAGACGCCGAGGAGGATGATGCCCAGACATAACGATGTCCAGACGTCCATCTTCCTGAGCAGAGATGACTCTGCCCAAGTGCTGAGAAAGTGTTTCGGTGGCTGGAGGAATTCCATGTTGGCCAAGCAAAGGAGAAGAATTTATCAAAAGAAGTGTTGAAAGATCTAAACCCTTGATGCGATGAACCAGCATGAGAAAACAAGACGAACTCCAAGTTTGAAAAGAGTATTTATAATGTTGAAGAAGGGGAAAAGTGACAACGCCAAGGTCAAAAAGTCCGTCCGTATTACTTAATCCGCGTCCATCAAAAAAGATTGTTGAAGTCGTCAAGTTTCCTGTCCAAGGCATCGTGTAAAACATCTCGGAATAGACCGCCGGAGTCCCTGTCGCACAACTCCCGCCTACGATGTGACGCGGGAAGACCCACCACATCTCCATCGTGAACGCCCGTTGACGAATCAGATCCTTCGCAGTGGGTGTTACGGTTCTCGTCATGCAGATCATGCAGTGCCAGTTCGGAGGACGACAAGTGCCCGACGGTGGAGACAGTGGAGCCCTTGGGATTTGGGATAGTTCTTGATGCCCCCAAGGAGGCTCGTCTTTAAAACGACGACCTCTTCTCTTTTTTTTTCCTGTCTTTGCTTCCAATGAGGTCCGATTCTTAGGGCGTCCAGATTTGTACGATGGCTCCCGGCGGGTCATTAGTCATGCAGCCCGCAGTGAAAGCATCAACATCCCAGCTACATAGGACTGTGGCTTCTGCCCCTGAGCCGCTGGGCGCCGACTATGAAGCACCTGCGGACCGCCAGTGTCAATCTCAGTAACACATTATAGAGCTTGGTGAGCTTTGTCATCACATAACGGCCAAAGCAACAACCATGGTTACTGATCTTGCACACCCAGTTTCAAATGCAATCCGCAGGCTGTCATCCCATCTGATTCTCCTCCAGTTAGCCGTCTTGAGCCCTCGAATGGGATGACAGGTTCGCTTACGCCCTGTCATCCTCCGGCACTACTTCTTTCATCTCTCATGTCTTCTCTTCCCCCACACAGTCCGATTCTCACGTCACCCGCGAATCTCGACCGGCGCCAAGCAATCCAAGTCAAACGTTGTTTTGTCCCAGCAGATGCTCTGCGCGACATTCTAGCTGAGTTCTGTCCGAAGCACAGGCGGCGGAGAGCTCAGGGAGAGACGAAGTTTTTATTACGTCAACATACTATCTTGAAGCTTCACTGAATACGGTCAACCAACGAGACTGACAAGAGAACATGTCCACCCAGCATTGACAGTCATGGTCTCCAGAGACGTGCCATTGACGATCCCGTCAGTAGGAAGAAGTCTACGACGATGTCAAGGTTTAGGTCAACGGATCATCTCCCCTCGCCCCACTGGTGCTTCGTACGAGTTCGTTGGACCATGACGCGCTTTACCACCGACGGCATCCCACCTTGCCTAATCCCATCGCCAGGCTTCTGTCGCACGGCGTTTTCTAAGACGCAATGATTCAACCTCCACGGCTGCCTGTGCCGGCATACGACTGCCCGTCGTGCCCCAGAACCTTTTTCTCCGTTGCGCCTCACGCCGTACCCGGTAGCTGGATCGTTCGCCAGCTGACCAGTTGTTGATGCACAGCGACTTTCCATCGTTGAAGGTGACGTAAGAATTCAGCTTCGCTTCTGTAAACTGCCATTTTCGTTATTTTTATGCGAAGCCGTGTTGTTTATCGCGGGCACACTATCCAAGACATGCGCCTTGCGCGTGCTCACCTTGACCTGCATAATAACCAAGACTGCCAGGGTCCAAGCAATCTGCGAAACGGATGAGATTAAGGTCACAACGCTGTTGATCATACGAGTGCAAGCTACATTCCGTCGCATTTGTGGAAGGATGATTATAAGTAGATAGACGAGAGACACTTCTAGAACCATCACATAGGAAGGTATCTGCCATCACCAGTCTACCATGCGCCGTTTGGGAGTACTCCAGCCACCTCTCATCGAGTTTCTGCTGTCACTTGTGCTACCTTTGATGCGCCTATAAAGTCTCGACGATAGAACCGTCAATTGATGTTCTTTTTCCTAGTGACTATCGACTGCTATCGCGAGCCGCCAATTCCTTCCCTGGTGTTGAACCGTTCCACCTGGGATAAGAGATTGACGTATTGCGAACTCAGCAGGAGGAATATGACTTTTCCCGACATCCTTTCGCCTGATCTAATATCTAATCTCGCTTTCAAAATCCGTCACGTGCATAATGAGGATTGGAGGAATATTCAAATGACAATAGAGACGCTTTTTGGACCCCGACGAGGATCCCGCAGCTTCTTTAATCTTAAGAGCGAACGCTACCTCGAAGTAGCAAGTAACCCGTCAATCCGTCAACCCCCAACGGGACTGAGCGCAGCTGAGCTGCAGAAACGTTGCAATCGCACAGCTAAGCGAGCCTTTTTGGGGGTTCGGCGTGTTGGTTCCCCCTGGCATAGTGTATGTCGTGGCCAATGGCCGGGCGACGAAGGTTGTTGGAACTTCAATTCCAGGATCTTGACCCACAACACCGACATGTGCGTATTTCCCTCGCCAAGCGTTGGAGCCTAAATTTTACATGAGCTGGCTCTATTTTGTTTTCGTCTTTTCCCCCGCGATTTCCCCAGACTGATTCCTCCTTCTGTGGGACAATGCCCGTCAATCTCATGAATCAATGAAGTTGTTCTCATAGCTGACTTCCTTGACAGCACTCGCGATGCAACTGCAGGACAGTGGGGTTGAAGACTTCCAACTCCGAAGAAAGCCTGTCGCGCAACAGGCGACGGAGCACTCTAATGCAAGCCACTCAGAACGCGTTCCTGATTCTTTCCCGAGACACGATCTGAGTCCTGAACTAGAACCGTACCAATCGCCAACCAATGCTGTTCAGAATCCATGGCGAATCAATGAACGCGGATACCAGAGCGTTCCTGGCGCAGAAATTGCCGCCAGTGTCTACCATTCGGCAACGCAAGATAGTCCATTGAACCCGAATATGACCGAGGACAGCATCAATCGTGGTCCGTCGCCGCAGAACTTTGGAAGAGATCGCGCAAATCTGCTTTCGCAAGCTTCGACACCGTCTTCGGGTTCCTCAACACCTGGCGCTTCGGACGGCAAAAGAGATCTCAGTCCAAAGATGTCGGAGAAACAAAACCTGACGCCCGAAACAGACCTGCTCCTTTCTTGGAAAGCAACTTTTTTGGCATGGTGGCAAGAGCTGATATGGTGCGCCATCAGCCTCATATCAGTTTGCGCACTGTACATTCTCTTGCGCCACTACGACAATAAAAAGTTGCCCGACTGGCCCTCGGGACTCACCCTCAACACAGTAATCGCTCTGCTTGCAACCGTCGCAAGGTCGGCCTTTGTCATTCCGGTGTCGGAGGGCTTGTCGCAACTCAAATGGCTCTGGTATCGCAAGCAGAGGACCCTGAAGGACTTCCAGGACTTCGATGCTGCTAGCCGCGGACCGTGGGGGAGTCTTCAGCTGGTCAAAACGACGAAAGGCTGGTAAGTGGTCTCTCATAGCCATCGATACGAGCAATACTGACACTTTGTAGGCCGCTGAGCGTCATATCTATGGTCGTATTGGTGACTGCCATGCTCACTTCCGCCCTGACGCAATCATCCGTCACTTATCCCGAGCGCCAGGTTGCCATCTTGCCTAGTTCCCCCGTTGCTCGTCTGGTTCGATTTTGGAGTCCCATGACAGTCAGCTGGTACTCCCCATGTAAGTCTCTACAAAATCTCTTCTTGGCAGATGCAATCAGACGCGCATTGGATACTGATAGCCTCTAGACATCAAAGGCGCAACATACGACGCCAGCATCCAAGCCGGCCTCAGCCACGACTCCAACACCCTCTACCCCTTCGACCAGCCCGGCTGCCCCACCACCGAGTGCCGCTGGCGCGTCTTCAGCACGCTCGCCATCTGCACCAAGATGTGGAACATGACCGACCAGCTCACGTACAATTACAACGGCAACAGCAGCCGCTTCGTCAACACCGGCACGCCGCGCAGCCTCTCCCTGCCCAACGGCGCCCTCGCCAACTTCGCCCCGTCCCTCACCGGGCTGGTAAGCCTCAACAACGGGCAGGCGTCCCTCCTCCCCGCCGCCGAGGTGCCGCAGTCGGCCTTCTTCAACTTCACCGTCATCTTCACCACGACCAAAACCACCGGCGCGATGGAGGTCATGTTCTACATGTGCGCGCAGCGCTACAACGTCTCGGTGCAGAACAACGTCTTCTCGCGGACGCTGATCCACTCCTCGGCCGAGGTGGAGAAGGGCACGTTCCTCATGCCGGAGTCGACAACTTCCAAGGAACAGGTGGAGGTCACGACAAAGGCGGTGACGGTGCCGCAGGAGCCGGGCGTCGCGTTCCCGTACGGCGGCACGGCATTGACGCCCCTGATCGAGAGCCTGTCCAGCGCCATGAACGGGACGTACCCGACGACGGAGAACGAGCGCGGGCGGGCGCCGTCGCGGTACTTGAACGTGCTGGACGTTGTGCGGCGGGAGAGGAACGGGACGGAGAAGCAGCTTTTCGAGGCGGTTGGGAACGTGACGAATAATGTTGCGAGGAGCTTGACGAATAGTCTCCGCGACAGCCTGACGACGGAGCAGGCGTACGTCACGGGGCAAGCGTATGTTAGCGAGACGTACGTCAAGGTGCGCTGGTGGTGGATGACGTTGATCTCGTGTCAGGTCGTGCTGTCGACGATTGTCCTGGTAGCGGCGCTGATCCAAGCGAGGATGGCTGGGTTGAATGTGGTCAAGAGTTCGACCTTTCCGGCATTTTTTGCTGTTGATTCGGCGGATAAGAAGCTGCTGGAGACAAGAGCGGCCCCGATGGATGTTCAGGAGCAGAATGGATATCTGGGGAAGAAAGGGCTGGGACAGTGGAGACTGCGGATGCAAGACAACGGCTGGGTCCTTCTACGGGATCAGAAAGAGACGGGGTGCTAGATGTGTATGATGAAGACGTGACTGTGATGGAGGTGGGTTGGTGAGGGTTGCTGCTTGAATCTAGCATGGCGTGTATTGAATATCCATAGCCTCAAAATTCTCAGTCTTTTATCCTAAGAAGT